TAGTAATGTTACTACTCTCAATGTTGTACTTTGTGTCCTCCATTGGGTTGGATGTGAATAGCATGCTCAATAGTAGTAATGTTACTACTCTCAATGTTGTACTTTGTGTCCTCCATTGGGTTGGATGTGAATAGCATGCTCAATAGTAGTAATGTTACTACTCTCAATGTTGTACTTTTGTGTCCTCCATTGGGTTGGATGTGAATAGCATGCTCAATAGTAGTAATGTTACTACTCTCAATGTTGTACTTTGTGTGTCCTCCATTGGGTTGGATGTGAATAGCATGCTCAATAGTAGTAATGTTACTACTCTCAATGTTGTACTTTGTGTCCTCCATTGGGTTGGATGAATAGCATGCTCAATAGTAGTAATGTTACTACTCTCAATGTTGTACTTTGTGTCCTCCATTGGGTTGAATGTGAATAGCATGCTCAATAGTAGTAATGTTACTAATCTCAATGTTGTACTTTGTGTCCTCCATTGGGTTGGATGTGAATAGCATGCTCAATAGTAGTAATGTTACTACTCTCAATGTTGTACTTTGTGTCCTCCATTGGGTTGGATGTGAATAGCATGCTCAATAGTAGTAATGTTACTACTCTCAATGTTGTACTTTGTGTCCCTCCATTGGGTTGGATGTGAATAGCATGCTCAATAGTAGTAATGTTACTACTCTCAATGTTGTACTTTGTGTCCTCCATTGGGTTGGATGTGAATAGCATGCTCAATAGTAGTAATGTTACTACTCTCAATGTTGTACTTTGTGTCCTCCATTGGGTTGGATGTGAATAGCATGCTCACTAGTAGTAATGTTACTACTCTCAATGTTGTACTTTGTGTCCCTCCATTTGGTTGGATGTGAATAGCATGCTCACTAGTAGTAATGTTACTAATCTCAATGTTGTACTTTGTGTCCTCCATTGGGTTGGATGTGAATAGCATGCTCACTAGTAGTAATGTTACTAATCTCAATGTTGTACTTTGTGTCCTCCATTGGGTTGGATGTGAATAGCATGCTCACTAGTAGTAATGTTACTAATCTCAATGTTGTACTTTGTGTCCTCCATTGGGTTGGATGTGAATAGCATGCTCACTAGTAGCAATGTTACTACTCTCAATGTTGTACTTTGTGTCCTCCATTGGGTTGGATGTGAATAGCATGCTCAATAGTAGTAATGTAACTACTCTCAATGTTGAACTTTGTGTCCTCCATTGGGTTGGATGTGAATAGCATGCTCAATAGTAGTAATGTTACTACTCTCAATGTTGTACTTTGTGTCCTCCATTGGGTTGGATGTGAATAGCATGCTCACTAGTAGTAATGTTACTACTCTCAATGTTGTACTTTGTGTCCTCCATTGGGTTGGATGTGAATAGCATGCTCAATAGTAGTAATGTAACTACTCTCAATGTTGTACTTTGTGTCCTCCATTGGGTTGGATGTGAATAGCATGCTCAATAGTAGTAATGTTACTACTCTTAATGTTGTACTTTGTGTCCTCCATTGGGTTGGATGTGAATAGCATGCTCAATTATAGTAATACTACTTGTTATATTTGTGTCCTCCATTGGCATGTGAATAGCATGCTCAATAGTAGTAATGTAACTACTCTCTCAATGTTGTACTTTGTGTCCTCCATTGGGTTGGATGTGAATAGCATGCTCACTATAGTAGTAATGTTACTACTCTCAATGTTGTACTTTGTGTCCTCCATTGGGTTGGATGTGAATAGCATGCTCACTAGTAGTAATGTAACTACTCTCAATGTTGAACTTTGTGTCCCTCCATTGGGTTGGATGTGAATAGCATGCTCAATAGTAGTAATGTTACTACTCAATGTTGTACTTTGTGTCCTCCATTGGGTTGGATGAATAGCATGCTCAATAGTAGTAATGTTACTACTCTCAATGTTGAACTTGTGTCCTCCATTGGGTTGGATGTGAATAGCATGCTCAATAGTAGTAATGTTACTACTCTCAATGTTGTACTTTGTGTCCTCCATTGGGTTGGATGTGAATAGCATGCTCAATAGTAGTAATGTTACTACTCAATGTTGTACTTTGTGTCCTCCATTGGGTTGGATGTGAATAGCATGCTCAATAGTAGTAATGTAACTACTACTCTCAATGTTGTACTTTGTGTCCTCCATTGGGTTGGATGTGAATAGCATGCTCAATAGTAGTAATGTAACTACTCTCAATGTTGTACTTTGTGTCCTCCATTGGGTTGGATGTGAATAGCATGCTCAATAGTAGTAATGTTACTACTCTCAATGTTGTACTTTGTGTCCTCCATTGGGTTGGATGTGAATAGCATGCTCAATAGTAGTAATGTTACTACTCTCAATGTTGTACTTTGTGTCCTCCATTGGGTTGGATGTGAATAGCATGCTCAATAGTAGTAATGTTACTACTCTCAATGTTGTACTTTGTGTCCTCCATTGGGTTGGATGTGAATAGCATGCTCAATAGTAGTAATGTTACTACTCTCAATGTTGTACTTTGTGTCCTCCATTGGGTTGGATGTGAATAGCATGCTCAATAGTAGTAATGTTACTACTCTCAATGTTGTACTTTGTGTCCTCCATTGGGTTGGATGTGAATAGCATGCTCAATAGTAGTAATGTTACTACTCTCAATGTTGTACTTTGTGTCCTCCATTGGGTTGATGTGATGTGAATAGCATGCTCAATAGTAGTAATGTTACTACTCTCAATGTTGTACTTTGTGTCCTCCATTGGGTTGGATGTGAATAGCATGCTCAATAGTAGTAATGTTACTACTCTCAATGTTGTACTTTGTGTCCTCCATTGGGTTGGATGTGAATAGCATGCTCAATAGTAGTAATGTTACTACTCTCAATGTTGTACTTTGTGTCCTCCATTGGGTTGGATGTGAATAGCATGCTCAATAGTAGTAATGTTACTACTCTCAATGTTGTACTTTGTGTCCTCCATTGGGTTGGATGTGAATAGCATGCTCAATAGTAGTAATGTTACTACTCTCAATGTTGTACTTTGTGTCCTCCATTGGGTTGGATGTGAATAGCATGCTCAATAGTAGTAATGTTACTACTCTCAATGTTGTACTTTGTGTCCTCCATTGGGTTTGATGTGAATAGCATGCTCAATAGTAGTAATGTTACTACTCTCAATGTTGTACTTTGTGTCAATGTGTCAATGTATCACACAGGCAATCATGAACAAACACTGTGGCATTAGGAACCACGGGTGGTCAAGTCGTATAAAGCACTTGAATTTGCTGTGCAGAGTGCAAGAATCCTATTATACACCTATTCATGGCTTCGATTTCCAGGTTCGACCTCAAAGATGTCTATGCTATGCACATAATCGGGGTTACCCAAAGAAGTAGCGCCCATGATCTGTAGCCGTTCGGGAGTTTGCTTGACTATGTATATGTATGTATGTATGTATGTATGTATGTATGTATGTATGTATGTATGTATGTATGTATGTATGTATGTATGTATGTATGTATGTATGTATGTATGTATGTATGTATGTATGTATGTATGTATGTATGTATGTATGTATGTATGTATGTATGTATGTATGTATGTATGTATGTATGTATGTATGTATGTATGTATGTGTATGTATGTATGTATGTATGTATGTATGTATGTATGTATGTATGTATGTATGTATGTATGTATGTATGTATGTATGTATGTGTGTGTGTGTGTGTGTGTGTGTGTATGTGTGTGTGTGTGTGTATGTATGCAAAACAGAGGTATATATAAATGATATAAATGCGCGCGCACGCACCACACTGTCACCTCCAGAATTTAAGTGTAACGATGGGGAAACTGTCGTTCTCACTACTCATAAAATAATAAATTGTTGACGTCATAACCAATATGAAGTGTGAAGCCCATTTCTGGTGTCCACCGCCGTAACATAGAATTGCTGGAATATTGCTAAAAGCGGAGCAAAACCCCAACTCACTCACTCTTCACTGTTTGATGGTGATTCATAAGCACTTGCCTATGATATATTGGGAATCCAGGAAGTGAAGACACAAGATTCCTGATTTAGTCCTGGTTCTGTCTTAGCCGTTGTGTGTGTGTCTATGTAATTATCTGTGCAACCATTAGGTATTTAAACGTCGACTAAAGGCGACTGGCTAAGCATTAAACATATTGGAACAAGTGTATTTGAATGGGACCATATAGGGTTTGCTTGATGTAATTCCAGTTATATGACGTCAAAATAGCGTAGAGTGTTCAATATAACATTCTAAATACCTTCAATGAAATCTCTAGGACATTCAGCCTATTTCTTCAACTGATCTACGCTTATGATGGCAAAGTGACATATTTGCAAAAACTCATCAAAGACTATTCTTGCCCATAAATGCTGGTAGTTTAATTACGGGTAAGGGCTCCGGAATACTCTCCTTACTTAGCATAAGGACTATGGTTACACCAAGAATAACGGCGTGTCGGAACGTTTGTGGCGCCTAGTGATGTTTCACCTTAATGAGCAAATATAACGGCCTCGATTTCCCAACATATGTGTGCTCATGCATGTCAGCTTTGGCACATGGCCATGTTAAGTACTGAGAAAACGGATCTTAAAGAAGCGTATTCTGAAAAGTGGAACTCTAGAAGGTATCTGGTCGGAATAATTGTCAATGGGTCTCGAGGGTTGTGTGGTTGGATGTACGTTGTGTGCAAGCCTGTGCGGGACTGGTTGGCAACATAGCGGTAAATATTTTGCTCTTTTTGCTCGTTTGTTCAGCATGTTCAGCGCACCACTTCTCTCACATCTTCTCAATTGATAGACGATGGAAACACACCCTGGGTTGTCCCCGTTATATTACAATCGGATGTGCTATTGCAACCTTGGTTATGTGCTCATAACATCGATCATCGTTTCTCTGGTCCGCTCGTCACGCCGAAGACCCGGATTGGGTTCCCCACCTGGGTACAATGTGTGAAGCTCATTTCTGGTGTCCCCAGAAATTATTGCTGGAATATTGCTAAAAGCGTAAAACTAAACTCACTCACTGAAACTGTTCCATGATGAACCGAACTAGGTACAGCGGTCTACTGTTTTACTAGGTAGCCTGTCACGTGACACTGTCAACCAGGAAGTAATGTGATCAAGAGGCCTCCGTAATATCGTCGATCTGGACACGATCTCATCGATTGACACAATTCTCGTCACTAAATGATCACGAGGTAAGATATGAATACATTCTTTCTTTGGTATACACTGAAACTAGGTAAATTAATATTTAATATGTTTGGTACCTCGAACACCTGAGTAAATAATCCACTTTTCAAGTCCGGTAGATTGGCCGACAGACATATATGTTGACTTAACAGGTCTTCAACGTTTGAGGGGTATAGATACCGGTCGGCGTGTTCGATCTGGTGGACTTGTTGAGTCGCTTGTCTGAGTGCTCCCTATCAATGTTCGTGACAGAACATGCACGTATTTTAGATATATGGTTACTGTACGTTGCTCATCCGTGGCATTCTTGATCGGTTACTATTTTAAATGTTTCGGAATCGTTCAGAAATATGAGATCTTAGATCAGGGCCACCCGACCGACCACGGTATGTTGGCTCATATACTTGCTTGTCTAACGCGACAACACAATCCTCCCTGTCGACACACTCGGTGCTAAGCAACGCCACAACAACACAATAGCTGTGTGTGTAGAAAAACTAACCAGATAATCTCCAGAGTATTTTGCTTTCGAATTTGACAACACTCGATTAAAGAAACTACCTTGCTTCTGGCCTACTTGATTGCTTCATTGGTTTACGCACTCAGCAATACTCTAGCTATGTTACGGCGATCTGTAAATAATCGAGTGTGGACCATGCAACCGGTGAACAACATCATGAACATCGATCTATTGGGATACGATGACGTGTCAACCAACCAACTTAGTAAGAGAGGAAGGCCACTTAAAATGTAACTTAACTTTACTAGATATTCTCGTTACTGGCAATTATTTCACAGAGTTGGAACCAATTGAAAACATTTAAATTGAATTCAAAACATTTAAAATAAATATTAGCAGAACCAATAAAAAACAACAACAATAAATTGGTAGCAGAATGACAATTTTTTTATTTTTAATTATCTTTTTATTACAGAAATACCTGTTACATATAGGGACTCCTGTCAAGTGTAGCAGGGGCCCCATTGCATTGCAGAATTAAGAAGAGGATATCTGAGGGTTTTTTTGTTTTAAAAAAATCAGACATAGACATCACATTCACGATCTAATGTACATATAATGAGAAATTAAAAGTAAAATAGACAACACATTGAAATATTATGACAATAAATAAATAAATAAATAAATAAATAAATAAATAAATAAATAAATAAAATGACAGTCCATTTTTTATAAAATTGCGCTGGTTCACTTTTAGCATAATATCTGTTCTTCTCAATATAATGCTTATCCTGTAAAACTCTTTTAAAATGGATCAAACCTATGACATTGTTGGAATGTTTGCATTTATATATATAAAACTTCGCTAACAACAGTAACAACTCAAAAGTTTCATCTGTGATCAAAGTCTCCTTTACACCAACAATGACAAGCTCCATATTAAGTCTGTGATAAAATTTTCCTTTACGCCGATTTTATCAATAATCCAGCAGTATCACAATAAGCTTCACACATTGTACCCACGTAGGGAGTCGAACCCAAGTTTTCGGCATGACGTGCGAACGCGCTAACCAATAGGCTTCCCCACCGTTCTTCCGATTATCTATACTATGTACGGAATGTTAACATATTTATATAGATACCGATTTATATTGTAAAACCAACAGACGTAACATAACACTCATGGGATATGTCTTCAGCGCATGTCTGTCACAGTCGATGTGCTCTAATAATTCACAGCCTAAACTGAACGACATTGCTAAACACACAAAGGATCGGTGGCAATCAATGGTACCTCAAGACAGACTGACATACCTTATTTATGAGGCAGCATTGTTCCCTTAGCGGGAGTTATTAACTTGTCGTTGGTGTTGGGGTGGGATCCTGAGACGGTTGAATTTCCACGCAGTTCTCTATCTTAACTATATTTGCGAATATATAACCGTAGGACCAACAGAAGGTAAACAAAACAGTAAACTACGGTCTTGATGAACCCAGTTTGATGACTAGTTTTATATTCCTGATCATCGTAGTTCGTTATATACGCATGTCTCCCTCCCTCCATATCTCTCTCTGTCTCTCTCTCTCTCTCTCTCTCTCTCTCTCTCTCTCTCTCTCTCTCTCTCTCTCTCTCTCTCTCTCTCTCTCTCTCTCTCTCTCTCTCTCTCTCTCTCTCTCTCTCTCTCTCTCTCTCTCTCTCTCTCTCCATCTCTCTCTCATCAATGTTTAATGTACGTACTGTACATATGTCGTATCATGTTTTCGTGTGGTTCAGATCCACGTCCACGATGTGATGCTGACCTGCTCTTCCTGTCAAATGCTGGGTGGTACAGTTCTCCATTCGAAAGGCAGTGAAATAAGAGGCACAGCATGGCGCGCCAAGTCCGAAACTGTCCCCCAAGTTCCTTGAGCACCATACCCTCAGAAAGCAGGTACTCTATGTATATAAATATCTTTAAAAATTTGAATAGAGTGGGTAATCACTGATAAACTGAGCTATGGTATTACAGTGGGATAGCATTATAAACTCACGTTCATAAACTCACGTTCATATCACCTTATCTCACGTCACTTCTAACCTCACCACACTGCATCTCACTTCATATCACCTTATCTCACATCACTTCTAACCTCACCTCACTGCATCTCACTTCATATCACCTCATCTCACCTCACTTCTAACCTCACCTCACTGCCTCTGCTCACCTCATATCACCTCACCTCACTTCTACCTCACCTCACCTCACTTAACCAACCTCACCTCATCTCAGTGCACTTCATATCACCTTATCTCACTTCTAACCTCACTTCCTCCTCACCTCACTTCACCTCACTGCACCTCACTTCATCCTCACCTTATCTCACGTCACTTCTAACCTCACCTCACCTCACCTCACTGCATCTCACTTCATATCACCTTATCTCACGTCACTTCTAACCTCACCTCACCTCACCTCACTGCATCTCACTTCATATCACCTTATCTCACGTCACTTTTAACCTCACCTCACCTCACCTTACTGCATCGCACTTCATATCACCTTATCTCACGTCACTTCTAACCTCATCTCACCTCACTTCTAACCTCACCTCACTGCATCTCACTCCATATCACCTTATCTCACGCCACTTCTAGCCTCACCTCACCTCACTTCTAACCTCACCTCACTGCATCTCACTCCATATCACCTTATCTCACGTCACTTCTAACCTCATCTCACCTCACTTCTAACCTCACCTCGCTGCATCTCACTCCATATCACCTTATCTCACGTCACTTCTAACCTCACCTCGCTGCATCTCACTCCATATCACCTTATCTCACGTCACTTCTAACCTCATCTCACCTCACTTCTAACCTCACCTCGCTGCATCTCACTCCATATCACCTCATCTCACCTCACTTCTAACCTCACCTCGCTGCATCTCACTTCATATCACCTTATCTCACGTCACTTCTAACCTCATCTCACCTCACTTCTAACCTCACCTTACTGCATCTCACTTCATATCACCTTATCTTACGTCACTTCTAACCTCATCTCACCTCACTTCTAACCTCACCTCACTGCATCTCACTCCAATATCACCTTATCTCACGTCACTTCTAGCCTCACCTCACCTCACTGCATATCACTTCATATCACCTTATCTCACGTCACTTCTAACCTCACCTCACCTCACCTTACTGCATCTCACTCCATATCACCGTATCTCACGTCACTTCTAATCTCATCCTCACCTCACCTCACTTCTCATTTGTCACCTCTCACCTCACCTCATCTCATCTCAGCTCTTCACTACACAGTATATAAGTAGCAGGAAGTATGTTTTGTTCACATTATGTTTCAGTTGGCCGTCCAGCTGGAGGGATGCGATTGGAGGAGAAGAGGTTCCATTTGAAGAGTAATTATCACTTTTTGAGACAGTTTCTGTTGTTGATGTTGTTGTTGATACTTTTACAAACTAAATTACATTAACAGATGGTACTTGTTGCCCGTCTGGCGATTCTTATTGAGGAATAACAAGGAAGGTCTGGCTGGCACGTTATTAATTCTGAGAAGAAGACTGGTTTTGTAAAGTCAGTGAGTGAGTTGGGTTTTACGCCGCCTACAGGAATATCCCAGCAATATCACGGCGGGAGAATCCAGAAATGGGTTTTACGCAATAAACCCATGTGAGGAATAGAACCCGGATTTTCGGCGTGATGAACGGACGCTTTAACCGCTGGGTTACTCCTCCAACCCCTGGTTTGTAAAGTACGTATAGTACATATCCTCTATATTATGAGTGGGCGGTGGGGTAGCCTAGTGGTTAAAGCGTTTGCTCGTCACACCGAAGATCCAGGGTCGATTCCCCGCATGGGTACAATGTGTGAAACCCCGTTTCTGGTTCTGGAATATTGCTCAAAGCGGCGTAAAACCATACTCACTCACTCACTATATTATGAAATCATAACCCGATATCCACTCACTACATTTTGTATATAGTTATAAGTATATAACGTTTCTTGTCGGTACATGTGTTATTTATAAACAACGATTACATGTTTCAGTCAACAGATAACATGACGAATTGATATTTCGACAGGCTTGTCAACGATGATGATGATGATTCTGATGACTATGAATACGAAAGCAGTTTTGAGGAATATATTAGCGAGGAAGAAGAAGAAGCAGATGCAGAGAGTCAACCAGTGTATGTTTGTCGTCTTTCAGTTTGTCTCATACACGATGAACTGACGTACACAATAAAGTACACACTTTAACTTTGGGATTACTTTCCCCCCCCAAATAACAAATTAAATATTTTGAAAAATGTGATTTACATGTCACAAACATTGTGTACGTATTGTACATACTTGACAATGTTGTGACCTGTAAGTCACAATCAAAACACTTTTCTAAATATTTACGTTTCTTTTGTTCGTCAGTTTAAATGGTTTTCAGATATACTTGATAGTTTTTGTGCGTAGATGAAAGCGAATACCCCTTTGCCATAATTGTTATTAATTTAGAAATTTTTACAATTTCGACAATATCACGAACTGTGAACAGCAATCAAATAGGAATGATATCAAGTTTTCGCCAAAAAACTGAGCGCATCATGCCAAACTGGTGGAGCAAACACACGCTAAGGCAAGTCAATTGTTCACCTTCAAGAAAAACCACCCGTGTACATATGGTTCTAGTCATAATGTGGAATTGTATCTGACACCTTACTGTCACTGATGCGTCAAATTTAAATGGCATTTGTCCTGAAAAGAAGCATGACAATATTATGTCTAAGCGTCATCAAGCACAAAAGAAGAAGCAGAAACTAACGTTAGATTAGAACATGATAAGCATATTCAGAGATACATTTATGTATATTTAATATTAATTTACCCATTACTCCCATTAGAATCTGTTTGTGAAAAACGGTTATTATCCATGGGAATTTTATATAAATAGATAAGACTACAAATCAGCTCTTATTAGCGACAGGGTAGCCTAGTGGTTAAAGCATTCGCTCGTCACGCAAAAGACCCGGGTTGTATTCCCCACATGGGTACAATGTGTGAAGCCCATTTCTGGTGTACCCTGCAGTGATATTGCTGGAATATTGCTAAAAGTGGGGTAAAACCATACTCACTCACTCACTATTAGCGGCTGGTTGATTTAAAACACACACACATTAAAGGTCACATGCAACGTAAAACACAACTTTGCAGATTCTGATACCTTTCGGTATGGACTTACCGAAACAAATCATCAAAAATGCAAATTCAACTTATAAAGTTGAAAAATAACGCGATGAAAAAACCCGCGCGAAATCGGAGTTCAAACGTTTCATTAATTTTCTCCCGACTTTTCGGGGGAAAACTGGTTTCAACAGCTGGGCTGCGCTCATAGCACGTGCGCAGTGAAATAGGTTCGCGCAGCTTGGAAGCGGGTTGTCCGGTGAATACTCGGTGAAGGCTTTGGTGTGAGCTATTTTTCTAATGTTTTGTTGATATCTCACAGGCGCGAGCTTTTTATATGTTATGACAGTAAATTAACTGTTTATATAATTTCATTTGTCTATTTCACCACACGTTCTTCTTACCGAGTCACTTTCTCAGTTCGATACTTAAAAGTAATGCCATTATTTAGCGTTGACAGAATTTCCAACTGTGATATAGATATGTCGTTGTCACAGACAAAACTCAGTGTCTTGTTTTATTGACACCTGTGTGTCTGCCTGCCTGTCTGCTAATGACAATATTCAATACACAACTGCTATCACTGGCCACATGCAATTTGAACTTAACACCTATCAGGCAATACACCATAAACAAAATGCATTGATTTATGGCCCGAGTTCGGTCTCTGTCACATTATGTAATTACACAGACAGGCAGGTGTGATACTTGTACACATGACATGTTATGATGTCTGTTGATTGCAAAATGTTATACCCAGAAAATGAGCATGTATTTACAAAACCCAACATCTCTATATATACACACACAATGAGCCGTGAGTGCATCTGTAAATGAACCAGCCGTTACACTTGAGTGCACACCCACCCGCTCTGACTTGGTTCGGTATCCCGGCTGCTTCGTTTCTAGGGAAGTAAACCCAAGTACAAAATATTGCACTATTGATTTGCGATTGTACGCTTATAATTTTATTTATATGTTTTTTCATAATCAGCAATGTATATTATATGTCATGAATAAGTGATAATTGTGTTTTATGTATGTTTGATTTTTGGTTGCATGTGACCTTTAAGCATCGTATCCCAATTGCGTAGATTGATGCACATGCTTTTGATCACTGAATTGTATCGTCCCGGCTCGATTATTTACAGAAAGCTGCCATATAGCTGGAATATTGCTGAGGCCAACGGAACAACAACAACAACAACAAACAAACACACAAAAGCAAAAACAACGAAGAAAACCCCAAAAAACACAAGCATGTGCGTGAGTGTACAAATTTGAGCCAAGTTTGTTGATGTTTGTTTCATTTTAACAGTCACATATACATGTATTTTTCAGTGAGTGGACAACTATAGACCTCCAAAATGGCGTCAAGCTGCTTGTTCCCGACAACGTATCGGAATTCAGATGCAAAGCCATCCCTCTTTGGGCTGAGAAACGCACGGATATGTTGTCTCAGTTTCCACACTACCACGACGAGACCATGGTCAGCGATGTGTACGAATTGGAAGGCGAGGATATACAATCTTTGAACTGCAAGCCAAAATACCTACAGATCCCTCTCGTTCTGCCAACCACGAGACTTGACGTCCACGTTCTCTTCCGGTTCCATGTCATGGTGTGTGGCGATGGTGGATGGACACCTGTTCCGGCACAGTACGAGGTACACAATTCAGATTTTTCATTCAATACAAACTTCAGGCCGAGTATGAAACCCACTTACAGAAAGTTAATTGCTCGAAACAAGGTCAAAGCCACCAATATTTCTGCTGTGCTAGTCCTTTTCTATTAATATAAACAAGACATCCAGAGTCTTGACCGCCTGACCAGAAGGATCATATCTTATAACAGAGCCCACCACCCTCGTTCCTCTCTTAATCGTTTATATGTGCCAGTCAATTCTGGAGGTCTGGGTTTGATTAATGTGGAAGCTCTCCATAATCGAATGGCATTGTGTACTTTTTCACATATATATTTATCGGACGATTCTCTGATGATGTATGTCAAGACTCATGCTGAAAGTAAGGAAATCCACAGCTATTATAGCGTGCCAAGGTTGTTGGTCAGACTCTGAAATTTGAGGTTGATATTATTCATGGCAATGTACTGCTGGGCAGCGATGGGAATAAACCTCTTCTTTCTCAATAAGTATTGCATAGTGTTTACATGCAGTGTGTGGAACAGAACAGTAATCCAACCGACTCCTTCGCCTGGACGAAGTCGGTTGGTCTTAAATGTGAAACACAGGGCTTCCTGTTTGCTGCTCAGGACGAGTCACTTCCGACTCGCAATCGCCAAAATGTGATTCTGAAACAAAATATCGATATGAAATGTCGACTTTGCAATGAATTTACAGAGACTTTTCAACACGTTTTCAGTGGATGCCCTTCCTTGGCACAAACACCTTATCTTAAAAGACATGATGGCATGGGTTGTTGCTTCTATTACCATCTTGGCCATGCATGTGGCTTTGACTATGATGTCCATCCATGGTACGACCCTGAACATGGTCAGGGCGTCATGGAAAATGACAGCTTTAAACATCTTTGGAGTGAGCCCATATACAGCCTCAGAAGAATTCCAGCCACCAAACATGATCTTGTCCTTTTTGATAATACCAATGAATTTATTTGTGTTATTGAAATTTCTGTCCCTTTTGACAACAACGTGATTAGCAAAATTCAGGAAAAGCATGTTAAATATGCGGACCTCGCCTTTGAAATGTCTCGCTTGCATCCCAAGTACACTGTCCGTCAGACTCCCCATTGTTCTTGGTGCACTTGCTTTGGTACCTCCCGATCTCTTGGCGCAGGTTATGAGAGTGCCCGGGTTCTCCACTGGGAGCACAGCCCTTCTGACAGTCAGGGTAATGTAGAAGGCTGCAGTGTTGGGGAGTCTACACATTCTCCGGAAAGTTCTTGGTCGGTGCGACTAGCAGCGTTTCCTGAGAGAAGTCCCATTCGCCGTGTGGGCTGCGTGTAGAGGGGGCAAGGGCCCTCAGCCTGACTGTGCCAGGATCACCATGGATGGACCTCACAGTCAAAGCCACTGTTAAAGACGGTAGTAGAAGCAGCGAGCCATGACATCATGTCTTTTAAGATATGCTGTTTGTGCCAGGGAAGGGCATCCACTGACAAGGTGTCTTGACAGTTTCTGTAAATTAATTTCACAATAATTATTTTGGCCAGCACTGGCAAACAGTCTTTAATCCGGACTCGTACGGGCAAACACCAGCTCACTCACGCACTCACGCGCACAGACATACACCTGCTGCAATATTTTAACGCGACGTTAAAGGCTACTTAACCTTACCTTAAGTCATCATACTAATAAAGCCTTCGTCAAAACAATTTCAATCAAATTGAAATCAGACCTTGGAATCTGTGGTTTGTCGTCAAACATTTATAACCTCTATCAATTAATTTCAAGCATTATGGATTTGAACATCATCTAAAATCGAGACCGAAAGCCACGAGAAATCAAGGCAATCAAACCAAGTTTGATGAAGGTATCAATGTAATGCCTGGAACACTGTTGTTCGCAGCTGCACTAGGACAGCAGTTTGTATGCCAGCGAAAACATTTAATTAACGTAGTCCTTTGTGCTGTGACAGCGAATGAGAAATTTTATTCATTGCCCTTCTTTTTTTCAGGATTGTCTTCTGAAATTCCCAATACAGGGAGGAAAGTACTTCGTGGCCTATGCACGCCCAATACCCGAGTTCAGGAGGATTTCTAGGAATGCGTTCACATTCGTCTCTGATAAGGACAAACGCATCAAAGTGCACATCCAAGAAGGTGCTGTGGACACCGAGATGACCATCTCGGTCAAGGTAGTTGATGATATGCTGGCAATAATGTTTTTGTATGTTCACAATAATTTTCTTACAAGATGACAATAACTTGCTGGTGATGAAAATAAGTTGCTGATGTGATGACAATACGTTGCTGAATTGATGACAATAAGTTGCTGATATGATAATAATAATTAACTTGTTACTATGGTGGTTGTAAACATAAATACAAGTGACCCTCACATTTGGTCCAAGGCTATGACAAATTTATGTAACAGAAAATTTGCAAATCTAAATATTCACATTCAGTCAATTGTTGTGTTAATACTCACATCTAGCTACATTCTTTTAAGAACAACTATTTGTATGACATTCATAGAATATTACACACCAAAGGGCTAATAATAATGCTGTATCACTGCATATCCATAGATAAATATGCCTCAACTCACATCTCGGAGAGGTGGAGCAGCCTAGTGGTTAAAGCGTTCGATCGTTCACATGGGTACAATGTGTGAAGCCCATTTCTCATGTCATCCTCCTACATATTGCTGGAATATTGCTAAAAGCGGCGTAAAACCATACTCGCTCACTCACATCCTCATCCAGTAGACAACACAAACGCATTTGTTGAACTTCATCTCCTTGCAGGTGCAACCAGTTGACACAAACAGACTGGAATGGTACAGGCTATATGACCCCTCAGCATTTGAAGGGATCTATGCACTATCCGATATTCTGAGTGTACGACACAAAATGGAAAAAGTATTCAACATAGACACAACTGTCGAGCTGCCAATTGCTGATTTGTCAGAAGAGGAATATGAATTGAAGTCCATCAGCATTGAAAATAACCATTACGTCGTCAGAGATCTGAAGAAAGAGAGTTCCTTGAAAGACGTTGCTATAATGCCCCACACAGTCAATAATGCTACAAGGTAACGTATAGAATATTGAAACACGTAAATCGCCAAAACCCCTTTCACATCAATAAGGAAAGTCTGCCTTAGGCAGAGTCGAGTATACGATTTGGACCATACAGTAAGCGCGTGTTTATACATCTCCTGGGCGGTGGAGTAACCCGAGGACCCGGATTCGATTCCACACATGGGTACAATGTGTGAAGCCTCTTTCTAGTGTCCCGCGACGTGATATTGCTATAATATTGCTAAAAGCGGCATTACTCTTTACTCACTCACTCATGGTCATATAAAACGTTCCTTTTGAAGTAAAGTGAAACTGTGGATGGAACTGGCGTATAACCAAACTCACTCACTCACTCATAATGAATCTTGTAAACAGTGATGATATCATGTGCTCACGAACTGATGTTGTGTATGTGCTTTCATTCCATACGTTGAGTGCAAAACTATAATGAATGTTTAACGTTAAAATATCATTTTCAGAAGTTAAATCTGACGAAAATGTGACATATCATACACTTTAACAATCACAAAGAGAATTGTTTATGTTACATCACATAACTTCATCTTCTGTAACTTGTTTCTCGGACCCGTGAAGATCCAGGATAGAATTGATTTTCACCAACTCATGCAAAGAGGCAACCAACGGGATCGGGTGGTCATGCTCGTTGACTTCGTTGATACATGTCACCGTATCCCAATTGCTTCGATCGATGCTTTTGATAGCAATCACTGGACCGATGGTCCGACCTCAAATATACAGACCGCCGCCATGAAGCTGGAAAACTGCTGTGTGCGGTGTTAAACAAATAATTGTTGAACCTTTCCAGAACTTGATACTATGTTTCAGTTGTCAGATGGCATGTGTTCGACGAGGTCTACCTACAGCAGCTCTGATACAAGCAGCTCTCTTCCAGGCCGGGAGGATGGACAAATGCACTATTCTGATGTTCCTCTCAAAAGACAACAAAGACAGGTGGCTAACTGTTGAGGTCGTAGGATCCAATTCTGCAGATCAGGTAGCTGAATCAAGGCAACAAAGGAACTTTTTTGAGATCTCTAGAAGTAGATCAGGGTCTTTTTGGATAAAACTAAGTGACAGGATACGAGTACATCTGGCAGGGAATATGAGGAGCGCAGAACAGGTAAAGAAGACTAAGTACTCGTTTCAGTACATTCACCAGTCGAGGAACAACTTCATCCAGTTCAGGACTCAGAAGGTAGTTAGTGGATCTGCCTACAGCGTTGTCGAGGTTTCAATAGCTGGACAACAGGTTCACGAAGTCCACTTCAACTATCCTGATGCAGGATATAATTTAAAGTATATGAAAAATCTACGCACGTATAGACCTGCAACAAGAGAAGAAACCCAATACTACCCTACCCCTGTTGCTCATGAACCACCTTCCGAGGTAGAATTGCCATCCTGTGGGGCAAGCGATACTGGTTATAACACTGAAGAATCTGGGAGACAGGAAAACACACGCAGTGAAGCAACGACGCCAATGACAGTGTCAGCCTCAAGTGATGAAAGTGGAATGGGTAGCGGCATATCTGAGATGTCTGAGGGAGCATCTAGTTCCTCCAGATCAAGACTTTCAAGAAGTGTGTCCATGCCTGCTTCGGCGTCTCACAATCGTCCCACCAGCAGCAACTTTCTGGGAAGCACGTGGCCAGAGGGGACAGTTGCATCTTCATCTCCTTCAGGTAATACTGAATACTGGGTTTTTTTCAAGCAGCACCCTGCCTGTCTTTTATGTCCACAAAGCTTAAATCCTCCATCTTCAATTTCACTTACTGCTCTTATATGCTCATGAAGGTTTAGGGGCAGTGGGGTAGCCTAGTGGTTAAAGCGTTGGCTCGTCACGCCGAAGACCCGGGTTCGATTCCCCACATGGGTACATTGTGTTAAGCCCATTTCTGGTGTCCCCCGTCGTGATATTGCTGGAATATTGCTAAAAGCGGCGTAAAACTAAACTCAGTCAGTCAGTCAGTCATGAAGGTTTATGATCCGACACTTCATTGTTTCTCTAAATGTAACATTTAACAACCTGCTATCACGATAAATTAACCCCGTAGGCACCCGGAGACAGGAGAGTGAAAGAGGTGTGGGGAAGGTGTCTTATTTCAGTACCAGTTAACGGAAGCGGTTGGTCCCATGGTTCGATGACATTTTTTACACCTGAATCACGCATTGTTGCTTGAGTGTTTTGAATGTCATTCTACCTGAACAGTGATCCTCATATTGTGCCATATTATTTTCCTCCTCTGAACTCTGAACCTGTTTTGGATCCAGCAGAACGTCACTCTATTTTAATATTAATTATCCCGTGATGTTTTGTTTGAAGCATAAGGTCAACAAACATTTTAATTTGAGGCACACGGCTTTTAGGTCAGTACATCTATTCCGAAAAGTTTTCCATAAATTGTTGATAACATGTTGTGTTCATTTTATGTTTCAGAACATCCAGTTTTGACGCAAGAGAGTCTCCTGGTGTTAGGAAGGCACGTCACTTTACGAGACTGCCAGGATGCCCTCATTTCTCTAGGCATGAACTTTGACACAATCTGCAAGATCAAACAGGAAGCCAAAGACCAAGACGCCAATGACGTGTTTCTTCTTCTGTTGAGATGGTACCAGAACATGAGAACAACGATGGACACTGTTCTTCTTATAAAAAAACTAGAGGGTGCCTTTAAGAAAGTTGGTCGTTCAGACTTATCTAACACACTTGCAAAGGTTAGGAAGAAGAGAAGAGGACTTAAAAACAAAGACTTTGCTTGAAACTTCATGGTAGACAACTTGCACAAGAAACTAACCACTCTGTAGGCAAACTGCAGCAAGCAATGACGATATAGTTAGAGAACTGACCTGGAAACTGCACCGGAAACTATATTGTATGTATGCAGATAGCACCAGAAACTAACTTCATGTTAGATAAATTGCACAAGAAACTAACCACATCATATGCGAACTGCATATCATGCCATTTGTACTGTGACAATGTTTTATGAACTACTTTCAACTTAAGCACACATATATACCCGTTGGGTTCTAATTTACCGGTGAAAACAATGCACGAATCTGATCAATATGAAAAACACTGGGATTATCAGTTTTCAGTACATATTAAAAATGGACAAAAAGGAATAAAAAATACGGCTTTGAGATATCAATGGTATATCAATTCATCTCAAAGTGTTCATGTTTCTGTTTGCTTATCTCCCTTGTGTTGTGACATCACAACGCCATGTCAAGTTTGAATCTGCGTGTGGTTCCTCTGTCAACAGTTACAGCTCCAACCGGTGCCTTGTTAGTAGCCGAACCATCATGGAGTGTTTGTCTCTTCGTTGTTTTACGCCGCACTCAGCAATATTGGAGCTACAAGGCCTCGGGCTGTAAACAATCGAGTCTTGACCAGACAATCCAGTGATCACCATCATGAGAATCTATATACATGTACACAATTGGGATACGATGACATGTGTCATCCAATTCCAACTCGGATCTTCATGGGTTCTAAGCTATATACTCCAAATATGTTGTTTATTTATTTATTATTAGTTTATTTTTTATGCTATATTGCGGATTACACATTCGTGCTTTCTGTGCTTTAGGTGCTTTACTCTGAGCGTGGGGGTTTGACTCTACCCAACAAAAGGACTACAGTCTGTTTTAACGGAGAAAGTGTGATCCCAAATATGACAGATAGTATGACCAGAAATTATTGAGAATTTTAGGAATATGTTTTCTAGTATAAACAACCTTGACCAGCTATCAAGTGCTTGGTTTCATTCAAGAGAGACAACTCCGTTAATCCTTTTTCATTAGTTTGTGAAGAGTTATCCCACTGTGTTTACTTGCTAGCAGACGACATTTTCAGTGATCCTAAGTATGGATGATTTAGAGAAGAGGAAGTTGATCTTAGAGTATTATAACAAGGACATCAGATCAGCTAAAGTGATTTCAAGGCATCCCTTTGTCCACTGTTTATCGTGTTTTGAAAAATTTGCAAATGGATGTGGTATTGAGCACCAGGGAGGCGCAGGTAGGCCCAGAAAATTGACTGTCGATGACCGGAGGCGGCTTGGTATTCTTGTTTCTAAAAACAAACGAAGGAGTTTAGAAAACTTAAGGCTGGATATGATTGATCGAGGAACTGTGGCTGTCTGTAAGGAGACAATTAGGGTTGGCAGAAAAGTCGAGGAATTCCATCACTGATCATGAAACCTGAACAAAAGGAGCGAAGATTGAACTGGTGCTTACAGCATAGAAATTTTAACTGGGACAATGTGATTTTCTGCATATCTGTGTTAGGGGCAACGTCCCTCTGTGTATTTGAAGGGAATATGAACAGTGAGAGGTACACAGATATTCTCGAGGGACATTTACTTCCATCTGCTCACGTGTTCTATGGAAATTTTTTGATTTTCCAGCAGGACAACGACCCAAAACATCGTTCAAAGCATTCACAGGACTGGTTTCGGACCCAAAATATGACATTATTAGATTGACCAAGCTAAAGCCCTGACCTAAATCCAATAGAAAATGTTTTGGGACTTATGAAGGAAAGTGTCAATAAGAAAAATCTGACAAATCTTGCTGAAATGAAAGAAGAGGTGGTCCGATATTGGGACAGCATGGACCACGACTTTCTAACTTCTTTGATCAGTAGTATGCCCCGCCGCATTGAAGCCTGCTTTGCTGTCCATAGTGACTTGACAAAATACTAACTGTCTTTGAATCTGGAGTTATGTTCTGCTAATATTCACATTTAATACGTGAGTAATGAGTGAATGTTTTTTTTTAAAATTACAATCTTTAAATTCTCAATAATTTCTGGTTGTACTGTATATGTTGCTCTTGATTTCAAGAGTGAACCTGTGAAAATCCGGGTAAGAATCGATCTTCAGCAATCCATGCTTGATGTAAGAGGCGACTAACGGGATCGGGTGGTCAGGCTCGCTTACTTGGTTGACACGTCATCATATCCCAATTGCGTAGATCGGTGATCATGCTGTAGATCACTAGATTGTCTGGTCCAGACTCGATTATTTACAGACCGCCGCCATATAGCTGGAATATTGCTGAGAGTGGCGTTAAACAACAAACCAAACCAAACTTTTCAAGAGTGTCAAAGGAAGGAGCATCATCCTTAACTTGGAGTCCATGTGGGCATGGATAGCAGCCCGTGAAGATCCGGGTTAGAATTGATCTTCAGTTATGCCACCTTGACACTTGCACAACTTTTGCCTCCGCACTGACGCGCAATTCGTCGTGGCAACGCGTGTAATTTACATGGTACGCATGACAGCGTGAAGACTAGTTTGCGCACTGTTTACGCAGTTGGCACGCAATGCGTGACCGAAAATGGTGCTCATTGTCACGCAATGGCACGCTATCGCACGACTTATTTACGTCTAGGTCAAGTATTACTGGAGCATTGTTTACGTCTAGTGTACGGCATGGTAAGCACGACGCGCATTGTTCCATCACGGGCATGTATTGCCACAACCACTTCGCGCATGCGTGAAGCAGTCGTGGTATTATTTGTGGAATTGCTTAACAAATTCGGCCAGCTTCATGGTTCCCTCATCCGTCCATTTGTAGTCCGGTATTTCTTTCTTGCTAACCCTGATCCTCTATTTCTGCTGTGATTGGGGCGCTTCTTGTGGCTCTCCTTGAGGTGCAGAAACGTCAGCACTTGAGGAGTTGGTGGGTTTGGGGTGGGTTGGGGGGCTGGGTTCGATTTCCTACATGGACGCCCATTTCTGGTGTCCATAGCAGTGATATTGCTGGAATATTGCTGAAAGTGGCGTAAACCCCAACTCACTCACTGATATGTTATTTTCATGACATAATTGAATGGTGACTGATCATATCAAGTTATATACGAAACTCAACACCCATAACAGCTTGCACAAACTGTGGTCTTAGCCAGTATGTGGACCCAAAATACTGACGGGCAACACATGCAGGAATCAAAGTGGTGAGCTCTGTTGATTAAAATGCATGTTTGTGACCCTTTTTCATCACATATCCGGAAGTGAAAGGGTCAACTCCAATAGCCATCCATGTGGTTGGTTGGTTGGTTTGTTGTTCAATGCTGCACTCAGCAATATCCCAGCTGCATGGCGGCGCTCATCCTCGATAATCTCCAGGGTTTACATTACGATCACTCTCCACTATACCCTGGATGCATCCACGGCTTGGGGGCGATGATTTAATTACCTCCCTTGGCTGGCTCCGCATTCTCACAGTAGCCAATCAGCTAAGCCGCCGTTACAACTGAGCTTGCCAGTGTCAACAAGGATAGCGGTCGCAGTCGCGAAGTTCGCAGTGCCACTCAGATTTTTGGGGAAATAATAAAGACAAATTGACAGATCTGAAACTTTAAAGAAATATATGACAGAACTCCTTCTACTTCTTTCAGAGTACCTCTGCATCAATTGTGTTCCCAAGTTTAAACGGTTAGATAATTTAAGAAGCGAAAGTGAGTTGTGATTGGTACGCTCAACTTTCCAGCGTAGGCACCTGACTGGATAAAAAGCCAGCCAAGGGAGGTAATAAAACCACAAGCATGGGTTGCTGAAGGCCAATTGTAACCCACATATACACAAGTTCTATCCATTAACCACACAACACAATCCACAAGGTCCCTCACTGCAAGCATCCAATCAACATGTTCAATTAAAGGTTATTGGGAACTGATTCTTCTCCGCATTGTCAGATTGGTTACTTATTGAAGAAATATTGTGACAAAATAACAAAGAAATGTTTACTCACAACTTTTAATCTCTTTTCAGTTTTCAGTTAACAGAGGATAAATGTTTGTCTAAACGAAATACAGCAGTGACAATGAACTCCAGTATTCAGTACAATATATTCTATACACACTCCACGACTTTGATGTTAAGTCACAATCTTCAACAGATATCATCACAGAAGAGTTATTCCTCATATCCATCAGGCAGGGGGTTCATGTGCTTGTTGTGCAACAGAGTATGGTTTCCGTCACCCCAAGGGAAACGCTGAAACAAAAAACAACCAGATTTTTATGTTAGGTCAATAAGCATTAAATTGACGCATAAAGTGACTGAATGTTGTTTGGCACAGGACTCCGCACAATCCAGACTGATCATGGCGGTCTGTAATACAATCGAGCAGTCCAAGCAAACCCATGACAAGAAGCAGAAGCAATTATCTTATTGAAAAAAGCATTCAGAGCTCAAGTCATATACTACTCCACTCTTAATAAGGACAAATTCTATTTTGCATGGAACACAAAACTGATTCTCTTAATATGTCACGTGAATATCTAAACATTTCTGACATATCTGAATATCCTTATCAAAACTGAGTAGTATATCATGAATTATGAGAACTTCCTGAAAGGAGCATATTCAGTTTCTGAAACAGAGGCTGATCTATTGGGCAGTCAAGCGAATTTTCTTTGGGAATGACTGGATGAATTGCATGAACTGACTGACTGAGTTTAGTTTTACGCCGCTTTTAGCAATATTCCAGCAATATCACGGAGGGGGACACCAGAAATGGGCTTAACACATTGTGCCCATGTGGAGAATCGAACCCGGGTCTTCGGCGTGACGAGCCAATGCTTTAACCACTAGGCTACCCCACTGCCCCTGAATTGCATGAAGGTCTGAAGGAATTTGAAATCTGGTGCAAGCTAAAAAAATTCCAAGCAAATAAGCCAGTAAACAATCGTCCATGGTAATTTTAGTGTAATGTTTTCTTTCAATGACAGCTGGCATTAACATCTTAATCCCTGAACCAAGAGATACAACCAGATCAGAAGATATGATCTGACCAAAGCCTGAACTGATGCCAGTCATAGATGTTTACCACTTTAACGAAACCAGCACTGCTGTGCTGCTAACTTTTAAACAGCCAGTTAGAAAATGGGATCCGAACTCGCAACTACGCAACCTCTGCACACCAAAGCAGCACAATCCTGACCAGCGATTTGAGTTCCTTATTACTCACTCACTTTCCAGTTTTGTCTGAAGCATATTGAACGATTGCATATAATAGACAAATGAGTTTCTGTTAAAGAATAGTTTTAAAGTCTGCTCATTGGGCATTTTGAACTTCACCCTGCCATTACCATTTTATTCAAACCATGCCATTTGCCCACTAGTACAGCATAAGAACAATTCCTGCAGGGATGCAACTGAACCTGAACTTTCACCATCCTTCAGCAGAACAGGAACAGTGATATGATTTGGATTGAGTTGTTCCATTGTCCCATCCAGGGTCAGGGTAACTATAATAACGAGTCAAAGTATCCACACAGGTTGTCACCTATCAATACTTTCCATGGTCTTCAATGAGCCATTGTGACCATTCCAGACGCGTCTTAGACATCAATGCAGTAAGACATTTACTTTTAGTTTCACAGTACTGTAAACATGATCTTCAAAATTTTCTACCTACCTACAGTAGCTGTTCACTAAAGTATGAGACAAGTCATTCCTGATGTATACTTGTCCCAGACTTACATAACCTGAAACACTCCAGGTCACTTCTCACCAGAAGCATGAGGAACTAAAATCTGTCTGTAAACATGTTCAAGGATCCAGACAGGCAACTAAGCTATGGACAAGTTAGTTGTTTAACACTGCACTCTACAATGTTCCAGCAACATGACGCAGCCTATAAACAATCATGTCTGGACCAGACAATCCAGTAATGGACATGAACAAGAATCTACACAGTTGGGGAACGATGACAATACCAGACAAGTCACCAAGAATCATCACGTCATCCATCATGTCGCCTCTTACGACCAGCATAGGTTCTTTGGGACCTACTCTTACCAAAAATCCCAAGAGTGAGCTTTTAGCAATACTCCAGCAACATCATGGAGGGGGACACCAGAAATGGGCTTTACACATTGTATCCATGTGGGGAATCGAACCCGAATCTTCGGCGTGATGAGCCAACTCTTTACCATTAGGCTCTCCAGAGTGCCAGTGGTACAAGACTGCATAACAACAGAGAGCCACATGACGCACCGTACATCATACCTACAATACATCACCATCAACCAAAAACAGCCACTTGACCAACAAGTACACTGACAATGGTGACACATCCAGACAACACATATACATACCATGACACGCTGTTCAAGGCTTGCTCTACGAAGTCCACCAAAGTATAAGGTCAATCCATGGTGTTTTCCAAAATGTTCAACGTAGACAACATGAGGCAGTTATTTTACCCTGTCTGCAATATACCAGCTAAAGCTGCAGCATTTTAATGGACCAGGAAAACCAATGACTGAAGGCATGGGCTCAATTAATGAAGCGATACAATCAGCAAGGTCACCTTCTAGTCTGAAGGGGCCAGTAACACCAATGACTGAAAGCATGGGCTCAATGAATGAAGCGATACAATCAGCAAGGTCCCCTTCTAGTCTGAAGGGGCCAGGAACACCAATGACTGAAGGCATGGGCTCAATGAATGAAGCGATACAATCAGCAAGGTCCCCTTCTAGTCTGAACGGGCCAGGAAAACCAATGACTGAAAGCATGGGCTCAATGAATGAAGCGATACAATCAGCGTGGTCCCTCACTGCAACTATCCGATCAGCATGAATGACAAGCAAAGGGTACTGGGAACCGATTCTACTCGTAAACCCACACAACGATGTCAAAACTTTCACATGCTGGAGAAATTTCTACTCTAGAAAAATTAAACAAAGAAATGCTTTCTAACACAACTTTTAATCTTCATTCACACAGTTTTCAGCTGACAGAACACAAATCAGATTCTTGTCTGAATGAAATACAGTAATGAAAATCAGCTTCAATATTCTGTTCCAACACGCAGCTATCTTGATATGAAGACATAAGCTTCAATAGATTTAATAATAGGACTAATTATTCTTCATATCCTTCTGGAAGGGGGTTCATTTCCTTGTTGTGGAACAGGGAGTGGTTTCCGTCACCCCAAGGGAAACGCTGAAACAAAAGACAACCAGAATCTTACATAAAGTCAATGACTATTTGATGGAAGAAGGGCTGGCAATTAATATAGATCACAGAGATCGATCATCGTTAAATCAATATCGATCGATTATCAATAAATATTGGAAAAGTAACTTTGTAGGCTTGGATTACCAACAAAATGCTGTCCTGAACAAAGTACAGGAGCAGCAGATGAATAAAGACCAAACTTTGTGTATTTTCTAAGTAACTCATTTACGGTACTATTGGTTACACAATTTTCATATCGATAATCATCAATAATGATTCCCACTGACGATATATCCGACTATCGATCTTCTTAGCCAGACCTAGATGGGAGCATAAAGTGATTGAATGTTGTTTTACACAGGAATCAGCACAATCCCCCTTGATCATGGCGGTCTGTCACATAATCCAGCCAGGTCCAAGCAAACCATGACAAAAAGCAGAAGCAATGATCTTCGGAGGAATAAGCATTCAGGAAATCCATACCACTCCATTTTCGATAAGGATATTTCTACTAAGCATGAAACAGAAAACTGATTCTCATAATATGTCAGGCGTATATTTAAATATTTGTGACATATTTGAATATCCCTATCGAAATGGAGTAGTGAAAGCAGCACATTCAGTGTCTGAAACTGAGGCTTGTCTTTGGGCAGAGATCGAGCAAATTATCTCAAGAACTAGTAAAGTGAGTTTACATGAGGGTTTGATGCTGTGGTGTCATTTTGATATGTACATTAATTCTCCAAACAATAGTGCAAATTGGTGCAAGCTCAAACACGCCAGGGCACAATGAGCCACCAAAACAATCCTATATGAGAACTGTGGGGTATTTTCTTTCAATTTTAATTAGCATTTACATTATTATACCAATTGAGATATTACAGAACTAACACCCTTGCCGTTTGCACTCTTGGCAGATTCTGGAGTCTGAACCAATATTGGGATTGGGTAACTGTCATAACTGGGTGAGTGAGTTTAATTTTATGCCGCTTTTAGCAATATTCCAGCAATATCACAGCGGGGGACACCTGGGCCGAGATTTGCAAAGCTCCCTTAGCTCTAAGATAGTCGTAAGTGCCATACATTAACATGAACTTACATCTATCTTAGCACTAAGAAAACTTCGGAAATCTAGGCCCAGAAATGGGCTTCACACATTGCATCCATGTGGGGAATCAAACCTGGATCTTCAGCGTGTCGAGCGAATACTTTAATCACTAGGGTACCCCACCACCCATCATAACTGAGAGTGAGTTTGGATTAACACAGCTTTTAGCAATATTCCAGCAATTTTATGGCAGGGGATACCAGAAATTGGCTTCACATATGTGGGGAACTGAACCCGGGTCTTTGGCGTGACAAGTTAACGCTTTAACCATTAGGCTACCCCAATGCCCCCATAACTGGGAGAATAGCATTCAAATGCTACAAAATCCCAGTCAGTACATATCTGGTTAGACCATGACCAATGGTGCAGAAACAATCTATACCTAGAATCGAGATAAATTCTCAAATAATAGGGATGTTTTGTTGAGTCATTTTTTAGAATCCAATTTTGCAAACAAGACAATAACTTTAATACACATTTGAACTCTATGAATGTCCTGAACTGGGTAAAAGTTGTAATTTGTTCCATCTACTGAGAGTGATAAAAATTATATCTCTCTCAAAATAATAATCCCATGTACAGGAAGTGTCAGTCTGACCTTCATTTCCTCAGGAAACTCAACGTTTTTGGAACTTTTCTATAAAACTTGTGTACAATCCATCCTCCTGTTCTCTATTCAGTGTTGGTTTGGCTCCCTTTCACTCAGTGATAACACAAACTAAACAAGATTTATAAAAACAAGGAGAGAAAATTATTAATCAGATCTCTAAGAGAATAGAATAGATGAACTTCATAGAGGAAAGGCTCTAAATTTAGCTATAAAAATTATTACTGATCCCTCTCATGTTTTACATGAATGTTAGGAACTTTCACCCTCTGGTCCTCGGTATAACATATCGACATGCAAATCCAAGCATTCTAAAATGTCTTTTGTACCATTATCAGTTTCTTTGTTGAATAGCCATTAATGTTCTCCATTCTCATGCTATTGTAAATTTGTATGTAATTATGATCATGTTTTTATGTATGTATATTATATACATGTATTTATGCTCACTCAGATGTAAGACAAATTCCCTCACGGGCAATAAAGAATATCTTATCTTGACACTTGGAAGCAGTACAGCAGTACAGCAAACGCAAGGGACACAACTCTGTACAGCAACTGAAAGCACCTCAGTTGACAGGACCCCAACCTCCATGCATACAGTTCATAGTCTTTTCATATATTTGACAATTTTTCTAATGCAAAGGTAACTTTAACAATGGCTTCATGTAATAACCATTGTCATCACAATGTGCTTAGCAGTTTCATCTTATTTTACCATGCCATTCAACCTTGTCTGGGTAATATGTCAAATATCTGTGCTAGCTTTCACTCATCAATAATTTTCGTAGTCTTAAATAATTCATTCTGATCATTCTATTCATATTTTAGACTTTAGACAGAATTTTAATGTTAACTTCACCATTCTACAAGAATTATCTGCTTCAAAATTGCTATCTAAATAATTGGTTGGTATTAAAGAAATATCACTCGTCTTTCCTAATTTGTACTTGTCGCAGTCTTACGTCAACTTCAAACCCAGCTGGATCTCTTTTGCATGAGAAGCATGAGGTACATGTACTTAGATCTTTTAGTTCAACAAGTTCAAGGACCCCTGCAAGTAATTTTTACTTGGAAAGCGATTGTGATGTGTCAAAGACACCCCATGATTTACACAACCATTGAGTACAGATATTTTTTTAAGGCATTTTCACTATGGATTTCACTGTATCTATTAGTGTATCTACATAAGGTTCTAATATTGATGCTGTAGGGACACAAATTTACCATTATCATATTAAATTAAAAATTCACTGCCAAAAAGTTCTACATTGATCAAGATTATCATCATCAATATAATCTACAATGATGATGAATGGGCAGAAAATCAATTTGAAACATTTAATGGATCATCCTAATTCATATTAAAGATTGTATTTACTAATTGCAAATCTATTATGTAGTACAATTAATTCATTATATGAAAGATAATTCTAATTTTTAATATAATTAATTGAATATTTAACTGATGTGTTGTAATGACAACCAAAGTGCTAAAATGTCATGTTGTTTGGCAACCAAATTACCTTTGATCGGAGACGGAGATGTTCATATGGAACAAATTCATCTGGCTTCATATGGTGATCTTGCAGGACGAAAGCATTGGCGTAACAGACAAGAACACCGGGTACTGCCACAAGGAAAGTCAGGATCTTCCACCTCTTTGCACCCCCTGAAATTGTCAAATACAAATCATCACTTAATGGCAAGATTATCAGTCTCCCTGAACCATACTGTTTTCCCCTTCACCATGTCCTTACTGGAGTAACTCCTATCTCAGTCTTTTTCAGTTTAATTGAGTTAGTTCTTTCAATCAAGTGTAGTGGGTCGTTGGAAACAAATACCATACATGCGATTGCACAAAAAACCCAAGGATGTTATCTCTGGAAATTGAAACATCCATTTGCAAGTTTGATGAAGTTGTATATTAGAAATTTATGTATGTCGTTGCCGAGGTCAGATTTTAACCTGGAATCATTATTTGAATACAGGGTAATCATTGTTAATGCTTGTTCATTTTATTGACATCCTAAAGAGGCTCTACAGAATGTTCATATCAGAAATAATTGATTTTGTTTTTTCCTTTAAACACAATAAAACACTGCAGGGAGAATTAACTATTCAGCATTTTCAGGTATGGGCACTTCTCTTTGATCCATCAAATGCGAATTATAGGCTTTATCCACTGTACATTGTTAACATTAACTGATGACCAACCTCTATGATGACAGCCTACAAATAACCTAAGTCAGTGAGTATGGTTTTACGCCGCTTTTAGCAATATTCCAGCAATATCATGACGAGGGACACCAGAAACAGGCTTCACACGTTGTACCCATGTGGGGAATCGAACACTGGCCTTCGGCTCGATGAGTAAACGCTTTAACCACTAGGCTACTCCACCGCCCCACAAATAAACTAAAGTACTTGCCCAAAAGTAGTAATATCTTTACTGTTGTGCCGAATCTATTTCCAACAATGAAAGTGAAGAATGTTAAAAAACTATACATATCGCTGTTGGGTATGGAATCACTTCTTTTGGGTACATGTCGATTATTGTATGGGTAGGTACAGGTTTTTCCTTGTAGGTTTTTGATTTGTGTAGGGACCACCTCCGTGGTGTAGTGGTTAGAGCGTCCGCCCGGAGAGCGGAAGGTCGCGGGTTCCATCCCCGACCGCGTCATACCAAAAGACGTTAAAATATGGTACTTGTTGGTCCCTGCCTGGCGCTCGGCATTACTGGGTACATCAAGGACTGGTCGGCTCGGAGTCAGTATAATGTGTCTGAGTGGGGTATTCATTCTTCACTGCGGCATGGTATCTCAGTGGGCTAGCACTATAAAAGCAGCTTATGTCTGGGCTAGTACAAGCAGCCGCACATACACACGCATGCACGTCGTCATATGAGCGAAATATTCTCAAGCACGACGTAAAACCCAATTTCACCTCACCTCACCACTTGTGTAGGTGTCTGCTAAACAATACAAGTTACATGCTGTCCAGTTCCAGAATAATATCTTCTTTGTGAGTGGCATTTTAGGAGTTTAATAATTTGGACAAACTTAATGGATATGTGATTGCTTTTATTCATGGGTGTGAATATCCTGCTTGACAACTGTACAAGTATCTGTATTGAAGTGCCGCACTCAAGAATTAAAAGAAGTTGTTATTCATAACGTTTGTCCATATTCCTGAATAACAGTATTAATACATGGTAATGCTTGGACGTATTCATTCCAAAGCCATACACTAATGTGCACACCAGTGATTGTGTTCATATGCCCGCCTTGATATTTATCTACAACCATTTGTTGTTGTTATAAGTAGTTTTCTTACAAACTTTATCCAAATAATATGGACTGAACTTAAATGAATTGTCAACAATGCAATCCTCAAGGGAAATTTTGTGAAGGTCATGTGAAGTTCACTGCTACACACCTACTTTACCTATCGAAAGATTGCAAATACCTAAATCTATATGGGGAATTTGTTGATTAAGCTGTTGTTTCACAGACGGGGATAAACACCGTTCTAATTCTTTGCACTATCTCTGCTTCAAACTTTGAATAACCTCAGCAGTAGAGCCACCATTCACGCACGAGATCATTGCACGTACGTTTATTACCAACAAACTTCGATAAAGCTTTACCGCTACCCTCAGATTCATACAGCAAGTTCTTGACAAATTCATTTTCACAAATAATTACCTGCGTGTTCCCCTGCTACAGCAGAGGATCCTTGGACAGAGGAAAGTCTCCTTGCAATCAGGCTCCCGAGTCTCGACGCCATTTTGACTGCTTTGGTGCGATAAAAAAGTTGGAATGACTATGTTTACCACTGAATCAGGAATTAAGTTGTTTAGAACTACTCTTGTTAAAGTTTCTCATTTGCAAACGAGGCGAGAGTTTGGAGTTTATTCTGAACCAACATTTACGATAATAAGAATGCAGTTGCTTCAGTATCTAGCGAAAATCAGGAATGTTGATATATAAATGTTTTGGTCACAGGGTGACTGATCAGATGCCAGGCTGTCAGGCTTTCTGACTTAGAGTGCATATGATCTATCCTATTTTCGTGGATTGCCTGTCAGTTACATGATTGCCTAGTCCAGAAGTAGCAGAACACCGACATATGCACTTAGGATATTGATGAGTGCGGTACGTGTTAAACACGAAACGATGAATCACAATAGAATGATCAATCTCGTAACAGTTAATGCATAACTTTCATTGGTGTTGTATCACGTGTCAGTCTACATTACTTTGTTATATCTCCGTACTTCACAAAAAACGTGACTGGAAAGTTGTGAGCGGCATAAAATAAAATAATTGAGCACCACATAACGAACAGTTTATCACACACTAAGCGTCGATTCACGGTACATTGTTGTTGGGTCTTGTTTCTGAGAATTTGCGAATGTTTTGAATTCCATTAAGGTTCACACACATAGCCGGAAAATAACTCATCCACCTTTTGCAAACACCTTACAACATGTTGCCGAGTTAAACATTCAGATGTCGTCGGCCATTTACGGAAATAGAATCAAACGGCTACTTGCGATAACTTTCGAGATAAGCTTGATGCCTCAAGCTAGTCTCATTTACAAAGTTACCATACATTCACACCGATAACAATAATATATTGGTGTTTTTGTCCCTGAACAAAATACATAATTCCCCCAGATAAACACATCTGTGCTTCTTTGATAAGATGCATATCTCTATGAAACTAATGATGTAAATTAATTCCATACAAATATATCGAGAAGATGTTTACGTTTATCGTGTAGTATGACCTTCCGGAACAGGAAAAGCGGCAATATCAATGGACGACATGAAATTTGATCATAAAGGGTTTTCATGTCAACAAAATGGAAATGGTCATCTAAATCTCGTATAGATGTTTACAAACGCATTTTGTAGAAAATGTCACATTGGATATGGGCAACAGTCACGATAAAGCACCGCTGAGGAAAGCCTTATCCGTACCGGACACACAGGTGAATGTCAAAATTTTGTCACCAGTTGATTTTTTTGTATGTGGGATTGTCACAATGTGTTTGCTGTCATGTTAACGGGGAATGAGTATATGGTTTATGGTTCAGTGTTTTCAGTGATTAATATGCTTTGACCTAGAAATCTCACTATTTTGCACATTGTTTAATTCTGGGCTAGAAATTGTTTGTTTTTCTGTATTTTCACAAGTCGCAACCACATTTCCGAGCTTTACAATGCAGCGAGATGGAACACATCCTTTGTGGACTTACTTTTTCTTAGTTATATACTATGAGAAAATACCACTGCCAAATCCTGTGTAGCATGGGGCATGGAGTCCTCTCACAGATAATATACTTGGTACCACGGACAAGGCGTACAACTTCGGATTTGAAGGTCCTTGCTTCCAATCCCATCAACATGATCAAGGGACTTGGAAATTTTGGCATTTTATGGCCACTACACTAGCGCCCAACATGAGGCTGAACATGCTGATAATAAATGTTGGCGAAAAAGTGCCAAGACCCCACATTGCGCCCCTGGACATGCCTTCTGTTGATAGGGGAGTATGTAGTGTGGAGTCATCTGACAGATAACATGACCAACAGGACAAGTAAGGAAGAAGGTGCATGATTATGATTATGTAGACACCTCTCATGCTGTCTATAATCATATACTCCTTGTATTAGAGGATTAGACAACAGTATCCATTACTCTTTCTTGTCAGTTTTAGTCCTCATTATTTTTATTTGACAGAGCTTGTCAGCCAATGCATCTTTTGTGAGAGAGAAGTCCCGTAGTTCCAACCGCCTGTTCCGCATCGGTTCATCGCGGGATGTCCGGCGAGCCAATATACCACGTCGAGAAGAACAACCTCATCTATGGGGGGTACCCCTCACTGAGGCGCTTTTCTTACCAGATTTCCCCGTCAGAGGAGACCTGGAAGATCAAGAATTTGAGGTAAACTGAAAAAAAGTAACTGTTTGATTATCTGGATGAAGAATGAGGACAACATCGCCGATACAGAAAAAAGAAGTTGTATCCACAAAAAATCGTCCTCATTCTTCATCTCCTCCACTTCTAGAATGCCAGTCAAAGAAGTCATATCTTGATGAATATTGTGGCAGTAGTGCTGTAATTGGTCAGTCAATCGATCTCACTTGCGCCAGCCATTATCAATGGGCATGGGAGACAAAACGATATTCATAAAAAATTAAACAACAAATTGAACTTTGGAAAATATATTTCTCCTTGTTACTGTAATCGTAGTTAATTTCGGGTTGGATTAATTTTCGCTTTTAGTAGAAAAAGATTGTTCATCAATAATCATACCAAGCGAAATATTCATGGTCAAGTCATGACAAATACTCAAGTAGGAACAACATGCAATTTGTTTAATGCAGCCAATCAATGATTTGACCATGTGAACAACACGTGTTCATAAATGTCAAGCACTACTTTATGATTTCTATGTTTAATTATCGTAAGTCCTAGTATACACTCTTCCTTAATTCGTTGTCAGTTGATCTCGCATATGGGACAGGTGTTGTCATGTTGACACAAGTATAATCCCAACTCTCTCTCTGATTGGTTTAGTAAACACGATTCAATTATGGCGGCAAGCTTTGATCATTGCATGTCTATCGGTTGTGAAAACTCTATGATGGATACCATCACTCAGGTGTTTGAATTGCGTGAAAAAACAACTGCGCTAACAGGTCTTTTGTGAACTTTCCGCGAAAATTGCACCCCGTGAAAATATATACGATTACAGTATGTTTGTAACTTGATGGCATAAGTAAAACTGATGCTGTTTCCTGACTTTAAAAACTGCAATGTAAACAACATCACATGCGTGTGTCAACACTAAAAATCCTCAATCGTCTTGATTGTAGTCTTAAACTATTAATCAGTGCCTGTTCTGTTTGTATAATGATATGATCATGATGATTGTGTCTTGTTATTGCCCACGTGAGTTTTGTAGCGTGGTTGACAATTACAGTTGATTATTGATTGATTACTCAGCTCCGAATGAGTCCGATTATCAGTCTGCATATGGAGCGACAACCAACGCCAGATATACACGTTAATTACAAGTACTGGGCTCACATGGTTGAAGAATCAACTGGTGTACGGCATTTTACACACAAATATATCATTCACTCTGAAATATTTCTTTGTAAGGCCCCATTTACACTTAGCCACAACCTATCTGCCTTCTTTGTGGATTCTAAAAATGATCAGGACGATCAACAGTCACCAAACTTCAAGAACAACATATTTCTGTGTAACTGCTCCGGCGATCCATCTGCCTTCCTTGTACAACCAAAATGTACATTTCTGGCATTTTTGTGGCGATCTTCGAGAATCCTGCGCGTCCTTTCAGCGACACTTGTGCCTTCCTTCTGGCTCCCCTGTACGACCATGCAACCAACAGCAACCAAGAAATAACCACAAAGAAATCAGAATGGCCGCGTCCTGTGTAAAGGGGGTATAACATTCTATGTAATTTTGTACCTTCATCTATCCTAATCTATCAGTGTAATAGACATGAAGGTGTATTGTTACTATTCAATTTGCAAGAGTTGTGTGTTGGTGAGAAGTCTCGTCACAGCTTGTGTTTGTCTACAGGTGATAGACATCATTGCAAGGGGAGCTTATGGGAATGTTCTCAAGGCACAGAGGGAAGATGAGAAGAAATTTTATGCAGTCAAGGTTTGTAAATCCTTATCGCCCACAAGCAAGAAGATTTGTAGAGGAACAAGTTGTATGGATTGACAACTTCTTTATTGCAATATATGGGATGTTTCGGGTGTAGATGCTAATACCGTTGTCAACCAAGTGACTGAAACGTCACATCCTTTGCAATAGATAAGTTGACAATCCATATAACTTGATCCTCTTCATCATATCCTTTTCTGAAATACACTTCAAGAAAAGAAGTATGTATGAAATAACTCAGAGATGCCAACCACTCCGATTTTGGCAGAGTTACTCCAATTTTCAAATACAAAATCTGATCTCCGATTTCTCTGTAAAAAACCTTAATTTTTGTAAAAGTCTGAATTTATTTTACACTGGTAGCGCATACAATTTGGGTGTAAGTCACTGGTGATTTATTTGAGTGAACACTGGTTAACCCCATTCAGAAGCTTAGCGAATGGCAGAGCCGATCCTTTGGGTGTCAATTATGTACATTGCGTGTTATTGACTGTGAAGCTTCACAAAGTTTTTCCCCAATGCATGACTTTAGTCTGTTTTGTGAAAGTGAAACAGAATGGCAGAGCTGATAACATGCCCTCAACCCTCAACTCAACTCACCCCCAACTTGCACCTGTGGTGTTCAGGGTGGCAAGATTGAGTGAGTCATGACTCCGTTTTCTTAGATTCAGGGTTGGCATCTCTGATAACTGTCAGTTGTTCATTAGTTCAACCTGCTATTCTCATTTCTGTTATTTCAACAATGTCAACATGTGTCAGCCTGGTGTATGCCAAGGTCTCTGAATACCAAAGCATGATGGTATGTAGCTCATGCTTGGTATGTATATCTTATGATGGTATGTGGTATAGTTCATGATGGTATGTGTAGTTCATGTTGGTATGTATATCTTATGATGGTATGTAATCCGAGAAGTTACTACTGCAACAAAGAAGTTGTCTATCCATAAAAGTGTTCCACTTCATCATACCAGCTTCTAAATGCCACTTAAGGATGTTAGCTCATGATGGTATGTGTAGCTCATGATGGTATGTATACCTCATGATGGTATGTGTACTCATGCTGATGGTATGTATAGCTTCATGATGGTATGTATAGCTTCATGATGGTATGTATATCCGAGGTATGTACTACTGCAATGGTATGTGTAGTTCATGATGGTATGTGTATACCAGCTTCATGATGGTATGTGTAGCTCATGATGGTATGTGTAGCTCATGATGGTATGTGTAGCTCATGATGGTATGTGGTATGTGTTCATGATGGTATGTGTAGCTCATGATGGTATGTAGCTCATGATGGTATGTGTAGCTCATGATGGTATGTGTAGCTCATGATGGTATGTGTAGCTCATGATGGTATGTGTAGCTCATGATGGTATGTGTAGCTCATGATGGTATGTGTAGCTCATGATGGTATGTGGTATGTCATGATGGTATGTGTAGCTCATGATGGTATGTATACCTAACTCATGATGGTATGTGTAGCTCATGATGGTATGTGTATCATGATGGTATGTGTAGCTCATGATGGTATGTGTAGCTCATGATGGTATGTATAGCTCATATGGTATGTGTGATGTATGTGTAGGTATGTAACCCATGATGGTATGTGTAGCTCATGATGGTATGTATAGCTCATGATGGTATGTGTAGCTCATGATGGTATGTGTATCTCATGATGGTATGTGTAGCTCATGATGGTATGTGTAGCTCATGATGGTATGTGTAGCTCATGATGGTATGTATATCTCATGATGGTATGTATAGCTCATGATGGTATGTGGTAGCTCATGATGGTATGTGTATCTTCATGATGGTATGTGTAGCTCATGATGGTATGTGTAGCTCATGATGGTATGTATAGCTCATGATGGTATGTGTAGTGTAGGTCATGATGGTATGTATACTCATCATGGTATGGTATGTATGTGTAGCTCATGATGGTATGTGTAGCTCATGATGGTATGTGTAGCTCATGATGGTATGTGTAGCTCATGATGGTATGTGTAGCTTCATGATGGTATGTGTAGCTCATGATGGTATGTGTAGGTCATGATGGTATGTGTATCTCATGATGGTATGTGTAGCTCATGATGGTATGTGTAGCTCATGATGGTATGTGTAGCTCATGATGGTATGTGTAGCTCATGATGGTATGTGTAGTTCATGATGGTATGTGTAGCTCATGATGGTATGTATACCTCATGATGGTATGTGTAGGCTCATGATGGTATGTATATGTCTCATGATGGTATGTGTAGCTCATGATGGTATGTGTAGGTCATGATGATGGTATGTGTAGCTCATGATGGTATGTGTAGGTCATGATGGTATGTGTATAGTCATGATGGTATGTATACCTCATGATGGTATGTGTAGCTCATGATGGTATGTATAGTCATGATGGTATGTATATCTTGATGTCGTAGTATGTCATGATGGTATGTGTATATCCTCATGATGGTATGTGTAGCTCATGATGGTATGTGTAGCTCATGATGGTATGTGTAGTTCATTATGGTATGTGTGCTCATGATGGTATGTATATCTCATGATGGTATGTGTAGCTCATGATGGTATGTGTAGCTCATGATGGTATGTATATCTTTATGATAGTGTAGCATGATGGTATGTATATCTCATGATGGTATGTGTAGCTCATGATGGTATGTGTAGTTCATGATGGTATGTGTAGCTCATGATGGTATGTGTAGCTCATGATGGTATGTGTAGCTCATGATGGTATGTATATCATGATGGTATGTATATCTTATGATGGTATGTGTAGCTCATGATGGTATGTATATCTTATGATGGTATGTGTAGCTCATGATGGTATGTGTAGCTCATGATGGTATGTGTAGCTCATGATGGTATGTATAGCTCATGATGGTATGTGTAGCTCATGATGGTATGTGTAGCTCATGATGGTATGTGTACTTCATGATGGTATGTGTAGCTCATGATGGTATGTGTAGCTCATGATGGTATGTATACCTCATGATGGTATGTGTACTTCATGATGGTATGTGTAGCTCATGATGGTATGTGTAGCTCATGATGGTATGTATACTTCATGATGGTATGTGTAGCTCATGATGGTATGTGTAGCTCATGATGGTATGTATACTCATGATGGTATGTGTAGCTCATGATGGTATGTGTAGCTCATGATGGTATGTATACCTCATGATGGTATATGTATACTTCATGATGGTATGTGTAGCTCATGATGGTATGTGTAGCTCATGATGGTATGTATACTTCATGATGGTATGTGTAGCTCATGATGGTATGTGTAGCTCATGATGGTATGTATACCTCATGATGGTATGTGTAGCTCATGATGGTATGTGTAGCTCATGATGGTATGTATAGCTCATGATGGTATGTATATCTCCTGGTATGATGGTATGTGTAGCTCATGATGGTATGTGTAGCTCATGATGGTATGTATATCTTATGATGGTATGTGTAGCTCATGATGGTATGTGTAGCTCATGATGGTATGTATAGCTCATGATGGTATGTATACTTCATGATGGTATGTGTAGCTCATGATGGTATGTGTAGCTCATGATGGTATGTATACTTCATGATGGTATGTGTATCTCATGATGGTATGTGTAGCTCATGATGGTATGTATAGCTCATGATGGTATGTGTAGCTCATGATGGTATGTGTAGCTCATGATGGTATGTGTAGCTCATGATGGTATGTGTATCTCATGATGGTATGTATATGTTATGATGGTATGTGTAGTATGTATGTCTTCATGATGGTATGTGTAGCTCATGATGGTATGTATAGTTCATGATGGTATGTGTAGCTCATGATGGTATGTGTAGCTCATGATGGTATGTGTAGCTCATGATGGTATGTGTAGCTCATGATGGTATGTATATCTTATGATGGTATGTGTAGTTCATGATGGTATGTGTATGTGTGTAGCTCATGATGGTATGTGTAGCTCATGATGGTATGTGTAGCTCATGATGGTATGTATAGCTCATGATGGTATGTATAGCTCATGATGGTATGATGGATGGTATGTGTAGCTCATGATGGTATGTATAGCTCATGATGGTATGTGTAGCTTATGATGGTATGTGTAGCTCATGATGGTATGTGTAGTATACCTCATGATGGTATGTATATCTCATGATGGTATGTGTAGCTCATGATGGTATGTGTAGCTCATGATGGTATGTGTACTTCATGATGGTATGTGTAGCTCATGATGGTATGTGTAGCTCATGATGGTATGTATATCTCATGATGGTATGTGTAGCCTATGATGGTATGTGTAGCTCATGATGGTATGTGTAGCTCATGATGGTATGTGTACGCTCATGATGGTATGTGTAGCTCATGATGGTATGTGTAGCTCATGATGGTATGTGTAGCTCATGATGGTATGTATACTTCATGATGGTATGTGTAGCTCATGATGGTATGTGTAGCTCATGATGGTATGTAGCTCATCATGGTATGTGTAGTATGTGGTATGTATATCTTCATGATGGTATGTGTAGCTCATGATGGTATGTATACATGATGGTATGGTATGTGTATGTAGCTCAGCTCATGATGGTATGTGTAGCTCATGATGGTATGTGTAGCTCATGATGGTATGTATACCTCATGATGGTATGTGTAGCTCATGATGGTATGTGTAGCTCATGATGGTATGTGTAGCTCATGATGGTATGTATACTTCATGATGGTATGTATACCTCATGATGGTATGTGTAGCTCATGATGGTATGTATACCTCATGATGGTATGTGTAGCTCATGATGGTATGTATACCTCATGATGGTATGTGTAGCTCATGATGGTATGTATACCTCATGATGGTATGTGTAGCTCATGATGGTATGTATACCTCATGATGGTATGTGTGGCTCATGATGGTATGTTTAACTCATTATTTTATGTATAGGTCATGTCATGTGAAGCTCAGGTTGTGATGTGCAGCTGATGATGTGATGTATAGCTCATGATGTGATGTGCTGCTTATAATGGTATCCTCATGTTATGGGCTTTTGGACACTTATGAACATCCATTCTTATCCAGGTTATCGCATGAACAATTTTAAAACATGTCACAAACTTATTACATGAGATAATTTTATCGAGTAAGCACTGCTATCCGAAAATGCATGATGTCCCAAAACCTACGATCTGACAATACTTAGCTGTATGAGATGTGTACGTCATGATGTCACATGCATCCTTGTGTAGCTGATGGTGGTACTTGTTGCTGCAGGTGCTGGAGAAGAAGCAGATCATTGGGGAGAGTGCAATACAGCAGTGTAAAGATGAGGCAGCAATACAGGTAGGTTACCATGGCAACAACAGCAGTGTAAAGATGAGGCAGCAATACAGGTAGGTTACCATGGAAACAACAGCAGTGTAAAGATGAGGCAGCAATACAGGTAGGTTACCATGGAAACAGCAGCAGTGTAAAGATGAGGCAGCAATACAGTTAGGTTTACCATGGAAATAACAACACCAGTGTAAAGATGAGGCAGCAATACAGGTAGGTTACCATGGCAAAAACAGCACTGTAAAGATGAGGCAGCAATACAGGTAGGTTACCATGGAAAAAACAGCACTGTACAGATGAGGCAGCAATACAGGTAGGTTGCCATGGAAATAACAGCAGTGTAAAGATAAGGCAACATCACAGGCAGGTTACGATGGAAATAACAGCAGTGTAAGGATGAGGCCGCAATGCAGGTAGGTTACCATGGAAACAATAGCAGTACAATGATGAGGCAGCTATGCAAGTAGGTTATCATGGCATTCTGCATTCATCTCATGGAAACAGCAGTTGGAGGCAAGCTTTCAAAGGATAAAAAACAACCCCAAAATAGATTCATGTTGGTTTTTAATCCATATAATACTTTCTACTTCATCTTCCACAAGAGTGAGTGAGTGAGTATGATTTATGCCGCTTTTAGCAATATTCCAGAAATATCATGGCGGGGGAAACCAGAAATGGGCCTCACACATTGTACCCATGTGAGGAATCAAACCCAGGTCTTCAGTGTGTGGATGGTTTAACCACTAGGCTACCCCACCGCCCTACTTTCACATGAAACTAACATGCCAAGACTGAAAAAACATAAGCTGTAAGTCCCTTCTCCAATTGACACAGCTGAGGCTGTCTATAGCTTCATTGAACTTGTTTCGAACCTTCACAAGTTCCGCTCCTGATACTTAACAGTGCAAAGAGAGTCATATTCCAGAGAATCATCAGTAATTCTAAACCAGAATAAGAAACCAGTTCAATACAAGAAAATGACCAAATATTTTTGAAAAACCCCATCTTTTCCCGTTCATTCTGTTCCCAGTGTGTTCTGAACTAACACTGTTGTTCAAAGCTTCTTAGATATATACTATAGATAGCTTATCTGAATTTTAAGGACAAAAAAGCAGTCTGTATACAGAGGTTGCTTATCTACAGGTTACACTTTTGTTAAACTGTTTTCCTGGTGATGAGAAAATCCCCATCGTATCACTTCACATGAACAACACAGGGGTTCAAAAATCCCATCGCCCGACGCCCGGGACAAGTCAGTTTTCATTTCGGGCAATCAAATAATGGTATCTTACTTGTCCGTGGGCTACTAAATAATCTCTGCTTACGGTTTCAAACTGCAAATAAACTTGGATTTCATTTCATATCTGCTCAAAATGTAGCTATTAAATTTTGCAATGGTAATTAAGTAGAGTTATCCTTCTGTGCCATTTATGACTTTCGATAAGTAGTCCAGTGAAAATTAACATCAAAAACCATGTTAATTTATTCTGTCATAATTTCATCATCATGATTATGTCATAAAAATCAGGGCAAGTGGAAAATTAGCCAGGAAAAAGTTACTTTCTTAAAACCCCTGCAACAAGAGAAAACGAAGGTACTCAAAAGAAATGATAGAATGCTCATCTGTTTCATATGGCTAATGTTAATCTGTCATAGCTGGGGGGTATTGCAACACATAGAATTCCAATGGTGGGTGTTCCTTTAGTTCTTGTGAGTAGTATATATAGACGTCGTAACGACAAGAAAAGTTACATTTCAGATAACCATGTGTGACGTTTTTCTTTCAGTCCATGCTCGGTGACCATCCATACATCGTTAAACTTAATGAATACTGGCAATCCAAGAAATATTTGTTTATAGGTAAGACAATAAATGTATTTTCTAAGACTAGTCAAGAAGAAGACCTTTTTTTACTGGAATTAGATTCACACTTTGTATGTTTTGTTTGTTTGCTTTTTAATGCTGCACTCAGCAATATTCCAGCTGTATGCTGGCGGTCTGTAAATAATCGACCAGACAGTCCAGTGATCAACAGCATGAGCTTTGATGTTTCCATTTGGGATACAATGACATTTATTACCCATGTGGTCAACGTATGGGTAGTTTCATTCTAATCTCGTACGTCACACGAGTGTCGTATCTCATTGACCTGTGTCGTAACGCCTTGACCTGAGATTCTAACGATTTGATTGGATAACCGATGACCTCTCAATTAGGTCACGTTGTGACGGAACTACTTTCATTCATAACAAACACGTGAATTCATTTATTCTACAACTTATATGCATTGTGGGAATGTAAACATTGCGAACGGTGCAGTATCGCTGTTTAATTGTGAGTCGAACTGAGACATTATATACGTTGAAAAGCCAGTGAGGTTAGCTGAGTGATGCAACTGCAAACTAAGAAACGGGGTGCCATGGAGTAGTTAAAGTTGGAGGCTGTACGAGGCGATGGCAACTGACATGCATCATGAGGTCGGTTACCAAGGGGGCAGACGATGAAAGCGTAGTGACGTCAATACAGTGTAACGTCATGCAAAAAGTGTACTACAGAACAACATTCTTCTGCAACCTCTTTATGAAACTGGTTTCGGTTTGAAACCATAACAATACCAAAAATACGCTAATTTGTCAATTTAATGCATGTAAGATGTGGGTAATAAATGAAATACCACACTCGATTTCATAACGTGCGAATTATACGAATCTCGAGGACATAGTTTAGGCCAAATGTTAGAAAAGTCCCTATCTTTTAGGATCTCTCAGCAGCAGTAAAAGCGTTATCCAGTAATTGGTATGACAACTCCCACCCTCCAAGGATTCTTGTCAATGTGGAACTAGACACAGAATGTATCAGGTTGCTGAAAACAAACAAGGATTACCTCGCTGTTGAAACAGTGTCCACATGTTCATAGACCAACTGCATGAGTATTAACACCATTTTTCCTTATCCTGACTCATGCTCTTTTATGTTTGAACAATTGTCTTCTTCTTGTCTTCTTCTTCTTGCTAACATAGTGGAACACTTGTATCTCCCTAATTGAAGCTCCCTTCAATTTAAAATCACTAATTAGTATTCACCACGAAGTTACCTCCTTTCCACAAGCTGAACGAGGGCTTCACCTCTACCCATGTGCCTCACTCTCCTTCTTCCCCAGTGAGCTGGATCGAGAGCTTGTGTCTCCCGACACACTATATCCTTTGAATTATATTTAGTTAGTTACCTCGTGATAGACATCTATAGAGGTTTAGCTAGTATCCTTCAACGATTATATATTGATATTTAGTCGCTTTTCTACAGTTTATTCACGGACGCCGTGGTTTGTTTCAGTGGATTACGCTTGATGAAAATTCTGTACTATTGCAGATTACGCTTTTTATGCTGCTGCTGATCCGCCTTTAATATGATGTACGGCCCATGTTTATTATATTCACATTGCAGTTGCGTACTAATTTATCCAATTCTACCTTTTTATTAATATTTACTTTGGCGCTTGGCACGCACAGCAGATAGGTCGCGATGCAGAGTCTAGTATGACTGATACACGAAACCCCTCGCCAGTCTACTGCTGTTGGCCACTTCCCCGTGTGGTGGTGTTCCGCTAGAGTGGTGGAGAGGTGTGGGACGAGTCCGCCATCTCCAAGAAGCATCCTGCTTCCCCAGACATCCCATCGCCGCAGCAGAAGACTAGAGGGTTTTTCTACTACATCTCAACAACCGGTGACCGCTCCCATCGAAGTTTTGGGCCTGTATGATGATCAGCCGGTCATCATACCGATGTACATCAAAGATTGACCGATGTCGCACAGATCAGCATGCAGCCTGATGTACCAACGCAGATATGGCGATCGCCCTGAGGGTCCCATCATTACCAACACTCAACGCAGACGCCGCGACACCCAGGGCAGCGCCGACCTCTGAGGGAAAATCAACGGTCTACTAGGACTTTCAACCGAGATTGTTCCAGCCGATGACCTGGACCTCTACGATGATCAGCTGATCATCATCCCCGACGCACGCCACAAGAAACGCACCGGGACAGCTACAACGACATCAGCAGAGATCACCATGCAGCCTGATGCCTCTACACTGATGTCGGACGATTTTCCGTGGACCCTCCATTAACACCGCAGATAAAGCACCGACGACCTCGCCGCAGACCATCCCAGAAGACATGATGCGACAAATTATGAACATCATGGAGGACCAATATCTGCGGTAGCAGGGTCCGAAGCTTCGCTAAGGCTCCAACGTGACAGCACCCCAGAGGCACCCCCGCCAACGTAGCAGCCAGGACGATGTCACCTTCGCTAAGGAAGTCACGGACCACCTTGACGGCGACCTAGATGTACAGCCTTCGCTTCGGCGGAAAGAACCTAGATGTACAGCCTTCGATACAGCCTGGGCAAGGACTTCGCGAAGGCAGGATAGATCATCACCTTATGCGTTTCATCCCTAGATGTGGACTCGACCATCAGACATCACGGAAGCCTTCGCTGAAGGTCATATCGTTCCCCGGACCGACGCAGAGGAAGCTTCGCTAAGGCATGCGCCAAGGACACCTGAATCCAGATCATCATCATCTAGAAGGACATCGAGGGACTATACAAGAGCTTCGCTAAACTATCAACGCTCCCTCACAAGTCTCTCGAAGATCAACCCATAGACAAGTTGATCATCGATATCAAGTATAAGAACTACAATCGTGATATTGGTTCTGTTGAATCCATGACGAGACGTGATGTTCGCTGGCCTAAATAGATCTAGAACGATCAATTAGACACTTATCACCAGACTTCGTGAATACCTACTTCTGAATATGATAAGATGATCCATGCGGCCCATTTTAGGCAAGCGCCACGATCCCACATCCTGTTAAACACAGAGGCTGTTCACGGCAAGCCATATATATATTTATATATATATATATATACTAATCGGGCTTTGACTCGGGCTGTCTCCTTCACCCAGAAGATCTATTTCCATATACTCAGCCACTCGTCCATATATAGCTACTGCTAGCTACAGTCCGTTTCAAGACGCCGCATAAGTTGATTATCAACTGTATGCCAGATGCCGCCTATAAGCCCACGCCAAGATAATTGCTCAGGCTATTTACAACACAGAACGCCGCTGTATTATTAGTCAACGACATTTCATAGATCTTCACAGAAATCAACTATTCCGTGATAAATTGCTAATATACAATCCGGACGACGATACGATTATCTACATGCGACCATTACGCATATCTGCAGACAATTCAATATCGAAATTGAACAGCAGCCTTGTTACAGCGAGTATAACTCTTTAATCGCAAAGTTTCTGAGAAGAAATATGTACAACAAGTTCAACGCAATTCTACAATTATGACGATACATTCATGTATACAGTCTACAAGCTCACAACTTGCAAGTTGTTTATACCCTTATATATAAGGAAGTCGGAATTATATTCAAAACTGAAATTACTTTCACGACAACCAGGAAAATAACCTACCCAGCATAAAATTACAGAGCGAGATATTTCGCTACCGGAGGTTTCGCTGGTTACCATTAACCCTCAAAACACGTGGGTCACCGGATAACTTCGGGAAGCTACGGTGAAGACCGACGCTTATGCTAATATCAACGACGACAAGAATTTATTCAAGGTGGGTTTTTTCCCGCTACACCGTGACATCACAGCTGGTATTATACAGAATCAAAATGCCTTGTTCTGATTGGACCATGAGGGACAACGACCTACACAGAGGTCGATCTCTATTCACAGTTCAAGACTTACGCCACAAGTGACAACTATATATCAGTGAACGAGCAAGCCTCATTACAGTCCAGTTAACCTGAACATTCATGATTAGACTGCCTTTCTTCAGTTAGAGACCTCCCCTGTCAAGTTAAGACGAGGGATCGGCAGTCAGGCGATTTTACATAAAGTTCAACGAGGACAGACACACCTGGTTGTGCACCTACATCGCCAAGGACTTCGCAGCTTAATTACCTAGACGAAAGATACAAGTGGATCTAAATCCACAGCGCTTCAGACTACAGCTGAATTTCATCAAGCTTTACTAACACAACTAGATGGTTAGTAAACCTACTAAACTTCTGTTTGGAGAATAAAACGGAAATTTCACGCCAAACCTGGGGATATGAATATAGTGCTCCAACACCTCACAAGTGAGGTTTATGAACACGCCTGATGACATACTTGGACCCCATGATACGATGATTCTATCAAGATGGCCAGCAAGAGCACTGTAAATTTATCTCCACCAACCAAACAGGAGGAAAAAATGCAACAGATTATTTCCTCTATCATCAACTTACGCAGAGTGAAGTCTCATGTACTATATCTCCATTTGGATCAGAACTGTCATACTACGCAAGCATATGCGGATGGACCTATTCCGACCCTCCATGAGCTTAATACTCATGATATTATAGCTTAACTTCTACAATTGTTCTACACAAATGTGATTGAAATAATGGAGGGTTTATTTCTGAACCGATATGGTGGTTGCAAACCATTATCTGAGAGATATCACCACCGAGGACGCCTCAGGTATACACCAATTGATCCCATGGTCCTCGCAGACAACAGCTGACAGTTCTCGAGAAGATAAGTCAATCTAACAGATTTTACTTATCTTATAACAATACTAAATAGCTTCATGCTATATATAATTTACTTAAGTTCCTTTTATCATCACAGTACTATGATTATTACATCATACAATATATAAGTTAACAACTCTACAGAGTTTGTTATTATATATATTTACCTTAAGTTATTCATATCTTAAGAGTAATACTATGGTTACATGATAAATGCATTAGCTAACAAACTCTACAGAGTTTTTGGCTATTTTATACATAGCTTAAGTTAATTAAGCTAACAAACTCTACGGAGTTTTACTATTATATAGGTAACTTAAGCTAATTATACCTTAAGCATAGTACTATACTCATATTATTAAAATATATTGGCTAACAAACTCTAAGGAGTTTTGCTATTATATAGGTAGCTTAAGCTTATTCATATCTTAAGCTTAGTACTATGTTTATATCATATAAGTAGATTAGCTAACAAACTCTAAAGAGTTTTTGCTATTTGGCTTAAGTATCATCATATTTCTAAGCAATATGGTTATATTATAACATGTATTAGCTAACAAACTCTACAGAGTTTTAGCTATTATATATGTAACTTAAGCTTATTCATATCTTAAGCTTAGTACTATGTTTATATCATATAGGTATATTAGCTATCAAAACTCTAAAAGAGGGTTTTGCTATTATATATTTCATTAAGTTTCATCATATTTTAAGCTTTATGGTTACATTATAACATGTATTAGCTAACAAACTCTAACGGAGTTCTTGCTATTATATATGTAGCTTAAGTTTTCCTTCATAAGCTCAATACTAGGTTTATATCATAGCTAACAAACTCTAAAGGGTTGTTTTCGCTTATTATACAATTAGCTTAAGTTTTCATCATATCTTAAGCAGTATGTTTACATTATGTTGTAGCAGATAGCTAACAAAACCTCGACGGAGTTTTGTTATTATATATATATAGCTTAAGTTTCATCATAACTTAAGCTCAGTACTATGTGTTTTAACATAAAAGTATATTAGTTAATAAACTCTAAGGAGTTTATTTTGCTATATACATTTAGCTTAAGTCTAATCTTATCTTAAGCTTAGTACTATGGTTACACTATAAACATATTAGCTAATAAACTCTACAGAGTTTTTGGCTATTATATATGTAGCTTAAGTTAATAATATCTTAAGCACAATACTATACTCATATTGTAAAATATATTAGCTAACAAACTCTACGGAGTTCTTGCTATTATATATGTAGCTTAAGTTCATTATATCTTAAGCACACTACTATACTCATATTGTAAAATATATTAGCTAACAAACTCTACGGAGTTTTGCTATTATATATGTAGCTTAAGTTAATTATATCTTAAGCACACTACTATACTCATATTGTAAAAATATATTAGCTAACAAAACCCTACAGAGTTTTGCTATATATATGTAGCTTAAGCAATTATATCTTAAGCTCAGTACTATACTAATATTATAAATATATATTAGCTAACAAACTCTACAGAGTTTGGCTATTATATATGTAGCTTAAGTTAATTATAGCTTAAGCACAGTACTATACTCATATTATAAAAATATATTAGCTAACAAACTCTACAGAGTTTGGCTATTATATATGTAGCTTAAGTTAATTATAGCTTAAGCACAGTACTATACTCATATTATAAAATATATTAGCTAACAAACTCTACAGAGTTTTTGCTATTATATATGTAGCTAAAGCTTATTCATATCTTAAGCTCAGCATTATATCTATATCATATAAGTATATTAACTAACAAACTCTAAAGAGTTTGCTATTATATAATTAGCTTAAGTTTAATCATATCTTAAGCTTAGTACTATGTTATATCTTAAAGTATTTTAGCTAACAAACTCTAAGGAGTTTATACTAGCATATTAACAAGCTTAAGTCTATTAGTCTTAAGCATTGTATTAATGTTATATATACTTTATCATAATAAGTACATGGTAATAACCTTTATATGGCAGCTGATAAGTTAGCAGCAGGAATTCATCAGTTCAGTGCCTTTATGAAGTTCCCATAGGGTTATTACAATCATCACAGTTCAAATCACTAATTATTAAAAATCCAAAGTATTAGATATTCCCACCTCCGTCTGTGAGGATGCTACAAGTAAGAGCATGAGTCAGGATAAGGAAAAATATGTAATTTTTGGAGTAAAATTGATATTTTATACTTATCCTGACTCATGAGGTCAGCCCTCCCATCCTCCCCAAATAACACTTTGGATTTCCTGTAAATTCAAATGTTGGGCTCAGTATATGAGGAGAGAGTGAGGCACATGGGTAGAGGTGGCTCTGCTCCCAGCCAGGGAAAGGAGGTAACTCGTGGTGAATACTAATTAGTGATTTTAAATTGAAGGGAGCTTCAATTAGGAGATACAAGTGTTCCACTATGTTCGCAAGAAGAAGAAGACAAGCAAAAAGAGCATGAGTCAGGATAAGTATAAAATATCAATTTTACTCCAAAAATTACATTCTAGTAAATCAATGTTGAATATAGCACCAAATCACCACATGACCGTCCTTTTCATCACACTGGACATTCTTTTTCAGACTACCTTCATAATTCAGGAGTTATTTTTCGGGATTTAAAGGTGAGATCATGTCATTCATATTTCATTATGAAAGTGTTTCTTAAGAGGGTTTTCACTAATGAATTACAGGTTGGACATTTGTTATAAAAATTACATTGAATAAATGTGCAGAATCTGTTGATTTTCATGCTGATGATATCTATTTTGTAAGTGTATTCTTTGAGCTGCACTTACCACTTGTGTTTGTATTTCTTGCAGATGGAAAACATCTTGTTTGATCCCAAAGGTAGGAATTTGGCCATTAGTAATTGGAGATTTATCATTGAGGACACAATTTCACAAAGTGATCATAACACAAGGATGATCATTAATCCCATAAATCCCATAATGAGCAGTGGGGTAGCCTCATGGTTAAAGCGTATTGCTAGGGGCAGCGTTAAACCATGGTCACACTCAGCCGCTGGCTCACCCACCCATTAACGCACGCACTCCCTCGCAGGCCCGCTCGTTTACTCACCCAAACGCCCATCCATCCACCCACCCATCCATCAGCTATTAGGGCTGCAGCAATCCACCCAGACCTCGATTCGATTTTCGATATAGGACCCTCGATTCGATCATGTTTTGTTCAATTCTTCATACAAGTAAAAACATCAGATTTTATTTAACTCTCAGAGTTCAAGTGAGTTGGCTTTTTAGCATGAAATCCATCGTCAACTTGGCAATATCTACTAACAACAATTACGTTCTCGCTGTGTGGAAACAATTGTTTTTTGATGAATCGAATCGTATCGTTGCAGCCCTAATCCTGATTGCTTTGTGGGACAAGGCCCATGACTCATGCATACAGTATATTGACAGTGTGTTCCCACATGTATGGCAAACCCAGGAGCCAACAATAAGTTTTATTGTCCAGAATAACAAAGGACATAACCTACGTAAACTACTTGAAAGAAGGTTAAGGCAGATTGACTACAGTCTCGTGACAAAATCGGATGATTCTTATCTTCTTCAGGGCGGCGGGGTAGCCTAGTGGTTCAAGCTTTGGCTCGTCACGCCAAAGACCCGGGTTCGATTCCCCACATGGGCACAATGTGTGAAGCCCATTTCTGGTGTCCCCTGCCATGATATTGCTGGAATATTGCTAAAAGCGGCGTAAAACTAAACTCAGTCAGTCAGTCTTATCTTCTTCAGAGTAGTATAGTTTGAATTCTACTAGACTAGGCTCGGTGGGGTGGCCTAATGGTTAACGCGTTTGCTCGTCACACCAAAGATCCAGGTTTAATTTCCCACATAGATCAAATATGTGTAGCCCATTTCTGGTGACCCCTGCCCTCAAATTACTGGAATACTGCTAAAACCTGTGTTAATTCATACTCACTTACTCTCAGTAATGATGGGCAGTGGGGTAGCCTTCTGGTTAAAGCATCCGCTCGTCAAGCTGAAGATCTGGATTCGATTCCCCACATGGGTCAAATATGTGAAGCCCATTTCTGGTGTCACCCGCCGTGATATTGCTGGAATAGTGCTAAAAGCGACGTAAAGCAATACTCTCTCACACACTAGAGGCAGGATACCTCCAACACTGGAAACACTTGCAAGTGCATCTCTGGGTTTTATCAAATCTCATTGCTGCATGTTTCAGGGCACATACAGCTGATAGACTTCGGACTATCCAAATGGCTTCAGAAAGGAGACAGGACGAGGACGATATGTGGAACTTTGCAATATATGGGTGAGATTCTTCATACTGTATGCTCAATAGGAGTAAGGAGTTAGGGGCGTCTGCAATCACGTGATCATGATCGGTTATTTTCGTGATGTAGTCAAATATACTAATAACATTTGTATTTCCTTCATATTATTATACATTTATAGTTTTGATAAGTTTATTGGTCATATAATTGCGTTTGCGTGACAAATAAACCATATAAATAAAACAGATAGAATTGGTTCCGGCACTTGTTGTAGGTATAAACAAACCAAATTGGGTGACACAGCTGCAGACGCTTTTTCTCGAGTTTCAAACTTTAATTAAAGCGAAGTCTTCAGTGGCATTGTTTCAAAAGAAAGGAAACAGTAATTTCATTACTTTAACCCATGTGTTACACTTTTACAATATATTGCAATACATATTGCAGTACGCCAACACATATCACAATATATCGCAATAAGAAAATTTTGGCAATACCCAACCCTAGTCTGCAAGGTCAAGGTCAAGGTCCAGGTCTAGACAGATGCATGGGTGGCCAGATCATTTGAGGGACTGTAGTTCACTGTATAGAGTTGCCTCCCTTTGACACACCAGGAACCTATGATTGTGGGTTTGAACCCATGTAAATTCTAATTATGTTTGTAGGTTTGTCAGCACCCACCATCATGGTAAACTTCTGATCGTTGCATCACTTGTAATCCCAAATATATAACATATTACATTTCACCAAATGCTGACGCTTGGTGATGTAAGAGAATATCATTCAAATCAGCATTATGCTCTTTAACTCATTCACTCACCGTGAGGTCCAAAATTCAGTTACCATGAAATTTTCAGTACTTAGGTTGTCCATTGTTTATTGTTCATAGCAGTGTTGACCCAAAACATGTTTACAGTGTTCCGGTTTGTTTGTTGTTTTTTTAACGCCGCACTCAGCAATGTTCCAGCTATATGGCGGCGGTCTGTAAATAATCGAGTCTGGACCAGACAATCCAGTGATCAACAGCATGATCATTGATTTACACAACTGGCATACGATGATGTGTCAACCATGCCAGTGAGCCTGACCACCCGATCTCGTACCCTCATTACGACAAGCATGGGATGCTGAAGACCAGTTCTAACCCAGATCTTCACGGGTGTACAGTGTCCAGTGTTAAAGTCTTATGACGCTATGAAACCTGTTGATACTAAATGAGTACTTATGTTTTGTTCCTTTTCTTCCACAGCACCCGAAGTGTTGAGTGCCTACCCATACGGACATCAGGCAGACTGGTGGTCGCTGGGGATCCTCATGTATGTCATGATATCAGGCAAGGTAGGTAACTCTGTAGCTGTTGACTAAATGCTTCGTACCCACCTGGGGCGGTGGGGTAGCCTGTGGTTAAAACGTTACCTTGTCACTCCGAAATCCCGGATTCGATTGCCCACACGGATACAGTGTGTGAAGCCATTTTGTGGTGTCCCCCAGCCATGATATCGCTGGAATATTGGGAAAGCGGCTTAAAACCATACTCACTCATTCACTCACTCATGCCCACCTACACATAGGATTTGATATTGTCAACTAGGATATGCAGGCTACAGGTCACCAGCAACCAAAGTTAGGCCACCATACCAAGAACCATGGGGAATTATGTACCTTTGCTGTGTTATTGCTGGGATATTACTGAAAGGGGCCCCGCTCCCTCCTCCCTCCCTCCCTCACTCACTCACTCACTCACTCACTCACTCACTCACTCACTCACTCACTCACTCACAATTTCACCACTGTAGATTATTTGCTGATTTATAGTTTGGATCTAAAGATATAAACAATGGCCAACTCAAGAAGGGACTGTAATTCCTGCAAGGGATACCATGCAAAGGTCCCCATGGTCTCCAGCATGGTAGCCTAACTTTTGTTGTTGGTGACCTATAGAGAGTTTTTTTTCTTGCTTATACAAAGCGATTTCCTTTTTGGGGTACAATTTTATTTTAAATGTAAATCTGTGATGATTCTTGTTCATTTACTGGCTTTTACAGACAGGTTTTTAATACTATAACTGTAAATGCTATCCATAACATTTTGTAGTCACAAACAGGTTTTAATAGTATAACTGTAAATGCTATCCATAACATTTTGTAGTCACAAACAGGTTTTAATAGTATAACTGTAAATGCTATCCATAACATTTTGTAGTCACAAACAGGTTTTTTTGTAGTCACAAACAGGTAGTATAAACTGTAAATGCTATCCATAACATTTTGTAGTCACAAACAGGTTTTAATAGTATAACTGTAAATGCTATCCATAACATTTTGTAGTCACAAACAGGTTTTAATAGTATAACTGTAAATGCTATCCATAACATTTTGTAGTCACAAACAGGTTTTAATAGTATAACTGTAAATGCTATCCATAACATTTTGTAGTCACAAACAGGTTTTAATAGTATAACTGTAAATGCTATCCATAACATTTTGTAGTCACAAACAGGTTTTAATAGTATAACTGTAAATGCTATCCATAACATTTTGTAGTCACAAACAGGTTTTAATAGTATAACTGTAAATGCTATCCATAACATTTTGTAGTCACAAACAGGTTTTAATAGTATAACTGTAAATGCTATCCATAACATTTTGTAGTCACAAACAGGTTTTAATAGTATAACTGTAAATGCTATCCATAACATTTTGTAGTCACAAACAGGTTTTAATAGTATAACTGTAAATGCTATCCATAACATTTTGTAGTCACAAACAGGTTTTAATAGTATAACTGTAAATGCTATCCATAACATTTTGTAGTCACAAACAGGTTTTAATAGTATAACTGTAAATGCTATCCATAACATTTTGTAGTCACAAACAGGTTTTAATAGTATAACTGTAAATGCTATCCATAACATTTTGTAGTCACAAACAGGTTTTAATAGTATAACTGTAAATGCTATCCATAACATTTTGTAGTCACAAACAGGTTTTAATAGTATAACTGTAAATGCTATCCATAACATTTTGTAGTCACAAACAGGTTTTAATAGTATAACTGTAAATGCTATCCATAACATTTTGTAGTCACAAACAGGTTTTTAATAGTATAACTGTAAATGCTATCCATAACATTTTGTAGTCACAAACAGGTTTTAATAGTATAACTGTAAATGCTATCCATAACATTTTGTAGTCACAAACAGGTTTTAATAGTATAACTGTAAATGCTATCCATAACATTTTGTAGTCACAAACAGGTTTTAATAGTATAACTGTAAATGCTATCCATAACATTTTGTAGTCACAAACAGGTTTTAATAGTATAACTGTAAATGCTATCCATAACATTTTGTAGTAGTCACAAACAGGTTTTAATAGTATAACTGTAAATGCTATCCATAACATTTTGTAGTCACAAACAGGTTTTAATAGTATAACTGTAAATGCTATCCATAACATTTTGTAGTCACAAACAGGTTTTAATAGTATAACTGTAAATGCTATCCATAACATTTTGTAGTCACAAACAGGTTTTAATAGTATAACTGTAAATGCTATCCATAACATTTTGTAGTCACAAACAGGTTGTAAACTGCTATCCATAACATTTTGTAGTCACAAACAGGTTTTAATAGTATAACTGTAAATGCTATCCATAACATTTTGTAGTCACAAACAGGTTTTAATAGTATAACTGTAAATGCTATCCATAACATTTTGTAGTCACAAACAGGTTTTAATAGTATAACTGTAAATGCTATCCATAACATTTTGTAGTCACAAACAGGTTTTAATAGTATAACTGTAAATGCTATCCATAACATTTTGTAGTCACAAACAGGTTTTAATAGTATAACTGTAAATGCTATCCATAACATTTTGTAGTCACAAACAGGTTTTAATAGTATAACTGTAAATGCTATCCATAACATTTTGTAGTCACAAACAGGTTTTTAATAGTATAACTGTAAATGCTATCCATAACATTTTGTAGTCACAAACAGGTTTTAATAGTATAACTGTAAATGCTATCCATAACATTTTGTGAGTCACAAACAGGTTTTAATAGTATAACTGTAAATGCTATCCATAACATTTTGTAGTCACAAAACAGGTTTTTAATAGTATAACTGTAAATGCTATCCATAACATTTTGTAGTCACAAACAGGTTTTAATAGTATAACTGTAAATGCTATCCATAACATTTTGTAGTCACAAACAGGTTTTAATAGTATAACTGTAAATGCTATCCATAACATTTTGTAGTCACAAACAGGTTTTAATAGTATAACTGTAAATGCTATCCATAACATTTTGTAGTCACAAACAGGTTTTAATAGTATAACTGTAAATGCTATCCATAACATTTTTGTAGTCACAAACAGGTTTTAATAGTATAACTGTAAATGCTATCCATAACATTTTGTAGTCACAAACAGGTTTTAATAGTATAACTGTAAATGCTATCCATAACATTTTGTAGTCACAAACAGGTTTTAATAGTATAAACTGTAAATGCTTTTGTATCCATAACATTTTGTAGTCACAAACACAGGTTTTAATAGTATAACTGTAAATGCTATCCATAACATTTTGTAGTCACAAACAGGTTTTAATAGTATAACTGTAAATGCTATCCATAACATTTTGTAGTCACAAACAGGTTTTAATAGTATAACTGTAAATGCTATCCATAACATTTTGTAGTCACAAACAGGTTTTAATAGTATAACTGTAAATGCTATCCATAACATTTTGTAGTCACAAACAGGTTTTAATAGTATAACTGTAAATGCTATCCATAACATTTTTTGTAGTCACAAACAGGTTTTAATAGTATAACTGTAAAATGCTATCCATAACATTTTGTAGTCACAAACAGGTTTTAATAGTATAACTGTAAATGCTATCCATAACATTTTGTAGTCACAAACAGGTTTTAATAGTATAACTGTAAATGCTATCCATAACATTTTGTAGTCACAAACAGGTTTTAATAGTATAACTGTAAATGCTATCCATAACATTTTGTAGTCACAAACAGGTTTTTTAATAGTATAACTGTAAATGCTATCCATAACATTTTGTAGTCACAAACAGGTTTTATTAGTATAACTGTAAATGCTATCCATAACATTTTAGTAGTCACAAACAGGTTTTTAATAGTATAACTGTAAATGCTATCCATAACATTTTGTAGTCAAAGACAGGGTTTAATAGTGGCAACCGTGTCGCTAGGTTTTAATAAGTATAACTGTAAAAATGCTATCCATAACATTTTGTAGTCACAAACAGGTTTTAATAGTATAACTGTAAATGCTATCCATAACATCTTTGTAGTCACAAACAGGTTTTAATAGTATAACTGTAAATGCTATCCATAACATTTTGTAGTCACAAACAGGTTTTTATAGTATAACTGTAAATGCTATCCATAACATTTTGTAGTCACAAACAGGTTTTAATAGTATAACTGTAAATGCTATCCATAACATTTTGTAGTCACAAACAGGTTTTTAATAGTATAACTGTAAATGCTATCCATAACATTTTGTAGTCACAAACAGGTTTTAATAGTATAACTGTAAATGCTATCCATAACATTTTGTAGTCACAAACAGGTTTTAATAGTATAACTGTAAATGCTATCCATAACATTTTGTAGTCACAAACAGGTTTTAATAGTATAACTGTAAATGCTATCCATATAACATTTTGTAGTCACAAACAGGTTTTAATAGTATAACTGTAAATGCTATCCATAACATTTTGTAGTCACAAACAGGTTTTAATTAGTATAACTGTAAATGCTATCCATAACATTTTGTAGTCACAAACAGGTTTTAATAGTATAACTGTAAATGCTATCCATAACATTTTGTAGTCACAAACAGGTTTTTAATAGTATAACTGTAAATGCTATCCATAACATTTTGTAGTCACAAACAGGTTTTAATAGTATAACTGTAAATGCTATCCATAACATTTTGTAGTCACAAACAGGTTTTAATAGTATAACTGTAAATGCTATCCATAACATTTTGTAGTCACAAACAGGTTTTAATAGTATAACTGTAAATGCTATCCATAACATTTTGTAGTCACATTTTAATAGTATAACTGTAAATGCTATCCATAACATTTTGTAGTCACAAACAGGTTTTAATAGTATAATCCATAACTGTAAATGCTATCCATAACATTTTGTAGTCACAAACAGGTTTTAATAGTATAACTGTAAATGCTATCCATAACATTTTGTAGTCACAAACAGGTTTTAATAGTATAACTGTAAATGCTATCCATAACATTTTGTAGTCACAAACAGGTTTTAATAGTATATAACTGTAAATGCTATCCATAACATTTTGTAGTCACAAACAGGTTTTAATAGTATAACTGTAAATGCTATCCATAACATTTTGTAGTCACAAACAGGTTTTAATAGTATAACTGTAAATGCTATCCATAACATTTTGTAGTCACAAACAGGTTTTAATAGTATAACTGTAAATGCTATCCATAACATTTTGTAGTCACAAACAGGTTTTAATAGTATAACTGTAAATGCTATCCATAACATTTTGTAGTCACGATATTGCTGAAACTGTGCTTGTAAGACTTTAAGGTATGTGTCAGTCACCTCAAGAGTGTTGCTTATGTAAATGAACCACTGGTCTGTTGCCAGTATCCAGTGGAAGCAGCCAGGGACCACCGGACGATGGCGGAGAAGGTCTACCAGTGCGACTTCCTGATGCCGGAGAGTGTCGGGAATGATGCTCAGGACGTCGTACATAGAGTAGGTTCATTTTGAACGAGGGGACACGTGGTCCAGGCTACAGTGCTGCAGAGTTGTGGCCCCTATCGCGCCAGATACATGTGATCACTTTTCAAAATTCTCATTTCCATGCTCGTTGGTTTTAAGTATTGATTGTCTTTGTGCTGCAGAGTTGTCTCCCTTAGTGTGCCAGTAACCTGTGCTCATAGGTTTGAATTCTGGTTCTTTATATTTCTAGTTTTAAGAATCATACCCATGCTTGTTGGTTTAAGTAGTGATTATCCTAAACCTGCATCACCTGCCTTCCACATCAAGTGATGCCTCGGGGTAGACTTCTGGTAAAAGTGTTTGCTTGTCATGCAGAAGACCCATGCTCGATTCACCACGTGGGTTCAATTTGTGAAGCCCATTTCTGGTGTTAATATTTTCCAAATGCAGTGTTTGAATCATACTCACTCACAGAAAAATATCACACCTTCATTGTATTGAATTACTGTCCTGAGTGGCTTTAAAACCAAATAGACTCACTGACTTTGTAGCAATAGATTGTTGTGCCTGTTCTTCAAAACAGAGGGGCGGTGGGGTAGCCTAGTGGTTAAAGCGTTGGCTTGTCACGCCGAAGACCCGGGTTCGATTCCCCACATGGGCACAATGTGTTAAGCCCATTTCTGGTGTCCCCACCGCGATATTGCTGGAATATTGCTAAAAGCGATTGTACAACTAAACTGAGTCAGTCAGTCTTCAAAACCGTTGCTGATCCTGATGCATGTACAGTGGACTCTGTCAATACCGGCCTCTGTAAACACGGCACTCTGTCTACATCGGCACAAAGTTTCAGTCCCGCAGAAATGCACATTATTATCGTTTAGAAACTTCTGTAAACATCGGCATCTGTCTATCGGCATTGTTTTTCAGTCCCAGCGAACAAGTTGTTATGAAAGCGAATCTGTAAAACCGGCACATGAAAGACGAAGCGTAACCCTTCGATGCAATTAGGTCCAAATGATGTAACAACACAATTCGCTGTGACTCGAGATTATTCAGAAAACGTGAAGTGTTAATCAGTATCTTGTTAATCAGTGAGTGGTACTTAACACTTACCCTGAGTAATTAATACATGTTGTGGGCAGTTTGACTGTATAAACAAGCAAGTGTTTACATTTTGTTGATTCGCTGGGTATTGACTCGAGATTATTCAGAAGCGGGAAGTGTCAATCAGTTTCTTGTTAATTAGTGAGTGGCACGTGTCACTTACATAGAGGCGAATCGTTTGATGGCGCATGGTATCGTTAAAAGCTCTGAACATCAACAATATCACTGTTCTCTTTGCGAGAGGTATTTTCACATTTGTAAGAAGCGATTTTATTGGATAAAGATTGGTTTCTAACGACGCTTTTCACTACACTCTGCTTATAAGGGTCGCGTGATTGGTCAAAATCAGACACGCGACCCTAAGCAGCCAATCATATTATGGAAATGGATACGGTTTTGGGTAAAATAATGCTATTCTGAACATATTAAGAAGAGACATATCGCTACCTATGCGTAAAATTATGGAACGTATTGGACATATCGTGCTAGGTTATGGCCTATGACAAAAAATGCTTCATGCATATATTTTCACATTAAGCATCGTGTCCGGAAACGCCAAGACGAAGCGGTGAAAGCCGAGATGTAACTTGTCAGTGACTTGACTTACATTGCATGATCGCACAAAAAGTATGGAAATAGTAATTTTATATGTACGCTTTGACAACTTTTATGAATGTTATTGTTGATTTCAATTAATTTATTGTTTTCCTCGATGTTTAAAACATCGTTACTTTGCTCTTTGCTCTTTGCTCTATTGTAGACCCGGGCTGCGAAGCATAAACAAGAATCGTTGTTTTCAATAACACTCACGAAAAATAGTTTATAATTTTAATTCTGCCGATAATATATGATCAGTTGAAATTTAATAAGAGATTTCAGACATTTTATTTGATTTAAACAACATGAATGTGCATTCAGACACTGCCTTGTTTCTTATTCAAACATCTTGTTAATGCTAAAGTGACAGTAACGACAGCGAACCGGTATTGACAGAGTACACTGTATATATGTTTAGTCTTGTTTTGTTTTTTTGTTTGTTTGTTTGTTGTTTCACGCTGCACTCAGCAATATTAAGTATATGGCAGCGGTCTGTAAATAAAGGAGTCTGAACCAGACAATCCAGTGATCAACAGTAACGACCTCATTTTGAAGTTATGACTATTTGATTGTAAACTGACCAGGATATCCCAACAAATGTAGATAGGGTTTGGAGAATAAATTTCTGGTTGTTCCCATTCTAATTTTATTAACTTGGGTTAAGACTGTCAATTATCACACAGTTTATTATCAGATACAATGTATTACTAGAGCTGCAACGATTCACCCAGACCTCGATTCTATTCGATTTTCGATATTGGATCCTCAATTCGATCATTTTAATTCGCTTCTTCATACACGTAAAACATCAAACTTCAGAGTCAGTTTGTTTAGTGTGAAATCTATTGTTAACTTGGCGATGTCTGTTAACAACAACAGGGCCGGTGGGGTAGCCTAATGGTTAAAGCGTTGGCTCGTCACGCCGATGACCCGGGTTCGAATCCCCACATGGGCACAATGTGTGAAGCCCATTTCTGGTGTCCCCCGCCATGATGTTGCTGGAATATTGCTAAAAGCAGCGAAAAAACCAAACTCAGACAGTCAGTCAGTTAACAACAACAATTCTCATTGGATAATTAGCCCAGCGTCAACCAATCACGTTTGCCTTATTTCAGTGCTCAAAACTGCTTGATTTGGAATGAAAATTACATTCTCGATTTGGAATGAAAATAGTTTAAATAGGTATTCAAATATCGAATTGAAATAGTGATAGTGGTTATCGGAAATTCAAAACTAAGGTGTCAGATTCGATTTTCGATGAATCGAACCGAATCGTTGCAGCCCTAGATATTACTTGGAGCCAAGATGTGTTTCTGTGGAATGATTATGGACTTCTTCAATACCAATGAACGTGCTGGAAGTCTTTGTATGACATGATGACGGTTATGTTGCAGCTGTTGACGAAGGCACCGCAGCGGAGAGCTGTGGTTCTGGCTGCTTTACAGGAGATGGACTTCTTTAAGAATATCAACTTTACAGATCTTATCGAGAAAAAAGTAAGTGAATTTGTTGAATGTGATAGTAACAAGAACACTTGTCATGGAGATGTTGTTCCCCAGGCTTCAGAGGTAGATGAATATAAGTGTGGTTTCATGTACACTTCATTAATAATTTAAAGGTACAGGGCTAAGGTAGCCTAGTGGTTCAAGTGTTTTCTTGTCTTGTCAAAGAGCTAGGTTTTATTCCTGGATACAATATTTGAAGCCTACTTACACAACCACGATATGACTGAAATAATGTGTAAAACAGCAATTGTCTGATCCACCCTGTCAACGTGAAAAGAGGATTTGGGGCGGTGGGGTAGTCTAGTGGTTAAAGCATTGGCCCGCCACGCCGAAGACCCGGGTTCGATTCCCCACATGGGTACAATGAGTGAAGCCCATTTCTGGTGTCCCCACCGTGATATTGCTGGAATATTGCTAAAAGCGGCGTAAAACCAAAACTCAGTCAGTCAGTCAGAAAAGGAGGATTTAGATCTCACATGTCATTCAGCAAGTTTTGTGCATGGTTGTTATGTTGTCTTCATGTTATGATGTATGTATATTTATTCTTTAAGCATAAGAATGACTGAATGGAAATATCTACTTTTCTCATTGAAATCTATGATATATAGGTATTTCCGATGTGTCTCAAGTCATTTATGTTTTCTAAAATCATTTTGCAAAACCTTTTTATTCTAAAATAAATAGGATACAATATTTGCTTGCCACAATCAGTGTCCAGGGTACAGGGAATTTTGATATAGGGTGCTTTCATTAAAACCTTTTTGGTAATGGTTAAAGGCAATCATAGGCCTCTTCTGTAAATAAGTCTGTAGTACTTACAAGGAAATAGGGACTGTAATGTGAAATTTTAGGTCTTTGTTGGGCACTTATACAGATTAATCAAGATTGGTTGAGAAGATAGCCAGAAGCCATGTGTTACAATATGGCACTGGTTAGATACAAGCATTGCCTGTTGCAGCTCTCCCCATGGATGTAGTCCCAGCCGAGTTTTTCCCAATGACAGGGTTGAGTTGGGCTCCACTCTTAGCTGAGAAGGAGATGGAGGAAGAATTTACAGGGGTAAGTTGGGAATTTTGGAGAAGATAGCTGGGATTTATGGGAGAAGATAGCTTGGATATATGGGAGAAGATAGTTGGGATATAGTTGTATCAAAAACGGCCTCAAAATGAATACATACAAAATTCACCAAAATATACACAATAATTACATGCACGAAATGAATGCTGATGATTCCATACAGATAACCACATAGATAAAGAGGCTATATGGGAGTAGAAAGCATGGACATATTGGAGAAGATAGCTGGGATATGTGGGAACAGTAAACCCTGATATACAGTCAAATCCCGATGAGTCGAATCGCTGGGGACCAAGTAATAAATTCGACTTATCGATGTATTCGAGACATAGGTATGTCTATGAGGGTAGAAAAAAGATGATCCAGTCCTAATTCTTCCGCCTAAGCATTTGTTTATCTAATGATTTCCATATCACTAATAGGGACACCTTATCAGTTCCAGTCTGATTAGCACAGACACTGATGTCCGTAAAATCACTAATCTGCCTTTTGAACTCACCTGTCAATGGCGGAAAGGTGTGAGCCGCGCTGGTTTGTTAATTGGATCAGTTTGGTAAACCAATCAACTTCTCCTTGACTGACTTCGGCTTATGTATACAAGATTGCTGTTGTTTGAATCTCATGGGACCAAATTTCCTTCTCGAGTCATCGTGTGTATTTATGAGACGACTTCCTGTAACCGGTATTCAAATGATGACAACTATAACAGGGAATGGTCGGGACTGACAGGTACTTCGAGTTATGCATAATATTCGAGACACCGGCATTCGACTCATCGGGATTTGACTGTACTTTAGTAGTGTGTCCAAACCACAAGGCTGTCATGTCCACCATGTTAAAATATTTTTCTGTTCCAGTTTGATGGCCAGAATGTGCAGTGGAATCTCCCAGAAGGAGCAACGCCGGTGTTTGTGTGAAACTGTGTAATCCAGATGTGTGTGAGTGTGAGACTGTGTTAAATCCAGCCCAGGACTTCAAAGTATTATTCACCCGTTGTTATCTCTGTGCGAAGACAAAGTCACCTGGGATGGAGGCACACAGGTGTATATTGTGGGAAATGTATAACAGAAGAACAGCATTGTCAAGTCATATTGTGTGTGTGATGCATATTACAGTTTTCATTTGACGTTTTCCATGGGAATTCATTTGTTCCATTTCTGTTGATGATTCCATGGAAAGGATGAAGACTCAGTGCGTGCATGTGATGGATTCTTCTTCTTAATGGAGGCCCAAAGAAACTGACAAGGCTGTTTCAGGGTTGTCACCAACAGTGTGCAGTTCATCCCTCACATGTTTCTCTTGGACATTTATTGTGATCATCTTATCGACACTCACTGTGATCATCTTGTCGACACTCATTGTGATCTTCTTGTCGACACTCATTTTGATCATCTTGTCGACACTCAATGTGAGCCTCTTATGGACAGCTCATTGTGAAGTCTCTCATCTGGATATGATTACTGGGCAGTGTTGATGAAGCCGCTAGGAGACTGACCACGCTGTAGATATCTGGCCAATGTAATCATTTGACTGCCCACGGTCACCTTCTGGATAGCTCACTGTGATCTTCTTGTGTACAGCTCATTGTAATCCTCGTGTACCCAGCTCATTGTGAAGTTTCTCATCTGGATGTGATTACTGGGTGATCTTGAGGAAGCACACTAGGAGACTGACCACGCTGGTGTTCCCTGGTCAAGGAAGTCACATTGTTTCCGATTCTCTGAGCTTCATGTGATCCTCTTGTGAACCTCCCTTGTTATGTGATCCTCTTGTGATCTGGATGTGATTTCTGGGAGGAAGTACACCAGTCAACACGACGAACCACACAACATTGGAATACACTCATTCTGAATATAAGTTTCAACATAGCGATTCATCAACCTCACCACAAGTCTGCACCCAAAACAGCAGGACAGTAACAGACATCCTCCATGATGAGTTGAAGTCAGACGAGTTTGTACATTGTGGTGAATTCTCTACATCTCGATCCCATTGTTATTTAGATTCATGTCCACATGTTAATGTTAATCCTCACCCTGATTCATGTCCTCTCCTGACCCTGTTATGTTAATGTTAATCCTCACCCTGACCCTGTTAATCCTCTCCCCTGTTAATCCTCTCCCCCTGACCCTGTTAACCCCCACCCTGAATCCCCTCACCCTGACCCTGTTAATCCTCTCACTGACCCTCCTCTGACCCTGTTAATCCTCACCCTGACCCTGTTAATCCTCTCCCTGACCCTGTTAATCCTCTCCCTGACCTGACCCTCTCCTGACCCTAATCCTGTCCCTGATCCTCTCCCTGACCCATTAATCCTCTTCCTGACACAACTGGCATTACCCTTCAACCAAAATGTACATAATCTTGTATCCTAATTTAATCTTCCTCAATGACTTACCATTACTGATCTATTCCACAGATCTGGCATTATTAGCTTCTATCGTGTTCATGAAGTGTATTATGATTGGTTTATGAAGGTCTTGTGACCAGTAAATTGTTTGCTGTCATAAATAATCTCATTAAAATCAGATCATTTGCTCCAATATGATTCCCTCTCTGTATGAAGATCTGACCATCAGGAATCCACTCTAGGCTTACACTTCAAAATTCTCTGTATAAATGTGGGGAGCATTTGAACAAGCTTATCTGATTTCTGTCGGTCACAGAAAGACTTTATCAAACTTTATCAGGGACTTACATTGCCAAAATTAAAGCTTTGCCGTTATTGGTATTTTCTCCTGTCATTGCTTTGTGCCATAGTATCAACAATATATTTGTGTTCTGTATGGGTTCTCTTCTGTGAGGGGCAGTGGGTAGCCTTGTGGTTAAACTCTTCGCTCGTCACGCCGAAGTCCTGGGTTTATTTCCCGACATTGTACAATTTGTAAAGCCAATATCTGGTGTCCCCCGTGTTCATATTGCAGACCTATTGCTAAAAGCAGCATAAAATCTAACTCACTCACTCTTGGGTACAAATAGACAGTATAGGGGGTGATAAAGAAAAAAGACATTTCGGAAAGATGAAGTATGACAAGCTGAAAACCCAGGTGTCCTTCATTTTGTCTGGCTGGTCAAAGTTCAGGGTTCATCTCACAACCTAGCTATCCTCAGATCTTGCACAGACAGGGGTCATATCAAAGTTAAAAGAAGTGATTTTAATGTGATTTTATCATAAAAAAATCACCAATTAAAAACTGTTGCCTATTTCGTGATTCTTTTCATTAACAATGACTAATACTGATTGGAACAAGAAAGGGAACAATTTGTTAGACCTGATGTCCGTAATAACCCAAAGACGACCAAAGACTTTTTGGCAGTGCCACGACACGCCAAATACACAGATTCCATTGTGTATCATGTTAATTTTTTAATGTGTGTTTTCCCAACACAGCAGGAAATGACAATTTATTAGATGTTCCCTTTTTTATTACTGTCAGTATAATTCTAATTGATCACTAATGATAACATTTATTTATGCCTTTATTGTCTCTGATGGTTCCATTTACCTCCATATGTAGAAAACCTGCATGTTATGTGACAGTACAGCAGAAGAAACATCTGGTCTGACATCGCTTCCATTTCATATCAGTAGTAGAAATCTTTGGAACCGTATTGCACAGGCGATGCTACACCACCACCTATGCTGCGACGCTGCCTCTGATGAACTCTCTGTAGATTCCCTTTCATACCCCATTCATTTTAGTCACCAAAATTTGAATTATTGACAGCAACACAAGGATGGAAATGGATGCTAGCCCACAGGGCTGAGGGCAGTAGAAATTAGTGATATTAAAAATAATAATTCTGCAAACCCAGAGAAGTTTTTTTGGCAAATGAAGTAAAAATGTTTTCTTCACCCGTGACATGTATACTTTTCAAATTGCTTACAATTGTTATTGTGTTATATTTAGGAGAAAAAAGTCAAAGACTTCTTATATATATACTGCTTTGCTTATAGCAGGTTTTTACTAGTATTGCTGTGGAAACTCCATCACAAGGCCAGCTCACTCAGTGTTGTGAGCTGGTTAAAATCCAATTGATGATTGGATCATTACAACAGATCGATCATAATAAAAAATAATTGGTTTGTGTCATTTATCAAATTTTCCTGTTATGTTTGTTAATGCACAAAAGTTTTTAAAAACCCAAAAAATGTAGTTCTTTGGGTTTGTTTTTTTTGCAAAGCGCACAAAATGCATTTGCAAATTTCACATCTAGTGATTAGTATGTTAGGAACATAAATTTCCTGGAGTCTTTAAGATAAATTCACTAGTAGAAAATAAATCCAATGAGCCTGTGTGTTTTTTTTAAGTTAATTTCCTTCCTTCCCTTGAGATGAATAGTACCTACATTTCTTCTAATTTTGGTATGGGTTTGGTCATCTTCAGCGATTCAGTTTCCTGTGCAGAGTTGCTTCCCTTAGATGTGGAAGGATCCCATCAATACTTGTGTCCATTGTTTGATGATGAAGCCAGTTGAACTGAATCGCACACTTCAACAGCTTATTCATCAGAATGGAGCATTGCTTGTAATTGTGAATTGACATGTTATATTTTGTTGATTTTTCATTTGAAGAGCTCAAGACATTTGATGTTTGTTCATTGAAGGAAAATACCCAGGGATAATTGACACGTCTAGGCAGCATTATATACATCCTGGTTAGGACAATAACATGGGGCATTATGTTGTCAGTTGATTCGCCATTTCATATGTAAGATAATTGATTTTTTTTTTTTGCCAAGGAAGTCACTTCCTTGTCTCTGCAAGACTTGTTGACATTTTATGACCGATATTAAATATCTACAAACAAGTTGACATGAAATCAACCACTGTATGAAGTTTAGTCATTCAATTCTGTGATTAAGTTGGTAGATTACATGAGTAATTGTGTTATATGTTGGTGCATTAGGACAGTAGGCAGTGTGGTGGCTTGCCATGGATGTGGTCTGGGTTCTGTTCTGACATTCTCTAAAGAAGTCCTCAATAATGTTCCTTGAGTACGTTTCATCTCACAGACTGAGAGTTTAACCTCAGTCAGACCTACGTTGCAATTACATGATAAATTTCTTCATCTGTCTCGAAAGTTCTTTTTCTAAACTGGTTACTGCTGTTAATGATATTTAAGCCCCAAGATTGTATTTTGAAGAAAAAAGTAAATGACATCTGCAAGGCTTTGGTGATAGCTTAAAAGCTTTTGCTAATATTGAATGTAAATTATATTGCTTCTATTCTTATAATGTAACTATCAGGGTCTATGTCAAAATATTTTCAGGGGCAGTGGAATAGTCCAGTGGTTAAAGTGTCCCGGGTTGGTTCCCCACATGGGTACATTGTGTGATTCCCCTTCCTGGGTACATTGTGTTAAATATTGCCCTTCCTGGTGTCCCCCGCCACAAAATATTGCTGGCAATTGTTGCTGACTATAAATTACAGTTTTGTTTTTTGGTTGAGATTTTTTTTGAGTCTCTTTCAGACCTGTGCTGCCTCTCAGGGGTGATCCGAACATCTTAGCTTCCATATTTTAAGCAGTAGTGTAGAAAACTGTTCAGAATGGTACTCACTCACTCACTCACTCACTCATAGGTTGTCACACCAAGAGTTAAAACACATTAGCATCCACTCATAGCTTGTGACAGAAACAGTTACAACACATTTGGCCTTCGTGGCAGGGGGTAGTCAAGTGGTTAAACTTTTATCATGTTGAAGACCTGGGTTCAATTCCCCACATGGGTAAAATGTGTGAAACCCATTTCTGATGTCCCCAGCCGTGATATTGCTAAAAGTGACATAAAACTAAAACTCATTCATTAGACCTTACAGTTATTAGGTATGCTTCAGAAAAATGGCCTAAAATTCAATGTATCCATGTCAATAAATGCCACAAGTCCAATGATCACAGAATTATACTTGCTGAACAATACCGAAAGACAACTGCCAGGGGCAGGGATGTATTTAGACTGACTGACTGAGTTTGGTTTTACGCGGCTTTTAGCAATATTCCAGTAACATCAAAGTGGGGACACCAGAAATGGGCTTCACTGTCAGCACCCATATGAGGATTCAGGGTCTTCGGCGTGTCAAGCCAACGCTTCAACCATTAGGCTACCCCACCACCCGGATGTATTTAGAATAAAGAATTACATTTATATTTTTTAATTCTACTGAACAGCGATCATAAAATCTTGTGGTTGTGTATTCCACTTAATTGCCAGACACAATTTTTTTTCAGAAGTCTTCTAATTTCTCCTGTGGGGGTGAGGGATGGGATGTTCAGTCTCATCAACCAAGAAAAAATTAATTAAGGTCTTTTTACCAGTACAGCCAACAGTTTAGTCGGAACAATTATGAGTCTCAGATATTGTCAATAGCAGATCACTTGGTTTATCTATTTTCTTAGTTAGCTGTTACTATTATCTGTGTTCAGTGTTGATAATGGTGATTGACAGAGATCAGCAATGGTGTGATTGCTGTCACTGATAGCCAGAGGATGTGTGGAGTGTGGATGAGTTGTGTAATCAAGTGCATGTAGATACGAAATATAAGTCCGACAAACATCTCTCACTTGAATATGTAACTGTGTCACAGTGTGTGTATTAGTGCTGGGAAGTGGTTAAAATCTCATAATTGATGATTGGTTCATTACAACCGATCAATCATCGAAAATAGTTAGTTAGCGTCATTTATGAAATTTTCCTGATTATTTTTGTTAATGGACAAAAAAATAAAGAAAGAAACATGTAGTACTTTGGGTTTTTTGCAAATTGCACAAAATGCATTTGCAAATTTCACATCTTTAAAGGATGACTAGTATATTAGGAACATTAATTTCTTGGCGTCTTCAAGATAAATTCAATCATGACTTGGAACGAGCTTGTAGTGCTCATGAAATGTAACAGACAAATCCAACCTTGTGAAAATATTGTTAACGCTAACAAGTGTTCCAGAATTGTTTGTGTTCGATTATGAGAAAACATGATCGATTGCTTGGTCGTTTAGTCACTACGACCAATCTTCCATTATTTCAATTACTACGTTAGTAATCAGACCACTAGTGTGTATGACCAATGACGTCCATGTGATGAAATTGACAAACCTCAATAACTGATATTATGATTCACCTGATAACACTGATTGATATTAACCAATGTATATATATCACATGATCATCTATTTAATATGCATAGTCCATCTATATCTAGTGTATACATTGAATGCCTGCTTCGCTTTCTTCGGTTGTCATGGAAACTTGATATGTAATTAGGATTTGATCATCATATCAGCTGTGTTAGATTAACAGTGAAGTTTAGGGTTGGTCTTGTGTCAAAACTCCATTTCATTGAAAAATATACCCAGTCTTGTCAAATTAGAAATTGGTTCTCCTCTGAGAAGGGAGGTGGTGAAGCCTAGTGGTAAAGTGTTTGCTTGTCATGCCAAAGACCTGGGTTTGTTTCAATTTGTTTGGTACAATTTGTGAAGCCCATATCTAGTGTTCCCTGCCTTGGTATTGCTGGAATATTGTTAAAAGTGGCTTAAAACTGTATTCTTTTATTGGTTAGAGTTGGTCCCCAGAAATCTATGCTGGTTGTAACAGGTAAAAGCCATGAGGATCCGGGTTAGAATTCACCAAGGTGGTAAATGTCGGAGACATCTGTGACTTCAGCTTGCCCTCCAACATCAATCTGAGTCTGTGATACATTTGATGACATTTGAAATTCTGTTCAAAATGGCTAAATTCCAGCAACTCTGTCATGTTTACACTATTCTTCAGTATGTTCTGTGGGATAGGGTATTCGGCGCTGATCCAGATGAAGCTGCATCAGCTGTTAGAAGTCTGAATCCTCGCTGTTCCTCAAGCTCCCTCACTCCTCTTCTCACTCACTCACTCCACCCACCCACCCACCCACCCACCCACCCACTCACTCACTCACTCCTCCTCCTCCTCACTCACTCACTCACTCACTCACTCACTCCTCACTCAAAGATTCATTTCATCTGCTAGATAGTTGTCATCCAGCACGGTAGACTTCTCTGAATCACATACTTCTTGTCCCCTCCCTTAGTGTTTTGGGGGTGGTGAGGTAGCCTTTTGGTTAAAGCATCCACACAACATTCATAGTAACCACCCAAATGCCATTTGTTGATTTTAAGCACAGTACTGGGAACCTATTGTACCACAGAAGCCCAAGGAGAGAGTATGTCTTCATTGACTTGTTCATTTCACCTGTATGTCCTGTGATTTTGTAATGTATTGTTGTTCATTTCACCTGTATGTCTATTGGTCTGTTCACAGGTGATTTTGAGTATGTCTTCATTGACTTGTTCATTTCACCTGTATGTCTAGTTGGTCTGTTCACAGGTGATTTTGAGTATGTCTTCATTGACTTGTTCATTTCACCTGTATGTCTAGTTGGTCTGTTCACAGGTGATTTTGAGTATGTCTTCATTGACTTGTTCATTTCACCTGTATGTCTAGTTGGTCTGTTCACAGGTGATTTTGAGTATGTCGTCATTGACTTGTTCATTTCACCTGTATGTCTAGTTGGTCTGTTCACAGGTGATTTTGAGTATGTCGTCATTGACTTGTCCATTTCACCTGTATGTCTAGTTGGTCTGTTCACAGCTGATTTTGAGTATGTCTTCATTGACTTGTTCATTTCACCTGTATGTCTAGTTGGTCTGTTCACAGGTGATTTTGAGTATGTCTTCATTGACTTGTTCATTTCACCTGTATGTCTAGTTGGTCTGTTCACAGGTGTTTTGAGTATGTCTCATTGACTTGTTCATTTCACCTGTATGTCTAGTTGGTCTGTTCACAGGTGATTTTGAGTATGTCTTCATTGACTTGTTCATTTCACCTGTAGTAAGGTATGTCTAGTTGGTCTGTTCACAGGTGATTTTGAGTATGTCATTGACTTGTTCATTTCACCTGTATGTCTAGTTGGTCTGTTCACAGGTGATTTTGAGTATTGACTTGTTCATTTCACCTGTACTTTGTCAATTCATGATTTTGAGTATGTCGCCATTGACTTGTTCATTTCACCTGTATGTCTAGTTGGTCTGTTCACAGGTGATTTTGATATGTCGTCATTGACTTGTTCATTTCACCTGTATGTCTAGTTGGTCTGTTCACAGGTGATTTTGAGTATGTCGTCATTGACTTGTTCATTTCACCTGTATGTCTAGTTGGTCTGTTCACAGGTGATTTTGGTATGTCTTCATTGACTTGTCATTTCACCTGTATGGTGATCTTTCACAGGTGAATTTTGAGTATTGACAAGTCCATTTCACCTGTATGTCTAGTTGGTCTTGGGTGATTTGAGTATGTCTTCATTGACTTGTTCATTTCACCTGTATGTTTATTGGTCTATTCACAGGTGATTTTGAGTATGTCGTCATTGACTTGTCCATTTCACCTGTATGTCTAGTTGGTCTGTTCACAGGTGATTTTGAGTATGTCGTCATTGACTTGTCCATTTCACCTGTATGTCTAGTTGGTCTGTTCACAGCTGAATGGGGTATGTCGTCATTGACTTGTCCATTTCACCTGTATGTCTAGTTGGTCTGTTCACAGGTGATTTGAGTGTCTTCATTGACTTGTCCATTTCACCTGTATGTCTAGTTGGTCTGTTCACAGGTGATTTTGAGTATGTCGTCATTGACTTGTCCATTTCACCTGTATGTCTAGTTGGTCTGTTCACAGCTGAATGGGGTATGTCGTCATTGACTTGTCAATATCATCTGTCTGTACTAACCTAGCTGGGTTGTACATACAACTTTAATATGCATCTGAGTGTGGTGTGTGTTGTTGTTGACTCGTCCATTTCACCTGTATGTCAAATTTGTATGGTTTCAGCTGAGGGGTGGGGTGTGTGTCATTGACTTGTCTATATCACCTATGTGTGCTTACCTGTGTACGTTGTATATAGAGCTTTAGTATGCATCCAAGTCTGGAGTGTGTTGTCATTGACAAGTCCATATCCCCAGTATGTCTAGTTAGAGCGTGTTTACAGGTGATATGTCGTCATTGGCTTGTCTATATCACCTGTCTGTACTTACCTAGCTAGGTTGTATATACAACTTTACTATGTGTCTGAGCGTGGAGTGTGTTGTCATTGATGTGTCCATATCACCTGTATTTCTAGTTAGAGCATGTTTACAGATGGAAGCTTTGACTTGTCCATATCATCTAGCTTGGGTGTACACACAGCTTTCTGTATATGTGTGTCACCATTGACTGTCCATATTATGTTTATATCAGGGGATTTGATGCAATCAACATGTCCAGTTATGTATGATGAAATAATGGCAGTTAAGATTTTATTGATTTGTAATTTCTGCAATTAATATGTCACATGATAATCAAGTGATTTGCATGACAATGTCAGTTTCATGTTGAATTATAAATTTCATTTTAACATTCCTTTTATGGAATATTTTTAACATTACCAATTATAAACATTCAACAACTTCTATTTATATTAAACAAGTTTTTCTTTTAACCATCTAAATACATCTGTGAATGTTATCTATTGTTCAGATGAAAATAAATTTTATGAAATATTTTTAACATTTCCCAATTTTAAACATTTAACAAGTTCTATTTATATTAAGCAATTTTTTCCACCGGACCATCAAAACAGATCTGTGAATGTTACCTTTGATCAGCCGAAAATTAATTTTGCACTTTCTATTATGAAAATCTATTTTTAATCATACATTTAGCACTGATTAAGCAAGACTGGTAACATTTAGTGATTGGTTTTGCCCTTCTGTGATTTTAATGCAATAAAACACCACTAGGGACATGTATATATTAGCAGCCCTGTAGAAGCCTGTGAGTATTGATCTCAAAATGACCATCGGTTGTCTTATGTTTTCCTGATACATTTTCAATTTATGCTGAGGGTAACAAGATACATTGTTGTTGAAATTGTGAGCATTAGGGAGTTTTGTTGGATATGAGAATTCCATTTCATCAACATTTTTAACTTATGAAGTCTTTTGCATGATTATTAGGGGTTGTATAAATGATCTTGAATCAGACTAATGATCAGTTTATTATCAAGGGGAACTCTCAGATGTTAACTTCCTATTGTTTTTTGTGACATTAGTGAACCCAATACATTATGAATTGTGAAGACCGATGCTCATGATCACTGGATTGTCTGGTCCAGTCTCAATTAACAGATCACTGCATATACCATAGCTTGAAAATTGCTGAGTGTGGCGTGAAATAACAAACAATCAAAATCCCATGACATTCTAGTGAAAACATGCACAAGCAGACATTGAGATGATTTTACACAATGATTTGGACAAGAAGTTTGGAATGGTGCTAATTACTTTCAGCATGTGTAGCCCCAACCTCTTTCTCTTCCAACACCCCTGACCTGGAGTAAGGGCGTCCGTATTTAATTCTGTGTTTCTCATCGCCTGACTGTTCCAACAATGGGGCGGGTGGGCAGGCCAAAATAAAAAAAAAAATAAAAAATACTATTCAGTATTCAAATATGTTTCACCACAAGAAAAAATGAAAATAGTGTTTAAAATGTTTTAAATTTCATTGAAAAACGAATCTTCAGCAGGTATTTGAATGGAAGCAACTCTTGCATCTTTACTCCCTGTCACGATTTAGGATTGGCATCCACTAATATTTACGATCTGACAATGTTAGGAGATCGCGATTTTCACGGCAAACCTTTATTGTCTTTGCCGCGATACCCAATGCATTTCTTGAGTATACATTCATTTTTTATCAATGGGCGGTGTACAATTGAGAAAAGTCGGCACAAAGTTTAGAAATAAAAATATATTTTTTATTGTATGGGCGGGTGGGATTTTTACGGGCAGTGGGAGATGAGAAACACAGAATTAAATATGGACGCCCTAACTTGGCAACCCGTGAAGATCCGGGTTAGAACATTGATCTTCAGTAACCCATGCTTGTCTTATGAGGCCATTAATGGAATCAGGTGGTCAGGCTCTCTGACTTAGTTGGCGCAACAAACAAACAAAATCCCATGACATTATGACATTTCTAATGATTGCATGCACATGCAGACATTAAAATGATTTTACACAACAAAGAAACATGCATCCAGTGTGTCAAATATGCTGAAGGGACCAAAATATCCCAAAGGATGCACAATAACATAACATTCCTTATCTATTGTTCAGATGACAATAATTCTTTTATGGAGTATGTTTAACATTTCCCAATTTTAAACAGTGTCCACAAGTATACAGGAGGGACACAAAAAAATTCCCAATATTTATTGTACTACATGCTTTAGAAGAAATGTAATTGTCCTGTACCTAATATAGTTATGATTGCTTTTTACACAAAAAACTGACATGAAGGTATCCATTGCCTCTCCTGTGTTTTCGCTCAAGGACCCAGGCGGTGGCAGTATATACCTTGACTTCTTCACGACTCAAGTTAATGTGGTCATTATCTAATCTTTCATTACAGTACACTGCACAATCTTGATTACGTTACATGACATTCATATATCCTGTACCCTTGAAATGAATTATTGAGGGTCACCTGTTCCACGCTTTTGAGGTCAAGGTAAAACCTGTTTTAATGTCCTCGCCTCAGCATCACGCCATGTCATGAAGTTTTGTTCTGTGAAAAATTATTTTCCTCACTAAAATTTGGAAAATATTGCTTCAGTTATGTTGTCATATTTCAGAAATCAATGTTAATGTGTTGGTAGGTAATTAGAATCATGTGTATACTGAGCAACACTTTGTATGTGGCCACATGGTGTGAAAATGTAGGCCATTATAAATGACCATATTTATATTTTTATTATTGTTTTCATAAGTGACGTCGTTTAATGAAAAGCTACAGATACTCTTTGCAGTTTTATGTTGCAATATTTGTGCACAGTTTCAAGAATATTGAGGAATTTTACCTTTTTCTAGTTCCAAAATAATATGAAAGATAGAAATTTATTGGTAGCCTTAGGAAAGAAGTTTACAAGTTACCTGTGTCAGATTAAAGCGTATATTTTTTCATGCTCTACAAAAAGTATCACAAGAAAAAATATTTCTGGTTGTGAAATGGAATTGGTTCAACTTGACAGATGATCATGTCATATTTGAAGTCAAACAGTGAATTATTGGAATCAGCATTGGAAATAAAGTTTAATTTAAAACATTCTGAGAATTTGACACTGGCTTAGTGCCAACTGGTACTTTTGCTAAATTTAGTTACATTTCTTATTCCCACTGACAAAAGTACAATAATCAGCTGGTGGTAAACTAGTTTTTGTTCAAAACAGGATGTTTTTCAAGACATTTTACTCTGAAAGCAGTAGCAAAATACATTTTTTTACTCAAAACATTTTTTTTTTAAAATCATCCAATATGCACTGTAGACAAATTTAATTTGTTTTTATATTTTAAGCCAATATTTTCAGGAACTGATAATTTCTTTTCAAATGAACCCCCATCCATACAGAATATCGAAACATTTTCCCATTGTCGTGCGTACTAGACTATCATCACAACACAGTCAGGCACTGAAGAGGACATCAGTGTTTATAGTTTGCATAATATAGCACCATGTGATAAAAGTTCTGACATACTCTATACAGTTGTGTCATAGTTCCATAGGGGAAAATACCAAAGGTTATAGATACTCGTAGATCCATTTCGAAAAGCATCTGCACTACAAGTCACTGGGTCATGTCATATATCATTATATCTCATTGTGGTCTTAGACTTCTTCTATTAAGAACATTGGCTGGAGCACACTAGGACGTAATTTTTCAGATGTTCATTTAATTTCATTTATTGTAATGATTTACTTTACAGACAGTATTTATGTTCTTAAGTATTTGTAAAGCGTTCGCTCGTCACACCGAAGACCCGGGTTCGATTCCCCACATGGGTACAATGTGTTAAGCCCATTTCTGGTGTCCCCCGCCGTGATATTGCTGGAATATTGCTAAAAGCGGCGTAAAACCAAACTCACTCACTCACTCTTAAGTATTTGTTAGGTGTTGCAAATGTCATATTTTTCTCAGAATGGTTGTACTCTTTTGGAATTGAAACATATTTATTGCAATTTTTCCTGAAATATTTGGCCAGCATCTTGTTATGTTCAGATTAATCAAAGACATTTAAGTCTCCATCTTTATTACTGAGATGATTACAGTGGTTCCGAAACATATTCTGCAAGAACTTGTGGATTATTATTATACTGACCAGCAATAAAAACGCAACTCAGAATTCATGAAAATTATACTTTCTCAGCACGAGTTTGGATTTGATGAATGGAATAAATTGTTTTGATTTTTTTAATTGCATTTCTTTTGCTGGTCAGTATATATTAAATATATAAATAAATGGTGACAAAGTTAATTCTAGGCTGGGGATTATTTCTTGCATTTGCTGCCAACAATTAACTCCAGAGCAGGTCTGGATAAATATGTGCCGTTATTAACTTATGCTACTCACAAGATGTTAAGGATCACCAAATTCTTTCATATTCATGTAGTCATGATTAAATATAATTTCTCTAACTATAGCAGTGTGAAAGAGGCTCTTGGTCCTTAAATTCCTTTGGTAGCATATTTCAACTAAATTCATTCAAACTGGATGTATGTGTAATTCTGGTGTTGTGACTCAACATTGCAGTTATTACAAAGGAAATTCATTTGTGTGATTATTATGTGGTATTTACTGCTTTTATTTTTATGCCTGCCAAAATATTTGTTGACAATTTGTACATATCCCAACCCTGTCCATGGGGACGTGTGTTCCTTGTTTCCAGCATGACTTACTCAATAAACCAATCATCTTGTTTATGCCATCCGTTGTGTTGTTGTCTTTCAGTGTCAGAGTGTGTGAGTTTAGTTTTACGCCGCACTCAGCAATATTCAAGCTGTATGGCAGCGGTCTGTAATTAATCGAGTCTGGACCAGACAATCCAGTGATCAACAGCATGAGCATCGATCAACGTAAGTGGGATACGATGACATGTGTCAACCAAGTCAGCGAGCCTGACCACCCAATCCAGTTAGTCGCCTCTTACCACAAGCATGGGTTACAAAAGATCAATTCTCTCGGTATCTGCACCGGTTTTCAGTTTCAGGGTGATGATTTGCCAAATATATGTTGTGAAAACATATTCAGTTAATGTTGGTCAGTAGGTTTGTTGCCCTTGAAGATTTGGGTTAGAACCGGTCTTCAGCAATTCAATTCTAACCCGGATCTTCACGGGTATGGCAATACAAATAGAAAGGCAGTATAATACAAAAGCAGTGATTGTAGAATGACCTTCGCGCAATTTCTGGTCTTGTAATGTTATTTGCGAGGAAACAGCACCCATTAATATCTAAGGCAAAAGACTCCAAATGATTCTCCAACTCAAATACATGGCACGTTTTTATGGATAACAACTTCTCCTTGGGTCAGAATATAATGGAAAGGCCCACAAGGTTGTAGTACCCTGTAGCACCTTCCAGAATTTCGTCTAAATATAGCAGACCACTGTATACTGTTATACGCTTGTAACATTGTTACACAATGAATAGTGCGGTGGGGTAGCCCAGTGGTTAAAGCGTTCGCTCGTCCCGCGAAAGACCTGTGTTCGATTCCCCACATGGGTACAATATGTGAAGCCCATTTTTGGTGTCCCCCGTCGTGATATTGCTGGAATATTGCTAAAAGCTGCGTAAAACCATACTCACTCACTCACACTAAAACAAAACGTATCAAAACCTCCCAAACAAAATCATCATCTTATTTTTATAAAATCCCTTCTGACAATTGATGGATACATCGCCAGTCCTCCTGTATATTATACATTAAACAGGAATTTAACAACACAGTCATAAACTATATTTCCACTTAGAGAGATGCTATTTCAGCTTAGTTCATAACTACTCGTTCAAAACCGCTGACAACATATAAAGATGATATATATAGTGCTGGCTAAACGTTTCATGGAAAACTGTATATTGGGTTTATTCATGCTAGTATTTGTGAAAGGCGTTCATTACTGTTCATACACTGTCATGGTTTAACCAATATACAGGTGATATACTAAATCATTCTTTTCTACATGCGACAGGTGGTGATCGACATACTATTCGTTTCGTACGGAAACCAGAATGCGAGTCATGTCGACCGTCACGTGCAGTTTGTGAACTCAAACGTAAACAGAGTCGTTCATAGTTCCTGGTTCTACATTGACGACGACTTCGAGACAGAACAGCGTAACTTAGAGTGACAGTTCACAGCAGGGGTGCAAAACCAGTCAAATCACGGGCCTTATCGGAAGGAGTATAATATTTCAAGGGGTCATAGGCACGGGTCACCAAGCCGGGGTCACGAGAAGCATGTGACGAGAGACTTCAGCGCGACAACATGGGGTGTTTGTGCTCTTGTTTACATCCAGAATTAGTAAGTACTATCTTTTTACACATCCTCTGTTATTAAATGACACACAAAGAACATATCTGCATACCCATCTTAACAGTTTTACATGCTAAGCTGGGGATATTGTGAAATTAACGATAGTTGTAACGGGTGAGGCGAGAATGACTGAACAAGGGAGCTAACTCTCGTTATTGTTTACACCCGTTTCCGTATTTCGTGGGTTCGGGTGAGTATTATATGAACCGATATTTTTATGAGGTACAATTTATTAAGTATGCGTTAGTGCAGATTTTAAATCGGTCAGTGTTCGTTTATCAAAGTGTTTTAGAAAACGTGTTGGTTTTTTTGCCAACACAACACAAGGCAGATCCACCTCAACTTTGCTGTTATTATGTAATGGTTAAGCTGTGAAGCATAAATCGGATCAAGGCCGGATCATGTATAACAGGTCAAACCAGTGCTTGCTCAACTAACGGTGTCCTCCCATTTGTGAGAACTCCCAGTTGTGAGACACATTAATTAATGGTTCAGTGCACATAGGTGGTGTTTCCACATCCCTACAATGAAAGTGGGATCAGCCCAGTTGTTGAAGAGTACCCACAGGAGTCATTGATGAGTAGATTAATGAAATAGATTATCAAAGATTATATTTACACAGAAGAAATAGTTCATTAAATATATTATTTATTCAGAAGAATATGTAATTATGATAACACATTTATATTGACTATTATGAAGTTTGAAAGTCATTTTGGTTTAAACATATTTTATTATTATTTATGAAAATGAATTGGGATTGGTGAACAAGCATTACTGCTTATGTTAACACCGCTCCCATGCAACATAAAATACAAAATGAAATGGAGGATGTGACGTCATCGATATTGACTATTGCATAATATATTTTGAGTACATATAAATATATACAGATTACATCAAATACAACTATTCTCTAAGTAGTCATAATTAGAGAGTTACAGTTGTGTGTGTCTAACAAGCTATTGTAGGAATATAAATCAATCATGAGAAGGTTGTTGAGTTAATTTAAGTATTTTCCTGAGAAAATTTGAAGCGTTGTGTCTTGATGATATAATCGTGGACGGATTCAACTATTTTCTGGTTTACACAAGGAGTAAATTCTTTGTTTCCGTTCAAAATGGTATCCAGGTTATAACGGGTAGTGTCGGGTAAAAAGGTTTGGCATAAGAGGCAGTTCGACTGTAAATTCCTTGTATTTCAGAGTTATTTCTTAAACTATATCTTGTAGTTTCGGAGATGGAGTAAATCTGAGTAGGTAAATGAATTTCTCTTTCAAATGATCACGAAGTTACCTACACAAAATGTTCAATTTTTAAAGACATTTACCTGAGTATGTTAATCAATTTATCTTAGTAAGTTTCATTAAGACTTCCACAAGATTCAGTTACATAGCAAATCAGTAATTAGCTAGTGTTAATCCATTCTATCAGACAGGGGAGTATGGTGTGTTTTCTTTGTTAATTATCTACTCCATTGTCTCATAACTGGGAGTCTCACAATTGGGAGTTCTCACAAATGGGAGTAGACCCAACTAACAGCAGAGACCATATTATAGATTATATGGTCTCTGCTAACAGTTAATTAACTCCCGAAAATAACATTGATTCTGATGGAAACAAATGATTCTATTTAATTGAAAAGAAGCCGCAGGGAGGTGCCTGGGTGATTCATAACCCGAGGAAAATCTAGAATGGTTTCATTAAGGGAAAGCGCAGGGTGGAAGGGATTAGTATATATGCATGGTTCAGTAACTATCTATATAGGCTCAGACTAGGTGCTTGCTTAACACTAGTATGTGCTTTCCCAATTGCGCAAATCGATGCTCATGATGTTGATCACTGGATTGTCTGGTACAGACTCGATTATTTGTAAACAGACCGCCATATAGCTGGAATATTGCTGAGTGTGGCGTAAAACTAAACTCACGCTCTCACTCACTCATTCACTACTTAAGAAATAGCATAGTTTATTCCTAGACGTGCATGCAAACATTTAGCGTCCCAGTGAATGCTGACAGTATTTGTTTCGCGTGTCTTTCCAAGTTGTATGTATAATGGCCGCAAGATTTATAGTCCGTGATATCCCTTGGCCCAGATTGTGACCGGTGTGTGTTAACCCCTACTACAGCGACATTGCTCTTGTAGTGACGTGAGAGAAGTGATATTTGTCATCAGAAGCGGACGAGGTGTTCAGATGCGATGTACAGTGAATATCCTGTTGTTGTACACATCAGGGCCTAGATTTTCGAAGCTCTCTTAGCGCTAAGATAGTCGTAAGTGCCATACATTAACATTAACTTTCGACTATCTTAGAACTAAGGGAGCTTCGAAAATCTAGGCCGCAGGGCTCCAGATAACTTTTGAACATCAGGAGTACCTACTCCTTATTTTTTCAATATAGGAGTACTCGAAAACTCATTTAGAAAACCTTAATGCCAGTACATTTAGAGTACTGAACTTGCACTGAATTTAATGGAGTCTATCACCAGGTAATCTTGTGTTTCGTTTCTATATATGCACCACAACATTGCTAGTCTTAGGTTGCACCCAGTGCAAGTAAGTTAACATCTCTTAAATCGAGCCCTATGTAAACAGGTCAATAAACAATAAAACAATACTTTTTCAGATAAATACGTCTGTAAATGATTCTAAGACCGTACACCATTGCCGTGGTGCGTATCTGCTACGTTTTATAACTTATTTCCTACCGTATCGTGCAAATTTTTTATCCGTACATACGCCGATACGGCCCTTATCTGGAGCCCTGCACATAATAATGTTGCCACTCTACCACTGAAATACGGCTGTTGGGTAGCTCGGTGATGAAAGCGTTCGCTATTCGCGTCGGTGAATAAAGCGTTCGCTATTCACGTGGAAGACGTGGTTTGCTTCCCCACATGGGTACAGTGTATTAAGCCAATTTCTACTGTCCCTGCCATGATATTGATGGAATATTGCCAAGGAAGCGGCGTAAAACCATACTCTCTCACAACCACTGAAATCGTGTTAATGTCACTGTAAGGAGCTGTCCGGTGGCTGAATGGTAAATGCGCTGATTTGTCACGCCGATATCTGAGATCTATTCCACAAATCTGTAAATGCACGAAGCTCTGTGTTCCCCGTCCTGATTCCTTGTTCGAGTTACTCCTAAATATGTCTCGCAGTCTTTGAACCATATTATTGAACCATACATGCAGCTGAAATATTTCTGAGCTTAGATAACGTTAAACACCAAACGTACACGAAAACCTGCCTCCCAGGTGGAATGTCTACATTCTCCCATCTCCTTGGGGGGCGTTGGGGTAGCCTAGTGGTTAAAGCGTTCGCTCATCGCCCCGAACACCCAGGTTCGATTCCCTACATGGGTACAATATGTCAAGCCCATACCTGGTGTCCCCCTCCGTGATATTGCTGGAATATTGCTAAAAGCAGTCTAAAATCCAAGTGATGTAAAACACTCATATGGAATAATCAAGTTCTTTAACTTTTGTTGCGTGGTATATTTCAGGGGTGGAAATAACCCATTGCCCGACGCCCGAGTCCAGTGTTTTTTTCTGTTGGGCAAGCAAATTTGTATATCACACTGTACCGGTGTCCAGTTGACTTTCCAATATTAATTATATTGTTTATTTTAAAAAATCAACAAGAAAACGGCCGGTATAGTAGAAAAATTATCAGGGCAAGTGATTTTACATGTGCCACTGTACCGGAGTACACTAGCAATTTTAAAGTTATTTCCACCCCTGATATTTGCGACAGTGTACACACATAGTTGCCGGGTTAGAACAAGTCATCGTAAATGGGAAACAACAACGCCCTTCAGCGTGACGAGCTAAATACCGGAAGCGTGGTTCGATCCCTGACCGCGTCATGCAAGAGACGTTACAGACCGCCCTTGTGAGCCTGTCTGGTACTCGGCTTTAGAGGAGCAATACAAAGAGTGGTCCTCTCGGAGACACCAGACTCGATTATTTACAGACCGTATCCCAATTACGCAGATAGATGCTCATGATATTGATCACTGGATTGTCTGGTCCAAACACTATTATTTAAAGACCACCATCTGGAATGCAGTGCGGCGTTAAACAACAAACAAAACAAAAATCTCGGAGTGGGTAAACTGTGTCTTTTGGGGGTAACCACGATGGGGCGTGTATCTCAGTGGGTTAGCAATATGACACCGGTGTTAGCCCAGACTAGTACACACACGCATGCACGCACGCACACACGCATGCACACACGCACGAAAGCGCTTGTAGCCGTCGCTATATTAGCGTAATAATCATGAGCGCGATTTTCAACCCCATTTCAACGCCTTCCTCCAAAACAATGCCCGTCTGTTTAAAGCTTCATACAAAGAGCTCAATGCATCGTTTCGGAGTAAGCCAAATAACCTTAATAAAACTGTATCATACTAGAACAGAGATATCATACCCTTGATATTAGAGGATGTTCTATCCGTGTCTATCATAAAGAGGTAGCTGTTGTTTACGCCACATTTAGCAATATTCCAGCAATATCACGACAGGGAACACCAGAAATTCACTTCAAACAATGTTCCCTTGTGGGGAGTCAAACCCGGATCTTCGGCGTGACGAGCGAACGCTTTAACCACTATGCTACCACGCCGCCCCCGTGTCTATCAGTGGAAATCTGTGTGTTTGTCAGATTGCTTTAAAATTTGGCCATCGGTACTCGTGTACTCTTAAATGTCCTTCACCTAAATTTGTGGGTGGATACAGATATTTCAGCGTATATTTTCTGCTTCTCCTTATGTTCCACAACCTTTGCCTTTCATAAGTCACCATTATATAAAATCAGAGGATCAGATATCCCTTGAATGAGAGTGATGTATAGAAAACACTTATATAGCACTTATATTCACGAAGGGGCGGTGGGGTAGCCTAGTGGTTAAAGCGTTGGCTCGTCACGCCGAAGACCCGGGTTCGAATCCCCACATGGGTACATTGTGTGAAGCCTATTTCTGGTGTCCCCCGCCGTGATGTTGCTGGAATATTGCTAAAAGCGGCGTAAAACTAAACTCAGTCAGCAGTATATTCACGAACTATCTGAACAATTATTTAATCTACTTTTTAGTTGAATGATACTATTACTATACATCGTGATAGAAAATCTATTTATAGAAACAGTATCAGCCATTATGGAGTGATACTGTTAAAATATGGAGGAATGCTTGAATCAATACGATTTTGTGTTCTGTTGATCTAGGGTTTTTTCTGAGATAGATTAATGTCTTTTAGGAACACCAAACAATTCATTTAAAACAGAACATTTATCGTTAACCTTGTAATCGCAGGTTATCCTGTCTAGACAGGCTTTAAGTACGAGTTTAAGGGCTGCCTGATCACTATTGCGCAATGATGACTTGACATTACTCTGCTGCCACAGGCTAATTTGCATACCACGTGACCGGACTTTTTATTGTTTGTAAACAAACGCGCTTATTCTGAATCATACCAGTCCGAAGGGGCGGTGGGGTAGCCTAGTGGTTAAAGCGTTGGCTCGTCACGCCGAAGACCCGGGTTCCAATCCCCACATGGGTACAATGTGTGAAGCCCATTTCTGGTGTCCCCCGCCGTGATGTTGCTGGAATATTGCTAAAAGCGGCGTAAAACCAAACTCAGTCAGTCAGTCAGTCAGTCATACCAGTCCGACCTTATGAACAACTTTCAGTGTGATTGACAGGTTGTTTGGTATACGGATAAAGATTCGTTCTATATCTGGTTAGATCACTCGCGTGTGGTATAAAAGGAAATGTTGTAGATTAGCAATTGTATTTAAAGTTCATTAATCAATAGAAAGGGATAATAATGGCTGAACCAAAATAAAGTGGCAGTTAAAATTCAAAAGGAGTGTTTATACGATGACAAAATAATATAAAAACAACGATTTTAGCAATAAAGACATTGATGCTAATACATGTATACACCTAGCTGGAACAGTGGTCACGTCTCCATAGTAGGCTTGGAGAGGGAAATGTTTCTACACACAGCGGTTGGTCTTCATAGGGACAGCGATGTTTATATTCCACTATGATCTAAAGTTTGGTCGGTCGGTCGTTTTATAAAAAGATAAATACTTGTTTATTATAATATCTACGTCAGACAAAGACACAGACAAAAACATCTGGGTAGTCCAGTGGTTAAAGCGTTCGCTCGTAACGCCGAAGGCCCGGGTTCGATTCCCCACATGGGCACAATATGTGAAGCCCATTTCTGGTGTCCCCCGCCTTGATATTGCTGGAATATTGCTAAAAGCGACGTAAAACCCAACTCACTCACTATACCTACAGCATTCCTCCCTCCTGACACAGGAATGAAGCTGTTGAGTGAGCAGTAGGTAGGTCCTGAGTTCGAAAAAACCCCACTTTTAAGGGTCGGCGGCTACATTATAGCTGTCGGACGATGAGAAACACAGAAATACAAAACAAACATTGCCCGGAGAGATATGAGTCAATGAAGCGGTCATAAAATATGACGAAGTCCCGTTTTGGCTTTCCCTTGCCGACCGTTGAAGAACAAGGCCACAGTTCGACATATAGGTCACACGAAACACGCTGATATGTTCGCGGCCTTTCTAGTGTATACGGTGCGTCATCGGTGTGAGTAGCAAGCGGTATCAATATAGGGTATTAATGACCCTTGATGTTACGGACATGTATCATGCCAAATGTTTTTTTAGCTTATATGTTTTTATGTCATGTTAGTTCATTTCGGATGAATATTTATCTCGAATGTCTCCGACGTGTAAGTACAAACTGCCTATCAGATAAAACAGATATTTTCCGATATCAGGGACGGGAATTCAGTGACATGCATTCACCAAGTCAGCAAGTGAACACATAACATCATAGGGAGTTTCGAACCGCCTCCGTGGTGTAGTGGTTAGAGCGTCCGCTCAGAGAGCGGAAGGTCGCGGGTTCGATCCCCGACCGCGTCATACCAAAAGACGTTAAAATATGGTACTTGTTGGTCCCTGCCTGGCGCTCGGCATTAGTGGGTACAACAAGGACTGGTCGGCTCGGAGTCAGTATAATGTGTCTGAGTGGGGTATTCATGCTTCACTGCGGCATGGTATCTCAGTGGCCTAGCACTATAAACCCAGCGTCAGTCTGGGCTAGTACAAGCAGCCACACATACACATACACACGCATACACGTCGTCATATGAGCGAAATATTCTCAAACACGACGATAAACCCAATTTCACCTCACCTCATAGGGAGTTTCACGTATGACGGTATGAACCCCCCGTGATATAACAACTTTGGTTTGGTTTGGTGTGGTTGTTTTTTCAACGCCGCACTCAGAAATATTCCGACTATATGGCAGCTGTCTGTAAATAATTGAGTCTGGACCAGACGATCTTCTGATCAACATCATGAGCATCGATCTACGCAAATGGGATACGATGACATGTCTCAACCAAGTCAGCAAGCCTGACCACCCGATCCCGTTAGTCGCCTCTTACGACAAGCATGGGCTACTCTGATGACCACTTCTATCAACAAACAAAAGCGCACGCACACAAAAAACCCACAACAAACAAACACTCTTGTCAGGCTCCCTATTGTTTTCGGTGCCGTGGTTTGGTACTTTATGTTCTCAAGGCACCGGGTTCACCACAGCCCTTCTGTCGCTGGGTAGTGCAGAAGGCTGCAGTGTTGGGGAGTCTCCATATTCTCCGAAATGATCTCAGTGGATTCGACCTGATTCGAAGTCCATTCGCTGTCTGGGCTGCGTGCAGGAGGGGCAAGGGTACCTGAACTGATGATGAGTCTCTCTATGCAAGGAGGGGCGGTGAGGTAGCCTAGTGGTTCGCGCGTCACGCGGAAGACCCGGGTTCGATTCCCAACATGGGTACAATGTGTGAAGCCCATTTCTGGTGTCCCCCGCCGTGATATTGCTGGAATATTGCAAAAAGCGGCGTAAAACCATACTCACTCACTCACTCACTGTGCCATGACCACCCAACCTCTCTCTGCTGCATTTATTTTAATCTGTCAAACATAATGCTAATAATACAAAGTATATATAAAGAATACTACACGAGGTCTCATTACATACAAATTATACGAAACGAGTGTCCTTCCTATGGTATCTGACCGAGCGAAAGCGAGTTCAGATAGCATAGGAAGGTCTCGAGTTTCGTATAATTCGTATGTGATGAGACCGCGTGTGGAGTATTTTATTTATTACCCACGTCTTACATGCATTAAATTGACAAAATAGCGTATTTTTGTTATGTTTTTGGTTTCAAACCGAAACCGGTTTCATAAAGAGGTTGCGGAAGAGTTTTGTACTGTAGTACAATATTTGCATGACGTCACACTGTAATGACGTCACTGCCTTGGTAACCGACGTCACGATGCATGTCAGTTGTCATCGCCTCGTACAGCCTCTTACAGTAAACTACTCCGTAGCACCTCGTTTCTTGGTTTCCAGTTGCTTCATTCGGCTAACATCACTGGTGGAAACATTGCGTTTATGTTTTTCGACGGATATAATGTCTCAGTTCGACTCACAATTAAACAGCGACACGGCAACGTTCGCAATGTTTACATCCTCACAATGCATTTAAGTTGTAGAATGAATGAATTCACGTGTTTGTTAAGAATGAAAAAATAGTTACGTCAGAATGTGACCTAATTGAGAGGTCATCGGTTATCCAATCAAATCGTTAGAATCTCAGGTCAAGTCGTTACGACACAGGTCAACGCGATACGACACGCGTGTGACGTACGAGATTAGTATGCAACTACCCATACGTTGACCTCGTGGGTAATAAATAACAATATGATGACAATGCTATGGCTGCAATGTCACATATTTCTTAAGCCATATCGCCCCATGCGCCCCAATGTTGTCCATAACGCCCCAAATTGTCACTTAATGGGGTACCTAAGGGCCACATTGCGTTAGCGTTGTACCAACAGAAATATCATAACCCTCTTTTCAAAACCGTGTATGCCTTCACACACGAAAAACAAACCACGAAGTCTGTCATGTCTCATTTTTTTTCACCCAGAAGTCTGAAGCATCAGCAAAGACGCCATTGCTGTCGGGTACAACTTCGCCACCCAACAACAGCAACAACAACGGCCAGTCAGCCAGACAGAACCGACCTCCGAGGAAAGAGTTTTGTGAGTATTACTGGGTTTTTTTTATACGAGTAGTTAAGAAACGGTAGATTGCTGCGTGCAACTATTAACAGGAGTTATACATGATATCGATTGTTTGAAAATAAACCCTTCTTAAAACTTTTAGCGTATGAAGATGCCTTTGTCAATTTCCACAACCATCAGCGGTTAACGAGCAGGTTTGTGTCAATCTCACGAGTTCCGGAAATAGGTTTCAAAGAGTGCTGTAATGTAAAGACGGAGCCGAGTTTAAATTTCCGCCTGGATGACATTCAACCAGTCTTAGACACCTGCGTGTAATGGCTTTCTTTTCCAATAGCTTGGAGTAATTCTAAATGTTCCCTTCTGAACTTCGTTAAAACCTTTCATGAGACATCTTTTTCATGTTTGTTCAATTTCAAACTGTCAATCTTTCTAACTGATGTGTAGTTTCATTTCCGGGCAAATAAGCAGGGCTTAATGTCTTCCTGTATTTCAGAGAGGAGATGGTTCCGTCGTAAATTGCAGATTACGTGTACAAAGGGACACACTTTCTCATTTTCTGACATGACGTCATTTTCTTCCTGATTTAGTGATTACCAAATGTCTGCTGTAGATTCATCGTTGTTGTCTGTGTTATGTTCAACAATTCCGATCAGATCGGATCCTAGCTAATGTCTTCATTCCTGTAAGGATTTAGACCCCTGAAGATTCGAGTTGTCAGTAACCCATGCTTGTCGTAAGAGACGACGAACGGGTCGCGCGCTGACTTGGATGACATGTCATCGTATCCCATTTGCACAGATCGATGCTCATGCTGTTGATCACTGGATTGTCTGGTCCAGACTCTATTATGTACAGACCGCCGCCATATAGCTGGAATATTGCTAAGTGCGGCGTAAAGCTAAACTCACTCACTCCTGTATGGGGTTATATCCGGTACATCCAGTCTCTCACTTCTCTCCGATAGCCGATACTAAATCAATCTATTTATGAGAGATTTGCTGATAGCCACGTTGACGTGTCCGAGACGAATCTTTTGTATAGGTCCTCTTCCACATAGCGACAGTCGTAGGTCTTTGTAAAACACTGGTTCCGATTGTCCACGCGTGTAGACCCTGGTTAGCATTGGTCTTGGCAACCCATGCTTGTTGTAAGAGCCGACTAACGGGATATCGGGTGGTCAGGCTCGCTGACTTGGTTGACACATGTCATTGTATGTCATTTGTGCATATCGATGCTGTTGACCACTGGATTGTCTGGTCCAGACTCGATTATTTACAGACCGCCGCCATATAGCTGGACTATTGCTGGGTGCGGCGTTAAACAAACAAACAAACAAACAAATAATGATTGGGAGTCATCAAAGCGCCCGAAGACCCGGGTTCGATTCTCTACATGGGTACAGTGTGTGAAGCCCACTTCTGGTGCCCCCCGCAGTGATATTGCTGGAATATTGCTAAACAAACAGACAGACATACATTTTATTCAGAAATAGGCCATTGGCCCAAAATACATTCATAGATATATATTTTGCATGAAGTTACATGCGTTTTACAGAAAAAAACACATCAGAAGTTTCTATTTCCCAACATTTTGTGAAAATAGGCATACATTATTTATAACATTTATGTTCGTTGAAGATGTTATGTTGACGAAACTTTGTTATAATAGAGGATGTTTCAGGTATTTATCCAGAAAAATATTCCTTATATCTAGGTAGGCTTTACAATAAAGTAAGATATGAATATTGCTAAAAGCGGCATGAAAACAGACTCACCCACTCACTCACCTACCCCGGCAGCATGAGTCAGCTGATTTATATCACTCTCTCACATGTCACACCAACCCTACTCTCTTTTTACACATAGGGGCGGTGGGGTAGCCTAATGGTTAAAGCGTTGGCTCGTCACGCCGAAGACCCGGGTTCGAATCCCCACATGGGCACAGTGTGTGAAGCCCATTTTTGGTGTCCCCCGCCGTGATGTTGCTGGAATATTGCTAAAAGCGGCGTAAAACCAAACTCAGTCAGTCAGTCAGTCTTTTTACACATATGTTCATATTGCGTAGAACACCATTCACTTCAATATTATCCGAAAACTGTTATGTGATGACACTTATTTTCTTCTCCAGTGACATCCGTTGAAGAATTAGCAATCGTTCAATGTGCCAAGCTGCCTTTACCTGCTTTAGACAAGACGTTTCAGGTAAGATCAAGACATGTTTCAATCAAAACGGTTTAATCCATGTTAATAAATACATGTATGAATGAGGTAACAATGAGCGAATTAAGATTAAGATCGAGTTCTTATGTTAACCGGCTGATTGTGTGTAATTGTCTCCCTTGGCGTAGATCTTTGCTCATGATATCATTCACTTGCTTGTGCAGTCCAGGCTTTGGAGATTTTTCAACTTTCCAAATAACTAACTGTTGGTCATATCAGCCATGGCTCTGAAGGGAGAGATTGTTCCTGGTAGACAAAATGGACTTGATATTCTGATGGAGGGGTTCAGTTATAGCAAGAAGGAAAACAAGAATGGCACAGTAGCGTAGCGTTGTTGTCGTCATGTAAAGCCATGGACATGAATAATGTACATGTATCGTAAAACACTTTTTCTTCATGGTATTCAGAGCTCTTTCAAAGTATCACGCCTCGGTTATTAGTCCTGTTGGTAATTAAGCTGATTGGATAAAGAGAGGCCAGTGTGAGAACACTGAAGTGTTCAGGGGCCTCTCAGGGGAAGGGTCGTTAACAGACAGACGGACAGATTATATTAACGCAAGCCACATGGGCCTCTGGCCATACATACAATACAATATAGATAATATTTATGTTGGATGGTGAGGATGACATTATTAATAAGTTAAAAGTTGTTTCTTACACGGAATGCCTCATACACATATCTGCCTAGAGAGCGTTGAGTATTAATATTTTCTGATGATAATAACTGTATACATTTATTAACTGAATAATTCTTACAATAATATTTCTTTAAATGAATAGATCTTAGGTTAGTGTACGATGGACATTTGAGTAAAAAGTGAAATTCGTCTTCTATGTCATTAAGATTATAGTTAGTACAAATGTTTATTACTACCATGTCTACCAGTTCAAATTAATAATGTATGAGGTGATAATCTTAATTTACATAATGCAGACCTGTGGGTACAATTTCAAACATTAACTAAATATCTTTCAAAGCCAAATTTCCCTTAAATTGTTTGAATAACATATAAGTAGTAGATGTCCTCATCTCCTGGTACCAATACGTAATGAATTTATCTTGCAGTCGTTGTTTTAATAAAGACATGAAAACTGGAACATTTACCTCTAAGGGAGAGTATTATTGAGTATTTGAAGCACGGGAATTCATTTGGAACCGACGGCGTCAGCCGGAGGTTTCAAATGAAATATTCCCGTGCTTCAAATACTCAATAACACCCGGAAATTGGCCAACACATGATGTTTATCGACATTGTAAACACAAAAGTAAACCAAAAGGTCCACACACTTTTTTTGTGTCTGCTCTCATTGACATCGAGTACGGGTACAGCAGTGAAATGTCATCAGCCGGCCGTTTCGGCTGTCTCCCATGGTAGCATCTGGAACTGCTCATTTGTGACGTCATTCGGACTTTACGCCGCAATATGATTTTAATGACGTCATCAAAGCTGACGACGTAACAATACGATGGTGTGAGCGATGTTTGTATGTATTAATACGCATAGAATTTCCGGGAATCAAATACCATTTGATCACGTTTTTCAACCAATCAGATTAAAGAACGCAGGGACTTTTGGTTTACAATGATATATATATTTATCTTTAAAAAAACCCAATGTGCTATTTGTTTTGTTCCTAATAGTGAGTGAGTGAGTTTAGTTTTACGCCGCTTTTAGCACTATTCCAGCAATATCACGGCGGGGAACACCAGAAATGGGCTTCACACAGTGTACTCATGTGTAGAAACGAACCCGGGTCTTCGGCGTGAGCGAACGCTTTGACCACTAGGCTACCCCACCGCCCCATTGTTCCTAATAGACATAACGAAGAGAGAATACAGTGAATTGAAAGAAGTTATCATGCAACAGTGTTTTGGGACAGTAAATATTCTGTATTAGGTTTAGACATTAGTTACCGAGCCTTAATTTCTTAAAATTCTGCCGCAAAAGAACGTTTTACAAATAGTACAAACAGTTTTTGGAACATGCGCAGTAACATCACGCCACATGGTCAGTGCATAGCCAGTAGAACAGTAAAAGTCCATATAATTCAATTTGAAACTACAGACAGTGGCCAAACGACCACCACAAAAGTATCTTGACAGTTGCCATCATATATCATTAACAATCCATCCATCCTCCGTTGGAGTAATTTAGGGATTGTTCGCAGTCTGTGTTAATTGTCAGATGCAACAAAAAGATGAAACAAACTGTTATTTAGGAAATATTATGACCAAATCCTACCATTATAGATTCAGGAAAGAAACCCCAGACGGAAGAGGTCTGCACGCACATGTGTAATAAAATAATCCTGCTTTTGTTTTCAGTAAATTGCTTTGCAATTTGTGTCTCCAAAATATTCCCAGACACAGGTATTAGGACTGGTTAACTGAGTGTCCCAATACTCATTTCGGACAGCGCCGCCATGTTTGTTTGTAGACACTGAAAGTAGTACCGACGTGACCTTTATATTTGAATATGTAAATGACCCCAAGGTTACATATTTTTCCGTTTGCTTTATGCTGTCGAGAAACTAGGGCTGGGACGGGTAAACCGGATACCCGGGACGGATGGGTAATAAGTTGGACCCGGGTACCCGTCTCAAAACCCGGACCCGTTATGATCATGTGACAAATATTTAAACAATGTAATATGTTAGTCTTTCATGATTAAAAGGTTGTGTTTACTTTGAAGATTTAGATATAATTGTGCAGTCACCTGTTTTGAATATAATACATGGTTAACATAGAATTAACGTACAAATTATACTCCTACTGTCACATCCACCTTCATAAAGATTGAAGCATTATTTCCGGTACCGATAAGGGACAGAGTACAAACAGATAATCCTTATATTTACGTCTAATCCCAAGTAGGGATGTGTCTGAAGCCTATTTCTGTCGCCACCCGAAGTCATATTGCACTTACTATATTCCTTAGGGGTAATTTTCTCATAATTATGAGACCGCCTCCGTGGTGTAGTGGTTAGAGCGTCCGCCTGGAGAGCGGAAGGTCGCGGGTTCGATCCCCGACCGCGTCATACCAAAAGACGTTAACATATGGTACTTGTTGGTCCCTGTCTGGCACTCGGCATTATTGGGTACAACAAGGACTGGTCGGCTCGGAGTCAGTATAATGTGTCTGAGTGGGGTATTCATGCTTCACTGCGGCATGGTATCTCAGTGGGCTAGCACTATAAAACCAGCTTAAGTCTGGGCTAGTACAAGCAGCCGCACATACACATACACACGCATGCACGTCGTCATATGAGCGAAATATTCTCAAGCACGACGTAAAACCCAATTTCACCTCACCTCACCTCATAATTATGAGAACAACCTCACAAGCAAGAATTATGTCCAGGTTACCTGGTATATTTCAAAGCATCCTTGCTGGAAACAAGGATTGCTCTCTGGCTCATTAAGGCCTCAACACTTGTATTCTATCTACGTTTATTTGTTATTTAACGTCGACCTCCGCCATATTCCAGCTATATGGCGGCGGTCTGTAAATAATCGAGTCTGGACCAGACAATCCAGGGATCAACAGCATGAACGGCGATCTGCGCAATTGGGATACGATGACATCTGTCAACCCAGTCAGCGAGCCTGACCACCCGATCCCGTTAGTCGCCTCTTACGAAAAGCATGGGTTACTGAAGATCAATTTTAACCCGGATCTTCACTGGTCCAGGATTTGTCAAAGTGACGCATGGCATGACATTGAACTTCACAGGATTTGTCAGTGTACTCGACGGATACCAAAGTCGCTACTGCAAAAGCTCGCCATTGTGAATGTCTTATTGCTTTGCTTCCGTGTCAACCTAATTAGGACTACCAAATGGTGCCACCTACCGTAGTAGATCATTAAAAGCTGTTGCTGCCTGACTACTCTTGAGATCTTTATCTGAACACTTTCACCACCACTTCAGACGTCTGGCTGGAGAATGGAAAGATCAATGGTTTGTTTCCAGTCCGCGCAATACCAAAATACGTTAAAAGATGGTACTTTTTGTTGCCTTGCCTGACATCCGACAAATCATGGTCTGAGCGGTTCGGAGTCTGTATATTGTGTCTTGGGAGGGGTGGCGGTGGTGTGTTTGGGTAGGTGGGTGGGGGGTATCCACGTTAACTGGATGATATCTCAATTTTCTGGCACTTGAGTGAGTGAGTGAGTTTAGGTTTACGCCACTAGTAGCAATATCACGGTGGGGGGACATCAGAAATTGGCTTCACGCCTCGTACCCATGTGGGGAATCCAACCCGGGTATTTGGCGTCACGAGCGAACGCTTTAACCACTTGGCTACCCCACCGCCCCCAAACCGGCTTGATACCATAGGCAAACAAAATTTACATTCCGCAAAATCCCGGAATTTTTTTATTCAATTTGTCAACTTTAATAGTCTCAGGGACCCACGTGGCCCAGTTGCAATCCAGAGTTGTGTCCCTTTGGTTCGCCAGAAATCTTATAATCGGGGTTCGAATCCCGGGTTGCCATGGTTTTTTGTCTAGGTTTCCACACCATAACCATCCGTCAATTCGCACTTTCCTTTCACAGTAAGCTGGGACTGATGGGGTAGCCTAGTGGTTAAAGCGTCCGCTCGAACACCGAAGACCCGGGTTCGATTTACCTTAGGGTACAATGTGTGAAGCCCATTTTCTGGTGTCCCCCGCCGTGATATTGCTGGAATGTCACTAAAAGCGGCGTAAAACTAAACTCAATCACTCACAGTAAGCCGACAAGCCCTGTTATAGCTGAAATCCTGTTCAAAGCCGTGTTTAATCCAACTCACTCACTCACCTATGGTCGTAGTCCTACGAAAATGAACCGAATCTGTAAACATAAAAACGAAATCAACGCCAGATGGCTTGTGTCAGAACAAAACCATTGTGTGTCCTTGGCAATGCTCATCAACAGCTCGTTACAAATTGCATGCAATGTTTATCGATTTGAAACATTAAGGATGGTATCATTTCCCCTTACCGCTTTGGTGCATATGTTCCAACTCTTAAAGAAGGAGGCTTTTTCAGCCAGGGATAGTCTGAAGTGCTTCCTACCTGCATGTCAGCCAGGTTGACGGCAATCCATACAAGTCAAAAGACTGACAAAAATACTTACGACAAGATCATGGAATTCCTGGCCTGAAGTAATTGCAGTTCCTAAAGAACACACAGTTTGACCCGGGAAAGAAATGTCATTTTATTGACAAGCACTCTCTTTTTTTTAATACAATTTCAAAATAATGTTAAAAAGCTTTCCAGACTTTCCCAATTATAATGTGATTTTGACTTCTTAGGGCTGATTGACAAGTTTGATGTTTAAATGTCAAGGATATCAATATGAATGTCATCTTGATCTAAGGCATGGCAACTCGTCAAGGCCTGATAATACCTTGAGACTGTACTGAAGATTGAAACCACATGTACAAGAGCATAATATTTGTCATGAAAAGAACACAGATATTGGTAGTTTGACAAGGAAGGACCTTGAAGTATTTTCCCAATAGTTTTGTTTAAACATATTTTGATGACATAACGCGAAGAGGATGATTGGTACACAGAATGTCCGTTTCTAAACATGCTCTCATTAATTCGTTCATACTGACATGTCAAACTTGGGATATGCGTTGAGAAGATTTAAACGTCATTGTTCCGATGGTTTATGAGAAGAATTTAACAGATGTTTAAAAGCGTGGTGAAAGAGCACTGGTGAAATGAAGGTCATGATTAGGTCATGAACTAATTGCGATTGATTGATTGATTGATTGATTGATTGTTCTTTAACGCCGCACTCAGCAATATTCCAGCTATATGGCAGCGGTCCGTAATTGATCGAGTCTGCACCAGACAATCCAGTGATCAACATCTTGAGCATCGATCTACGCAATTGGGATACGATGACATGTGTCAAACAAGTCAGCCAACCTGACCACCCGATCCCGTTAGTCTTACAGCATGGGTTACTGAAGACCAATTCTATCCCAGATCTTCACGGGTCCAAACCAATCGCGAAGTTGGAGGAGTGCGTAATGTCCATCAACCCCTTGCCTCCAACTCTATGGGTTGGGCGGATAGGTGGGGCAGCCTAGTGGTTAAAGCGTTCGCTCGTCACGCCGAAGGCTCGGGTTCGATTTTCCGCATGGATACAAAGTGTGAAGCCCATTTCTGGTGTTCCCCGCCGTGATATTGCTGGGATATTGCTAAAAGCGGCGTAAAACCAAACTCACTCCCTCACTCACTCACTATGGGTTGGGTTCAGGGTTACAATTTATCCCAAGTTGTGTATTCTTCTCGAAAGGCACGACTTTATGGATCGACCCGATGCGAGTAACAACTGGTCTTCAGCATCCATGCATGTTTTGCATAATGCTATATGACAGCTGTCTGGAAATACTCGAGTCTGGACCGGACAATCCAGTGATTGGCAAGATGACCATACCTGATTCGGGTAACACCTGGTCTTCAGAGATCTGTTCGTCTATTGTTAAACGCCACACTGGGCAATATTCCAGCTATATGACAGCTGTCTAGAAAAAATAGAATCTGGACAGGACAACCCAGTGATTTGCATCATGACCAAACCTGATTCGGCTAACAGCTGGTCTTCAGCAATTCATGCTTGTTTTGTTTAGTCGTTTCTTAGTTTGTTTTTTTTCTTGTGGGGTAGCATAGTGGTTAAAGCGTCCGTTCGTCACGATGAAGGCTCGAGTTCGAATCCCCACATGGGTACAATGTGTGAAGCCCATTCCTGGTGTCCCCGGCTTGATATTGATGGAATGTTGCTAAAAGCGACATAAAACCATACTCACTCACTTCCCATGTATACATTGTTTTTTGTACGTAACGTTCATCTTTTCTCGACTCTGACGTTCCAGGACCACAGCAAGTTGTACAACGACCTGCTTGAGAGCTTCAACACACTGAAGGACACCATCCACGACTTCAAAGCAGTGTTTGAGTATGAGACGAGAGGCATCCCGGTATTGGCGGAATGCCTGAAGCTGTTACGCAAACGCTGTGGTAAGTTAATGACGGATAACAACAACAACAACAACAACAACAACAACAAGTGATGATGATTATCATTATTCACATCTTACAGGATTCCAGTCAATATTGACTTGCATTCGTTTACCTTTGATGCCATGTTCATAACTGCTCCAGACGCCTCTAGTTGACCCTGATGCAATAAGACATAACGTACACTATGGTACTTATTGTTACCCTGACTAGCGTTCGGCGTGATAGTTTCATGAACAGCGTTTTCCAGCGATAGGTATAAAACATTGTTGGGTCCATCGCATGTACTGTATTCACATTTACCGGACTATTTCTGATTTTGAGATAATTTGCAATTCATCGTTCTGATTTGGAGACAACAGGTAGCTACAGAGCTATGACATCAAACGGTAAAACGTAGAAATGCATTGATATGTATCCACGGGGCGGTGGGGTAGCCTAGTGGTTAAAGCGTTGGCTTGTCGCGCCGAAGATCCAGGTTTAATTTCCCACATGGGTACAATGCGTGAAGCCTATTTATGATGTCCTCCGCTGGAATATTGCTAAAAGCGGCGTAAAACCATACTCACTCACTCTCACTCAATGATATGTATTTATCTTCAGGTGCCGCTACCCTGACCGCGTCTCGGACCCGGTTCAGCATCACTGTTGAGTATGACCGACTGGAGGTGTCAAGACTGTGTAAAGGACCGGCTGAGGACACTCTGGAAGCTCTAGAACTTTTCAACAAAGCAAACAAACTCACCAGAAGTATTCTAGAGAAGGCTCCGAAGGTGAAGAACACAATCCAAGTGGTGCTTGACGATGAACAGAGCTTGAGGAGGGATATCTCCAAGTCCAACATCAGCACCACTGATGAACCGGAAGTGATGAAGCTGTGCGTTGCCAACATCAACAAGCTCCGGAAGTTGCCCGGTTCTGTCGAGACAATCCAAAAACACACACAGAGACAATTCAATGAACTTAAGGAATCATCGAAAGTTCTTTTGGGGAATCGTAACTGTGGAAGGATAAGGTTGGTTGTTGTCCGTGCACTCAAACCTCATTACTATCGGAGCCCATTCTTGATGTTCTCAATGTGGAACAAAATGAAAACTGGTTTCTTGAAAGAATGTTATTAATATCTTTAGTTGAATATCGTATTGTTAATGTTTGACCGTGCACATATACCTCATTACCCACGGAAACAATTCTTGATGTTCTCAATTTGGAACAAACTCAGAATTCATATCTTGGTTGAAGTTAATGAATATCTTTAGTTGAAAATCCTATTGATTATGTTGTGAAGCTCATTACTATCTTGATGTTCCCAGAATGAAACAAACTGAGAACTGGTTTCTTGATAGAATTTGAGCAGTTCTACAAACAGAAATACAGTTATAACTACCTGAATAATAGCGACTTGGGGAAGTTGGTCGATCTGAGGTACGCTGTACGTATCTCTGCGCCATCTTGTGGGACACTATGTTTCGTGGTTACGTGCATATTTGATTGCGTATTGGTTTCTACAGTTAACATGGCGGTGTTAAAGCCCACTCCAGCATCGTTCGTCGGGATGAATGCCTAGGTTCTATTTCCAACAAGGAAACAATGCTGTAACACCCAACCCTATACCCCATCCCTATACCCTACCCTGTGACCCCGTGATATTACTGGATATCAGTAGGGCCAGGATCGCAATTCACTCGCTTCTATATTTAATACAGCCAAATTTATCCATACTATGGCCTTGTAATGGATGATATGATACATATCGTATTTGTATAAAATACATTTTGTACCCAATGAGGGATACAAGATGTATGCAAGATATGTGAACACATGTGTATTGTATATAACCTTCCTCTGCGTTGGAATTAATGTGTTTGCTCGTCAGACCAAAGGACAGGGTTCGATTCCCCTCTTGTGTGAAGCGCAATTCAGGTGCGCCCCGTTGTGATGTTCCTTCTACTGTGTTGCGGATACAGATATGGGAACTTGATACACCCGCCCAACTCCTCACACCGTGTTTCAAAAACTGATAATAATGTTATGATGCTATAATCGTTTTTTTGCATATCCTCAAAGAATAGAAATGGCACAAACACATTCAAAATCGGTCCCCTCGATAATGAATTTGTTTTAATGAAGTAGACGAGATGTACTGTTAGTATTTTGCTGAGCTAAAGTTGAGCTTTGTTGTATTCAAAGTTAATTAAACGCATTGTTGACATTGATTTGTTTTATATAAAGTTATGTGATATTTATTTTCAAATAACCAGAGGCGTGAAGAATTCTTTAAACACTGCAAAATATAAACTTGCTTTGTACCTTCACCTCAGGGCAATCCTTTGACCTCAAGTATGTCGACATACTGGACACCAGTCCCCTGGTCAGTCACTATATAAATCATTAATATAAGGCCTGGATTCGCTACTTCCGGCACTAAGCTGGTTCTCGCCTCCCTTTGCGTGCGCCAGTTTGCGATATGAGAGACGGGGCCCAGCTTACTTCCGGTACCACATTTCCGGTGACAAGCCTATATTCAAGTTCTGGTTGCCAAATGCGCGACCGCCAAATGTGACTTTACTAGGCCGAACCAAGTGTACAACCAGCTTGGCAGTCACAGCTGTCGGCAGTCGTAATAGCTGACTAATTTGTAGATGGTTAGATCTGAAATTTGTTATTCCTGCAAGGATTGTGTTTATCGTAATATATGCTTCTTCAAAGCATGTTTGACACTTTTAACAGAAATTAAATAAGAAATGGCATGCTGCTTGATATGGGTAGTTTAAGAACGTTCACTGTGCGAATCAACGTAGTGTAGGCGACGAGAAGTAGCGGTTTCTCAGTTTGTGGTGTCGAACAGAAACTGGTTGTATGCTATCGAAATATATATAAACTATATTTATACAAGAGCAGTCGCTTTTATAGTACATTTATGCAATGAAATAAAAGTATGCTCACGCCGTCTGTTGTTTGTTTGTCTGTTTGTTGTTGTTTTATCTAAAACACAACATATACAACAAAACCCTGGTTACCCGGACACCGGAATGTCAAATCTATCATGGAGATTATTGGGATCTGCGCAATATTTGGTTTCCCAACTGATTTAACATTTGCTAGATGCATTTGATTGTTTACTGTTTAATGCGGCACTCACCATTTGTCCAGCTATATGACGGCGGTCTGTAACTAATCGTCATTCGTAAATAATGGACAACCCAGTGATTAACATCATGAGCATCGATCCACGCAACTGGGATACGATGACATGTGTCAACCAAGTCAGCGAACCTGACCACCTGATCCCGTTAGTCACCTCTTACGACAAGCATAGGGTGCGGCCTGCTTAGGATATAATGCAAAATACAAAAATACAGCATTTGATGCACTCAACGTCCGACAAAACTCTTGGTTCGCTTAGGATATAATCCAAAATACAGCATTTGATGCACTCAACGTCCGACAAGACTCTTGGCTTCCTTAGGATATCATGCAAAATACAGCACATGATGCACTCAACGTCCGACAAGACTCTTGGCTTCCTTAGGATATCATGCAAAATACAGCACATGACGCACTCAACGTTCGACAAGACTCTTGGCTTGCTTGGGATATCATGCAAAATACAAAATACAGTATTTGATGCACTCAACGTCCGACAAAACTCTTGGTTCGCTTAGGATATAATCCAAAATACAGCATTTGATGCACTCAACGTCCGACAAGACTCTTGGCTTCCTTAGGATATCATGCAAAATACAGCACATGATGCACTCAACGTCCGACAAGACTCTTGGCTTCCTTAGGATATCTTGCAAAATACAGCACATGACGCACTCAACGTTCGACAAGACTCTTGGCTTGCTTGGGATATCATGCAAAATACAGCACATGATGCACTCAACGTCCGACAAGACTCTTGGCTTCCTTAGGATATCATGCAAAATACAGCACATGATGCACTCAACGTCCGACAAGACTCTTGGCTTCCTTAGGATATCATGCAAAATACAGCATTTGATGCAAAGAGCTTCCGACGAAACTCTTGTTTTGCTTAGGATATCATGCAAAATAAGCACTTGATGCACATAGTGTTCGAAAAAACTCATGGTTTGCTAGAGACATAACGGAAAATGCATCATTTGATACTCTCAGTTTTGGACAAAAAACTTTTGGTTTTCTAGGGACATCATTCAAAAATACATCATTTAATGCGCCCGGCTTCCGACACTAGATAGATACAGACAGTGAGTACTATGTTGACTGTGATAAGAGTCAACAATCTATCAGATGAGCTACAATACATGTGGCTGTGAGTAGTTTGGTTTGGTTGTTGTTTAACGCCGCACTCAGCAGTATTCCAGCTATATGGCGGCGGTCTGCAAATAATCGAGTCTGGACAACCCAGTGATCAACAGCATGAACATCGATCTGAGCAACTGGGATACGATGACCTTTAGTCGCCACTTACGACAGGCATGGGCTACTGAAGATCTTCACGGGTTGGCAGTGAGGACGTCGAAACAAAGGCATGCTCCATAGTCTTCCTGGGTGGATTGGCGGACGTGTTGACAAGGTAAGTACTCACTTTGGGCTTTTAATCAACATTATTATTCTCATCATGAACAAAATAGAACTATACCCTAGATCCACGGACAGGGATCAAGAATCTCAAAACTTACATCGGGAAATAATATCACAAATTAAATCTGTGAAGGGCGACATTTCTGACTTGTCGAAGAAGATTAATGACCTCAGGTCAGATACCATAAAATGAATGATGCCTGAATTGAACTAGGGCAGAGTTAGAGGGACTGAGGGCTCAGATGATAAGAGTAGATGGATGATACGGGGCAGAGATTGGAGAGAGTCGCTGGAGAGAGATGACAATACTCGGAGTAGGCTGCAAGATAGACGGGATGAGATGTAGAAGAAGGAGCAGTATGACTGGAGGAACAATGCCTGGCAAGTCTGGTGGTCAATGCAAAGAGGGAGTGTGTCTGATTCTTATCAACTTGATCCAGGGGACAAGGCCATTAATATTGACTCTACGAACGCTCACCAAGGAAAGTGAGTGAGTGAGTGAGTGAGTGAGTGAGTGGGAGAGTGGGTGAGTGATTGAGTGAGTGAGTGAGTTAGTGAGTGAGTGAGTGAGTGAGTATATGCGTGTGTGTGCGCATGGGGTAGATGACATTAACACCGCTTTGAGCAGTATTCCATGTGGTTGACGGCTTGTCAGGTTCATCTGTAAGGTAAACCCGGAGCGATGCTGGCCTCTGTCTAAAGTGAGTGAGTGAGTGTGTTTAGTTTTACGCCACTTTTAGCAACAGTCCAGCAATGTCACAGCGATTTACACAAGAAATGGGCTTCACACATTAGACCAATGTGTGGAATCGAACTCATTTCCTCGGCGTGACGTCACTATAAAAGGGGCGATGGGCTAGCCTAATGGTTAAAGCGTTGGCTCGTCACGCCGAAGACCCGGGTTCGAATCCCCACATGGGTACAATGTGTGAAGCTCATTTCTGGTGTCTCCCGCCGTGATGTTGCTGGAATATTGCCAAAAGCGGCGTAAAACCAAACTCAGTCAGTCAGTCACTATAAAACAGTGTACTGTGTTGGAGAATCTAACAGGTTATCTTTTTTTGACACATGACAGGCTGGTCATCAAGACGAGAGGCGGTGGGGTAGCCTAGTGGTTAAAGCGTTCGCCCGTCACGCCGAAGTTCCGGGTTCGATTCCCCAAATTGGTACAATGTGTGAAGCCCATTTCCGTCCCAGTAACTATAGGCCAATAACGCTATTAAGTGCATTTAGCAAACTTTACTCAGCAGACCCGTGAAGATCCGGGTTAGAACTGGTTTTGAGTAAACCATGCTTGTCGTAAGAGGCGACTAATGGGGTCGGGTGGTCAGGTTCGCTGACTTGGTTGACACATGATCATCCCAACTGCGTAGATCGATGCCCATGCTGTTGATCACTCGATTGTCTCATCCAGAATCGATTCGCCATATCACTGGAGGGGGGCGGTTGGGTAGCCAAGTGGTTAAAGCGTGGGCTCGTCACGCCGAAGACCCGGGTTCGAATCCCCACATGGGAACAATGTGTGAAGCACATTTCTGGGGTCCCCCGCCGTGATGTTGCTGGAATATTGCTAAAAGCGGCGTAAAACCAAACTCAGTCAGTCAGTCAGTCATATCGCTGGAATATTGCTGAGCGGCGTAAAACTAAACTCACTCACTCACTTTACTTAGCAATGTTACATAATAGATTACCTCATTGGTCTATCATTTGACAAGATAGTTGAATTACAAGCGGGATTTCGCAAGGGATATAATACAACAGACAATCTATACATACTAAAAAAAAATACTGTCGGAAATGCTAGAAAAATGCTTTTTAGCCATAATACTTTGATAAAGGTGATAAATGTACTATGTTGTCAAAATATCAACTCGCCTATAGTGTACCTAATTTTTATTTCAATCGATTTAACATTCCCATGCATTTAAAGGGCAGTTTACAGGAGAGAATATGGTACCAAAACAACAACTTAAGATTGTTCAACAACAGAAATCTGAAATAGTCTTTACATTTATGCTAATAATACAGGTGGTGTAAAAATATGAATCAACGTTTTTCTTTAACAAATAAATGTTGAATGTTTGTGTTACTTTACTTAATTATCGTTTTCTTTATGGAAGAAATATTAATATAAATGTTAAGTCTTGATAAATAAGTTTCCCGTCATGCATGCATAGCTTTATCACAGCGTCCACTATGGCCAACTATTTGCAGTCAAATGTTGCAAAGGTTTATAAGTTTTTTGTGCTTGGAAAAGACAGAGGTAAACCTTTCATTAGTTTAAAAAGAGTTTATTACAGAACTTGTAGAGCTGTTGGTATGTCTTACCAACAAGTTTACAATATTGTAAACAAATCAGACAAGACAGGGACCGTCTCAAAACCAAAACCGGGACGTAAAACCATCCTTGACAACTTTGACAAGGGAGTACTTAGACGGGCGGTCTACAAACTTTAGGAGAAGAAGAATATATATTTTCTAAAGAAGCTACACCAGTGACTTCGTTCAATCTTTGGCCAATGTTCACAACTAGATTAAACTCACCGAATTACATCCATATTTTTGCAATGAAATATACTGTTGACATGCAAAACACTTATTAAAACGTTGCACATTTCTACAATCAATCGATAAGATAACACAAGTGATTGGATTCTTTCCAATGTACAGTAATTCGTATGTTTATTTCAAAACAAACACACATACACAAATGCACAAATGATCTCCTACATAACCAATACGTATACTACACGTACACATATTCAACATTTTGAAGAAAACATCTATTGAGATGACCCTTCCCCCGAGCGTGTGCTCAGGTGTCAATTTCACCTGTCGATACCGTGCATGCTGATGACGTAACACAGGCAGTTAATGTTTGTATCAAATAACGTCCCACTACCCGTTAATTATCTAAGTTTTTGGTATTTTCATCAGTAAAAACACATTTTAGGGCATGTCTCAAAATTTATTCCCTCGGTCTACATTAGGTAGATGTTTCTTAAAGTGATATTTGTTATTTAAGTAACTGTAATACCTCTGAATTTTAAATATAAGTCAAAAAGCATTTTTCTAGCATTTCCGACAGTACTTTACAAGCAGTTACTCAACGTTATTTATAAAAAGAACAGACGAGAAGACTTATGCTCTTGATTTTGTAGATAGATCTTAATTATAGGCGATGTTAATGCAGCGAGGGATCTGGGCCTAATTTGTGAAGTCTTTAAGTTTATGCATGCTTCAAATACTGGTCATCTTCAAAACAGAGACATAACATGATATTAGACAGCTTTGATGAAGAGTGATTAGTCCTACAGTAAACAAGAACAGAACATCCTATTTGTAATCGATCGGGAGGAAAACACACAATTAATGATTCC